CTACGTTTCTCCGGGCATTCTTTGCATTACAGGGGCTCCTTGGGCTTGACCCAGAGAGCCCAATGTCCCTTCATTAAGGAATACAGCTTAAATGATAATATGAAGCCCCCAAATAATTTAAGGTATATTCCTTAATTAAGGGGTATTGGGCTCTCTGGGGATGCCATCAACAAGAACGGCTCAAGTTTAGGTTTAGGGTTGAGGGTTCGGGGTGTGGGTTCAGGGGTTTAGGGGAGTTTAGGGCCCAGAAGTCACCGAAGTGGGCCCGAACACAGGTTCCAGGGCAAGGGATGCCAGAGAACTTTCACAATTCTAGGGGCTTTCGCAGGCAGGGCTCTTAACATGGCTGACTTCTGAAACTCACCTAAAAAATACCTAAACTCCCGGCCTACGTATTATGAATGCCATATAGACCCAAAGAGCGAACGCCCTAGAAGCCAACCTGAAGACTACTTCCAAGTGTCATAAACAAAACTCTACAAGATAGGGTTCAGGGTTTAGGGGATACGGTAAAAACCAAACACAAGCCCGAATAGAAGCTGGCATAAACCCCAAGGGCCTTGAGCCAAGCATTTCCGAATGTCACACTCGACACAGTTTAGTCAAGCACTCAATTCCAGAAAACAAATTAAATAAATAGATAAATAAATACATAAATACATATATATATATATATATATATATATATAATATTCGTCATCCTAAGCCTCGACACGGAAACAAACACCAAGCTTGTAGCTTTCAACAGGAACAACCGAAGTCCGATCCTGGGCTCGTTCTTGCTTGAGGGCTCCTTGTCTCACTGCTGTTCGATCATGAGGTTTAGTCTACTTGAAGGCCCATGGGACTTAGTAAGTAAGGTTATAAGTAGGTTATAATTAGGATAACCCCACTTAGGGGACTTATAACCCTAATTATAACCTACTTACTAAGTCCCATGATCCTCTAAGTAGTGCTTCGGCTTTTCGGGCGACGTTCGTTTGTTTTGCGCTGGTTGCGCGTGGTGTGCATCCCTATCCTGGCACAGGACCCTCATCCTAGGTTTAGCCAACAGACACCTTAAGCCGGAGCAATCCCAGCGTGAAAGAGTCTGAAAGATTTGTTGGGTGCTCGTGTTCATCGTGCATTCCCCGATTTCTCTTCTAGTTTAGGGCTTAGACGGCTTAGGGCTTAGGGTTTAGGGTTCAGGGTTTAGGGTCCAGGGTCTGAGCGGGGAGTCGCAAGCCTCGCATGGCTGACGGCTTTGTCGCAGTACCTGACGGCTTATGGCTCAGCTGCTGTAAACTGGCTACTTGCACGTCTTAGGGTTTAGGGTTTATGGGTTTAGGGTTTACCTTAACCCTGAAGAACCTACCTTTTTAGGGTTCCTACTATGATTTCCTTATATAAGTCCTCAACAAGGTAGGTTCTTCAGGGCTAAGGTAGGGTCTACTCACCACCCTGCATCCTGAAAGCTTAGCCGAGCCCCAAGCCCGGAAAGCAGCACGAAAAGAAGTAGGCTTGCAGGCCTGATATAAGGAAACCATCATAACAGAAATAATAAGCAAAAATAAAAAAACTAAACTGTAGCTTTCTTGAGGTCGAGGGTGGGTTTGGGGCCGCCGTGGGTTTCATCTGCACAAGCCTCAAAACCCTCGAAGCAGGTTGAAAAACTGGGCCAGGCTCCCCGGCTGTCCTTTAGGGCTTACGGCGTATAATGGTTTACTGGGTTGGCCTTTAAACACCCTGAAAAATATTTTTATATAGGGTCCCTTAAAACCCAAATAAGGAAAATAAAAAATGTCCCAAAATAGATGGTCCCTTATAAACCCAAATAAGGAAAATGAAAAATGTCCCAAAATCCAACCGGGTTTGGGGTTTTTGGACCTACTTGTCCAGTACCCAGGGGAACTGATCCTCAACCTGTGGGAGTATATTGGGATTATCCAAGGGTTAAAGGAGGGACCCTTAATAAGGACCCCTAGGTATATCCCCTTAATATAGCTGTCATATACCCATTATATAGCCCATTATAGGGTAGGGGTACCCATTAAGGGTAATTCCTTTTCCCCTTTGAGATCAGTATCCAAAGAGTTTCAGAGCTACCTCCTCTACTAAACGCTAGAACAGAAAACCAGCAACTTAACAATCGAGAATATGAAACCTGCGCAGGAGCCCTTAAAGGAACACGTATAGAAACGTAAAGTTTTATGCTTGAAATCGAACCAACCGAATGGGGCACAGCAAGAGCAGCACTGGAAAGCTGATTTTCGGAGCCATGGCTGCCAACACCAGCAGCCCTACATCCTAAACAGGGCTTTGAAGTAACCAGGGGGGGGGAAAGTATAGACTGTTATTTCATAGTGGTTCCCTTTACGTAGCAGGTCCTCAAGCATGTGAACACAGAACCCCAGGCTGTCGGAATCCTGAGCATTATCCTTAGGTCTTTCAAAAAACAAGCCCTGAAGAGCTTTCGAACAAAACCACAGGCCTTCTGATCCGGCACCCGTGAATTGTCGCTCAATGTGTTGAGGGTTTGGCGTTGCGCGCTCTTCTCGGTCCAAGAGGGGCCTTGGAAACTTTGGCGGAGCAGGATCTAGAGCCTGACAGCTGCAGCAGCTAAGTTTCGAGACATGCTTCCAGACGGAGCGCGCAGTGCGTGTATCAACGGTCGAGAATGGGCGTCAAGCGTAGCCCCTAAATCCTAAACCCTAAACCGTAGCATCCTTTCCATGGGGAGAAGTCGGCAAGGCTCGAAACCAAAGTAACAGACCACTGAAGGCACCACACATCCCTAATGTCTGGACATCTAGAGTATCTAGAGGGATCCCTGAACCCTATAAGCCCCAAATCTTATGTTAAACACGGTCCCTAAACCTCTCAATCCCCCAATCCCTAAGCCCGAGATTCCAGAACACCCCGAGGTTTAGCCTTCAGGCTACCAAGGAAATTCTCCAGGAGGCTGCAGTACCGAAAGAGCCCAATACCCCTTGACACCAGGATCCTTCTACTAGGATGCCCAGTAGCCTAGGAATAAAAAGGGCCCCCTTTTGGGTATTGGGTAAGTTTATAAGGAACCTAGGACTACAAAAAGGGAATAAGGGTACTGCTGGGCATCCTAGTCTACGGTTTCAGATAAGGATGCAAAAAGGCTTAGAGAGGCTTAGCGTTGGTGGAGCCCGGGGTTTGGGGTGTAGGGGTTTAAGCCGTAGCATACGGCTTACAGGAATTTCAAGCCCGCTTTTTTGTCGTCTTCCACGATGTAGCAATCCGAGTCCGCTGCTGCCGATGGTGCAGAGGATTCCGACTCGCGCTTCTGCGACTTCGGCGCCCGCGACGCAGAACCTTAGCCATCGGGCGCTATTCTTTCCTCTCCCCTATGCCTCCAGGGACCTTATTATGGGGTCCTTAAGGGGTCCAGGGCCCTATGGGGTCCTTGGAGGGATAGGGCTCCAAGGGGAGCCGAGGGTCCAGGGGGCTTATCGGCCCTCTGACATAGCGTGAACTCGTAGCGAAAAGTTTAGGGTTTAGGGTTTAGGGTTTAGGGTTTAGACAACGCCGTTGGATGCCCTGGCGAGCAAACGAAGTTGCAAGCTGGAAGGGCTGCTGCTTCCTGCCCAGAATGCTTAGGACTCGAATCCCAAAGCTTTGTCGCCTTTTGTAATTTTAAGGTCTCTAACCACCATAAATGCTAAACTAAGGCAAAGACTTTGGGGTACATCCCAAATCTCAGGAACTTCACTCACACAAAGCCCTAGAATCCTGAAGCCCCGAACCCAAAGCTTCAGGGCCGTACGGTTTAGGGTTTAGGGTTTAGGGGTTTAGGGTTTAGGGTTTAGGGTTTAGGGTTTAGGGGTTTAGGGTTTAGGGTTTAGGGTTTAGGGTTTAGGGTTTAGGGCTTAGGGTTTAGGGGTTTAGGGTTTAGGGTTTAGGGTTTAGGGTTTCCCACAACCCCGAAAAGAGCCCAGGACCGAAACCTTGTAGCCGCTGAGGTTCTTGGATACGTAGGCGGTTTAGGCTGTAGCACGCAAAACTGCTGATTGAGAAACAAATCACAAACATCTTCGGCACCATGTTTATACTGAACTTAGAACCCTAGCGAAAATTACAATTTTAGCTGTTTCTTTAGGATTATAATAGCCAAAAAGAAAAATTATGACTAAGTACCCTTAAGATACTGCGTGCCCCTGAACGGCAAAACATCTTCAGAATCCTCAGCCCTAGACTCGATAGGATTCAGTAACAGTATCGTAATAAAAAGAACATCAGCGACATCACTCCCTAAGGATCCATGTACCCTTATAGTAGATACTTAGGCCTTAAAGTACCTATATAGGGACTACTTTGGGGCTTAAGTACCTACTATAAAGGTACATGGAGCCTTTGGGACTGATGTGACCCCCGATGCATCAACCCCCCAACTCCCTTGAGAAGGATCCCTCAAGGTTCATGCATCCAAATAGTATATACTTTGGCCTTAAAGTTGGGCCCAAAGTATATACTATATAGGCACATGGACTTTTAGGGGATTATACTGGGCATCACAGCTGGTTCGGGATTTGCGGGGCTTTGGTAAGGCTCATACGTACAACATGCTGCAACATGAACCTTCACACCTCTGGGTTTTCGCTAATAGCCCGCCAAAGCCGACTTCATTAAGGAACCACATTGGGAAGTCAGAGTATGGAACCTGAAATCCAGCTTTCTTGCGGTCCGGCTTAGGACAAAGGCTGGGGCTTTCGGAGTTTTATGGGTTGCTTCTTCTGCCACTTAGGCATGCTTCTAAGTATTCCTTCAAAGGGTACCATAATGAGTGTTCAAGACTCAGGATTCCACAGAGGTTGATCGTAACAGATCCAAACCTTCAGCGCTATCCGAAAACGAACCAGCTTGTGGCTTCAGAACTGGGTGCTTCACGCCCGCCCCAATTCGTTACACTATCAAAAGCTCCGAAAGATTTGGTTTAGAGCTCCGGGTTTAGGGTTCTCTTTTTCGGCGATCGCTCGAGCGGCAGTTCTCCTTCAGTCCTTGCTTATGACAAAGGTTGCGTTGCTGTTGTTTGCGGCCTCCCTCACGGCTTCCTCAATAGCCTCGGAAGAGGGTCTAGAGTCTAGGGCTTAGGGTTTAATTAATAGGTGTCTTGCTTCAAACAGAAACGCCAGGACCATGGGCAAATAAGCCATCTTGCACCGGCTTGACTTGGGCGAGTCTTTAAAGCCCTAAACCCTTAAACTCTAAACCGTCTTTAAATGTCTTCTGGCCTCTGCTAGTTCCGAACAGGGGCCATTTTGGGGGAAGTCCTCTCTAAAGTGCTCCGTAGTCGGCAGGATTTAGGGGTTTAGGGTCCTAGTTCTCATTTGTGTCTCACACTTTCCCTATATAATCCGGGCTTTGTGTGAAAGCCCCATATAACCCTAAAGGGAACTCCAGAAAGTTGGAATATGGATTAATGGTAGGACCCCCTATAATTTACCTTAAAGGGGTTACGATAATGATATTCCAACTTTCTGGCTTCTACTGCAAGCCGACGCTACGCTTGATTTAAGCGACTGAAGGCCTCACTTATTCTTGCGACATCGAGATCTTCCACTCTACAGTAGAAGCCAGAGAGTTGGAATATCATTATCGTAACCCCTTGAAGGTAAATTATAGGGGATCCTACCATTAATCCATATTCCAACTTTCTGGAGTTCCCTTTAAGTTGGTCTCTCACACTCTTCTAAACATCTTAAGGCTTTGGATGAAGGTTTGGGGTTTCAGGTTGAGGGAGTCATCAGATCCTGCATGGGAAGTGTATACTGCCTCAATGACATGCCGCGTACTGCGGGTTTAGGGCCAGATATCCCAATGGCCTAACGGGCATTATCCAATCGGCTCAAGGTGTAGGGAGTTCGGCCTTCATGGGCTTGGAATCTGGAACCGAGCAGTTTAGGGGCTCAACTGTCGCAAGTCGCAAACGAGCAAGGTACAGAGTCAGAGTTCAGGCTTTAAGGCTTCAGGATTAGCATCCACTATAGTTGATCAAGCTCGAGGTGTTCAGGGTGCTAGGATTGAAGGTAAGACTCAGATTGGTGTTTGTTTTGATGGCTTAGGGGTTGAGGTTGTGTAAGGTTTATAACACCCTCAACCAAGCCGACCAAGCCCATGCCGATGCAAGCACAGGGGCCAAAAAACAACAGTTCTCCCTAAACCCTAAACCCTAAACCCAAACCCTAAACCCTAAACCCAAACCCTAAACCCTAAACCCTAAACCCTAAACCCAAACCCTAAACCCTAAACCCTAAACCCTAAGCCTGCTCTCACTTAGGCACGACACCCACCAATACCCCCCAAATCTTGAACCCAAGACCCTCGATCCTGATTTTCAACACCAGCCAATGCCCTGAATCACGAAATCCTTTATAAACCTGTATGAAACCCTTACAAAAGTCCCTACCATAATGCGAGGGCTGATGGTAATATGCCACAGTGAGAACTATCATACGCCTAACAAATGTAGCAATAACATAATGATATTGCGAATGCTCGCAACCGTCAAAATCATATACCTAAAATAGTTGACTACTGTAGGCGCCTTAATGATTCGAATATTTAGAATAGGGTTATGGGCTCCTGTATAATATACTTATAATATAGAGACTACGGCATACTATTGGTACTTTTTTTCGGATTCTATCTTATACAGCATGCAACCTCAATTCCCGACTCCATTGGCCGAGTAGATTCATCCTTCGGCGAGCTCTTTCAAGACCACCGCAGGACAAATACTGACCATAGCAATCGCATAATTATGAAAACACTACGTGGAATGATGATCGTAACACTAATGCCGAGTAGCCGGCTGCATCTCACGCAGCAGAGTGAAGTTACTCAGACCTGCCATCTCCATGTGGAGGCTCTGCAGGCAGGGCCATCTGGCTCGCCCCACTTCCTGAGCTGTAATCTTGACTGTGGTCATTACAATGCCACACTATACGACAAGAACCGTAATAGAATAACAGCAAAAACACAAAATATGCCCCTACATAAGTGTAGCATTCGTAGTTCAACAGCATACACCAATAACCGATAACCAAGCACACAAACATGTATTGGTGCATGTTCTGTATATATATATATATATGTATGTATATATATATATATATATATCTGTAGACTTGCCTTTGTTCTGAAGAAGGCGGAGTAGGCGCGGTTATAGGGTTTAGGGCTGGGGAGTCCGCTAAACCCTAAACCCTAAGCTCAAGTTTGGAGCCTCGAAGGTGCCAGCGTTAAGGCCGGGTGTAGCCCAAAGGATCTTTAGGGTTTAGGGTTTAGGGTTTAGGGTTTAGGGTTTAGGGTTTAGGGTTTAGGGTTTAGGGCTGCCCAAAGGATCTTTGAGGCTTAGGGCTTAGGGCTTGCAGTGCAAGGGATAGGGTTCCTTCAAGGCTTCCTTTTGAAGGGGTTTGTAAGGACTACTATCAGGGGTATCATGGGGTTTAGGGTTGAGGGTTTCGTGGGCACCTGCATAGCACAATGCCAAGGTTCTAGTCTGAAACTTATTCTCGACCCGAGAGTACCCAAGGAATAAAAAGGGTGCCCTTTTTGGTTTAGAAAGGGGGCTGGTAAGAGAACCTCAACCAAAAAAAAGGGAATAAGGGCCTAGGTCCTAGTATTGGGAAATACTGAGAATTACCAATTGTCAGGCTTCTCTGATGGGAGGCCAAAAGGGGGGTGTAAGATTCTTGGGGTACCGAGGGCCTAGGGTTCCTTTAAGGGATCTGTAGGGTTTATAGGGTTTAGGGGGGTTCCAATACCTCTTTATTGAGGAATGTACCTTAAATCACTAGGAGCTCCATATTATGATTTAAGCTATATTCCTTAATTGAGGGATATTGGGCTCGCTGGGTACCCCTGTAGGCGCAAACACCTGAAAATTTCAGGCTGCTTCCACGAGGCTCCACAAGAAAAAACACAACTGCTTCTTTCTGTTGTGGTTGATATACGAAAAGACCTTTGAAACTAGGCCATTAAATCGTAAACCTGAAACCCCAAAGCCCTGCACCATTAACTCGGGACTCTAAGCTCTACGCCGCTGAAGACAAGTCGAAGCCCTTAAAGCCCCAGCGCCAAGCTGCAGAGATGAATTCGTCGACCTGGGGGTTTCTTTACATAGACTCTCTAAACCGAAACCTTAAACGCAGTGGAGTTTAGGGTTTAGGGTTTCAAAAGCCACAGTTGACAAACTGAGTGGAATCCAACAAAACCATCAGAAAACCTAAGCCCTTACGTCCATATCTCTTCCCACCTCCTCGGTGCTTCGAAAGCCCAGATCGCCCAGCTCCAAGCGTCGGACGCAGGACGACGACCTGCGAGTCGGCCGCTACTTTGTCTCAGGTTCTCTGTATCATCAACTAAAGTCATTCTTACGATTCACTAGTATGAACAATTCATAACGGGAGGACTACCAGGACCACCAAGGACCCTTTAATGGAGCCCTTGTGGTCCTTGACAGTGTGTATTTTGGGTACAAAAGGAGGTAGCCGGGGGTCTACCCATAGGCCCCACAGCAGTTCCTTTTGGGATTACCTTATAGGATTCTATAGGAACTACTTTGGGGCCTTAGGGTAGGTAGAGAAACCGCAAAACAACTCGTGCCGGGACCAAACTCTTCGGATCGTAGTACCCATACAGACAAAGGAGAAGAGAAGATCATGATGAAGACGGTGACAGAGATGCTGATGATGTCAGTGATGACGACGATTTCTTTTGTTGCTGTTGATGCAAAAGTTGTCGTACACTCGTGTGATTGTAAGATTTATGAGGCTGCTGCCTGCGACGGCAACATCATGCGGTGCTTGCAGGATTTTGTGGCTTGCACTGCGTCTGAGGCAAAGAGCACACATTCTTGAGGCACTGATGACGCCCATGCATGCAGGGCATCTGCCGACCAGCTTGTGCCCAAGACTGGCCACAATGTTTCTAGTAATATAAGGGCCTTAGCAATTAGAACATGGTTTTAGGGTATAATATACTGTATATAATGTATATAGTCATAATCAGGAGCCCCCGAAATAGTATTGGTAATAATTAAGGCCCCTATCTTAGCTGTTCCGCATCTTCGCTTCCTTGCTGCGACCTCGCAGTGTGGTCCGAGAGTGCGAATTCACCATTTGGTACACTTCCACAGTTTTTCCATCTTGCTTTTCTTTGCCTTGGGGGAATGTTAAAAGTACTGGCACCCTGAAACAGCAGTATATGTTATGTTATAAGGTTAAGCTCTCCATATTGGCAGGGGTATCTTTTTATTTAGGGTATATAAGGGTACAGGGGCTGAGGCGCCTCTGGATTATTAAAATCCCTGCAAGAGGGCGTTGAGCGCGCTGCTCTTTCGCATTCAGACAAGAGCCCTCTTGAACCCCTAGGTTCCCAGCCAATCCTAGACCCTGAACCCAATAGGGAGTTTCAGAAAATTCGACCTACGTTTTTTGGACTCCTTATTATAAGGATCCTACTAAATAGAGTACTATATTAGGGTCCCCTATGTTCGGGAACTCCCAATAGAAGCAAGAGAATCCGAAACTCTGTTTGGCCCTGTGTAGGCAAGATGCAGGTACTTCACAGCCGATCCTTGGCTGGCTTCTTGCTTCGTTACAGAGAAACGATCTTAGAGCTGCCGGCGCCATGGAGTGTTTAGGGTTGCCCCAAAAAGCCAGAAAAATGCAGGATCTACATGTACGGGTTGCAAGATTTCATTAACTACTACCTAAACCGTGAACCCCTGAACTCAGCAAAGCAGGCGCCCTTACATGAAGCGCATCTGAAGCTCTCGGGAAGGGAGGCTCCCCCATCCGCGGCAAGAGCTCCAGGAGCGTCAACGTACCTAAGGACCAAACGACTTCTAAAACAGCTTGTAGTTGTGGCTCAGGGCTTCAAAACCAGTATGATTTCTGGGTTTGAAGACAGGCCGGAAGCTTGCGATCGTCGGTTTAGCATTTCGGCCTTCTAAGCTGCTTTGTTGACTGACACTTGCCTGCAATGAGATGCCCAAGAGGTAGCCCGAACCCATGATGCAGAGCCGGTTTAGGGTTTAGGCCCCTGATTGATGCACCCCCGGGGATTGAACTCGCTCCCAAGATCGCAGCACTCCAGAGAGATGTGGCTTACTCATCAGGAGGCTACATTGAACCTTAAACTCAACATATAAGGCTTTTATTTATAGCACTTGATATGGCCCTTGTTGCGACACCACTATAGGAGCCTAACTGGCCCCTATCCCTGTATAACACTCCTTTGATTACTGTCTTCAGCCCATCATTGAACCCTAAACCCTAAACCCAGTGATACCAATCCAGCCACGACCGGCCAGCGCAGTGCTGAGCAACGCCATATCCTGATCTTTCTAGGAGCCGAACAAAGCACCTAACCTAGTACCCTAGGGATCTAAGGACTCATAGATTAAGGCTTTTGGGCCCAAAGACCAGACTATATAAGGCTTTTGGGCTATTTTGATCCCTAGGGGTAATTCTAGAATAGAATAGGGTTGTGGGGCGTATACTACAACCATGCGAGGACAATGAGGGGATTGCATAATGAATTGTTTATTCCGACCGCATGAAGCATCACTTTTCCATGTAGTTAGCTTACATACAGAGGGAGTAGATTTTCAAACCCTCAACCCTAAACGACTGTGTTTATCTGGCTGTTTGTTGCTGAAGTCTCTGCAGCTTTTGGGCGTTGTGGTGCTCTGGGTCTGGGCTTCCGCGGTGGGGACCCGTGGCTTACGGTTTAGGGTTTAGTGTTTAGTTTAGGGTTTAGGGTTTAGGGTTTTGGGGGGTACTTTTTCTAATAATGGCATAATATCCCCCGAAGCCCTAGTCAACTTATTAAGGCCCCCACATTAGTGGATCTCGCCTGTAAGCCACTTATGAACCTACAAGTGAACCCTGATTCCTCAGCCCTAAGGCTCCGGAATTGTAGGTAGACGGTTTACATTTGCCTAAAGCTACTTGTTCATAACGTCGGGGATAGATCAGCCAAACCCCTAGAAAGTAAAAGTTTGTAGATTATGGCGTTGAGAATGGCTGCTATTCCTAATATCTGCCGTTATTGCCAAACTCTACGGATTACAAAGTTGAAAATGTCAATCCAAGTCTCTGGAATTATTGTACGATCACACACTTTTGGTAGCATTTGCCCTGGCAATAGCTGCGATGTTTGCAGATCTGTAGGGTCTTACACTCTATGTAGCGTAAGTAGGCACCTGTTGTAATACTTGCAGAAATCACAGGTACCATAAAGGCCAGGGTGCTGTAGGTTTAGTGACACAGAATACTCGTTGCTCCGGCAACGAACTCAACCTTGATGCAGAATTCTTAATAGACTTTGGCGAACTATCCGATACGTGAACCCTAAACCATAAACCGTGGTCCGTAGAGTTCCCGGAGTATGGCTTCGACAACCACGGAGCTGCGTTGGTTTAAGCTTTCGGTTTAGGTTGTTGCGTTGAGTTGGGTCGACGCGAAAACTGTAAAGCAACGAATAGGAGGAGCTTGCCAGGCATATGTTGTGTCGCAACCTGAGTGAACACATCAGGGCTCTCAAGCACAAAAGCCCAGGCCCTACCCTAAACCCTAAACCCCTAAACACCAAAACCCTAAAACTTCGCCCCCAAGCCACAATAGACCCCTGACTCTAAACTCCCTAAACACAGACCCTCAACCAGCATTCCCGCATCCTGACAGACGAATCCCATCAACCATCAGCCCTTCACAATACTCTCCCCAAAGCTAGGAGTTAGGATCAGGGGGACCCTTGGGAATACTTATAGACCCTCTCAGTGAAGTCCGTAGGGTTAGGAAGGGTCCCCTTTGAAGTTGTCTCTCTAATACTACCCAGGAGAGACTCAGTTTAGGGTTTAGGGTTAGGGCTTCCGGTTCTCTTCAAAGGCGCCCTGCAACCCCCCAAGCCACGAAATCTCTAGCTCGAAACCGGAAACTCCGACAGCGCAGCCCCAAACCCTACAGAACAGAAGCCTGTGACCTCCCTACTTGGAGGTTCATGGGTAACCTGGGTAGTTAGAAGTAGGGGTATATGCAGGATGACTATACTTATAACCCATATTGGGGGACTTATAACCCCAATTATAATTACCCATGATCCTCCAAGTATAGTATATAGCAAGAGGTTATTGGACTCCTGTTGAGAGTTTGCACCCATCGCTAAAACCTAAAAGCAAAGCCTACACCCTAAACCCTAAACACCCTAAACCCTGAACACCCTAAACCCCAAAACCTAAATCGTCAACACCCTAAATCCGAATCGACAGAGTCGGTCCCAAGTCTCCTCCTCGGTGAGAGACCAGTGCTTGATCGAGAGGACTTTGAGGCGTTGAAGTCCTGGGCTGTTCAGCAACCCACTGGGAAAAAGTATATAACTACAATATAATATAATATAGTATAATATGTATATATATATATATATATACACTTCTTCAGGCTTCTTATTGATAGTAGGAACCCAGAAACCTGAAAGTAAAAAACGTGTATCACTGAATAGCCTGGAGTCGGAGAAGCGCTTCGAAGAAGCCGGAATCCGCAGGGAACAGCGAATCTTCGAAGCGGCTACCGCTGATATTGAGCACGGACACCTGTTTGCGGCTGTCGGGATCTTCGGTCTCCAGTGATTCTGGGTTTAGGGATGGGGCTTACATAGGGTTAGGGTTAATATAGGGGCCTATATTATACTATAACCATAATAAGGAACCTAAAACTAGCCTGGGTAATTCTCAACGCCCCTCTATTCAGGGTCTTGGGAGGAACTGCGGCACTTTTAAACTGTCTGGTGCTTAGTGTGGATCCCTATTGTAGTCCCGATATGATTAATCCCCAATATTAGTCTCCAAAATCCACTCCCCCATTCCCTACTAAGAACCAGACAGAAAACGAGGCTTTTGGAAAGCGCGTTCAGTCTTATCCCCGTCAGGCTGCAAGCGACTGCTTCTTGGCGTTTGGGTTTAGGATTTAGGGGCTAGGGGTTTAGGATTTAGGGGTTTAGGGTTTAGGCGTTCGGGTTTTGGGTTTCGGGGCTAGGCGTTCAGGGTTTAGGGCTGCAGGGTTTAGGGGTTTAGGGCTTAGGGTTCAGGGTTCAGGCTGGCGTAGCTCATTCATACCCGAAGGGTCCAAGTATCATCATGGAATATACTTATGGGGTATTTTGGGGGTCTGAGTCTAAGTATATACCATAATGATACTTGGACCGTTTGGGATAAAGAACCCCAGACTACAAACCACCTTCTCGGTACTCGTCCCATATGTTGAAATACGCCTAGCATGCACAGGTGTCGTTTCAGAAGGAGCCCGCATGCATCAAGAAGGAACATGTGGGAAACCATCGGTTTTGACGGGAATTATGGTAGGGAACCCACTATCAAGACAGATTGGGTAGACCCTAAACCCTAAACCAGCAAAACCCTAGACCCCATAAACCCTGAACCCTAGGGAACTCCAAGCCTCAACCTCTGCTCTCAGCGCTTAATAGCGGATGCTGCGTTTAACACATGGGTGGTTGTCAAAATTGTGGTCCATGTTTGGTTACCCTAAACAATAGGTGCCGTATTGTAATGGGGACCCAAGGGGCCCTAATGGTTTAGGGTTGAGGGTTTAGGGTTTAAGGGTTTAGGGTTTAGGGTTTAGGGTTTAAGGGTTTAGGGTTTAGGGTTTAGGGTTTAGGGGTTTAGGGTTTAGGGTTGAAGGTCTGACACAGCGGGGGCCTCCTAGAAGAGTTTGTTGGATGTCCATAACAAACGAGAATAAACAGGGAGTTTCCGAAAATTCGGGGTACCTTAGGGGTCCTTTAAAGGGATACTATAAGGATACCATCAGGGTTCCTTTAAAGGGCTCGATAAAGGTTTTAATCAGACTTTCCGAAACTTACATAGGGGGTAACTTATTTAGGGGTGATTATAACAAGGATCCTACTATTTGGGGTACTATATTCGGGTCCCCTATGTTCAACAATTTGTTTAATGCAATGGGCCCTTTCTTCTGCACTCACGACCCCTGCCTTGCGACAGGCTTGCACAGAAAACACTAACAACCAGGACCCTCCTTGTACCCTCACATAGGGGTATATGGCCCCAAATAATGGGCATTTAGGGTCTAATAGAGGGTAGATGGAGGGTCTAGGAACACTCAGCCCGAACAGCTTTGGGGCTGAGGGACTCCTACGGTGGATGATATGACCCATAATAGGGAATATACCATAGTTCTCATAGTTTAGGGTCCTCAAGGTGATGCAGGATTTATACCATCAACCGTAGCATGAAATCTTGGAGCAGGAGCACTTGTTCTCGTTGGAAGTCTGAAGGTTGAAGTCTGAGAATTTGAAGTCTTGCCCAAAAGTCTTCAGCACGAATGTCCGAAATAGAAGCACCCACACCCAGCTCCAACTAAACCCTAAGGCCCTCTAACCCCTTGAAGCCAGAGTTTGGGAGACCTCTATACCGTAAACCCCCCGTCCTGGTCACACGGATGTCTTTGCAGCACCCAGCCGAGCTCGTCCAGTTCGGTACGACTTGGCAAGGAAGGTACCAGCTCTTTACAAGAGAAATTCCAGGATGGAAGAAGCTCCTCCATCTTCTCATGGAAACCAGTCCTGGTGGAGGGTTTAGGGTTCAGAGTTTTTGCCCGGAGACTCCAAAACCCTCCAGTCCTCCAGTTGTTGAAGATACCCTCCATCACATCAAAATCTCTCTGTAATCTGACATAGTGCTTAGCTAAGGGGGGTTGGAGTCCTTGGGTATGTGTCCGGCAGAGAAACCAGAACGTCTCAATTAAACGATCTTCTCTCAAGCTGTACAGAAACACACTTGATATGATAAGGTAGCATATAGCGTATGCACCATAAAACCGGCAAAACCATACAGAGTGACCCTGAAAACCAGCCCCCTTGTAAATCTAGCGAAGTACTGGGCTCTTTGGACAGGCGAGGCGCATGTTGGACCCATGCTGCAAGGCGGTTGTGACGAGAGCCTGCGGCATTTTCGGTGAGAGGTCACCTGGGCGTGGGTTTGGGGTTTGGGGTAAGGGCAGAGGCTTAGATAATTTCATAATGGTTCCCTTTAGGTTACAGGTCCCAAAACAAGTATTACAGTAGAAGCCAGAAAGTTGGAATATCATTATCGTAACCCCTTGAAGGTAAATTATAGGGGATCCTACCCTGAAACCATATTCCAACTTTCTGGAGTTCCCTTTAAAGTATGGTCACCCACCACCAACAGCCAGGAGAGCGGATCGAAGCCAAACTGACCTGAAGCAGGGGGGATCCCAGAACTGCAGACCCTGTGGGAGCTTCCGAAAATAGGGGACCCTAATAGAATTCCCCCCAATAGTAGGATCCTTGTTTAAAAGTCCCTATGCTACCTTTAGCCCAGGTGGTAGGCTATCACCCGATGGGTATGAGGTATGGCCCTTGAAAGGGTGTTCAGGCAGCCATAATGTGGTCTAGATTGGGGTGAGAGCTTGAAGAACCTTGAACCCTACACCCAAAGAAGCTCTCAACCCCAAGCCGCAAACCGAAAGCTCTAAACATCTCTATAAACCGTAACACTCCAAAAAAGCTTTAGCCGTCAAACCTAAAGCACCCTTCTTTGAAGTGGAAAAAGGGTTCCTGTAACTGTAAAGGGCTGGTGTAAGGCCTCAAAATTCAGGATTTAAGGCATAACGGCCTTAATCAGTAGAGTATAATTTTGGGGGCATATCATGCTATACTTCTGCTAGAGTATATTTCTGATAGTAAAGAAACCTAGGTCGAAGGCATTTGGTAGTTTATCCAGGCTTCTATGTGACACAAACTCGATAACGGCTCTGTATATAAGAAGTTAAGGGTTCTAAGGCGCTTAGTGTTTTTGGGATCTTGTATTCCGGGGATTGAAGTTTACGGATTCGGTCGTTTAGATTTGTGAAGGTTAAAACTTGCGGTTTCGACTTTCATAGTACCTTGCCCAAATCAGAACAAAGGAGTTTCCGGGAGAACAGAGGGATATTAGGCAATAGGGGCTTTGGGCCAAGGGCTGTTTTAAAATTTTAGGGATTAGTATTGTGATCTTGCAACTTTACCTAACAAGGGTTTTAGGGATTAGGGGCTTTGGGCCAAGGGCTGTTTTAGGAACTAGTATTGTGATCTTGTAAGGTTACCTGTCGGCGCACCTCTGCAGAAGACACAAGCTTGTTCGGGCTACTGCTTCATTTGGGACTTTCCGAAAATTCGTCGCACCTTATTTGGGGGTCCTCATAATGGGGATCCTACTTTTTAGGGTACTATATTAGGGTCCCCCATTTTCGGAAACTCCCATTTAACTACAGTCTGGTGTTATCGCTGGAAATACCGGAAGCAACATTCCTATTCAAATTAAAACATCCCGTTGCAGATGGATGGATAGTGCTCCAGTAACCTAACAAACCCTAGCCCAACACTTCAAAAGTTTTGGCACTTGCTTACAGTTCGCTGTTGACCCTCGCTCGCCTGACATCTTCGTGACAGCATCCCACGCATCCCCGGCAAGAGCAATCGATGACGCGTCGATGTCCACCAGGACTTGCCAATGTCCAAACGCAGACTTGCCTTTGACCGGCTGGCATAATATAGGGGCCTTCACAATTAGTCTATACCCCCCTTAGAACCATAATAAAAACAATATGTTTAATATTCTCTTGGGTTTTATATGAACAAAACTAAAGTATGATTCCTAAAGAGACTATAGTAATGTCAGGGGTGCCTTAAACAATGGGGGGCCCTGTATTAGGGAGTGAGGAGAATCGAGTTTAGTGCTCACTGGAATCGCCATTTCTGTAGGCTCCTTGCAAAACAATAAACACTCTAAAGCTGAAATGGGAGTTTCGAACATACCTGGGGTCCTAATAAGGATCCTACTATTTAGGGTACTCTATTTGGGTCCCCTGTTTTTGGAAACCCCCAAATAGGTTAAAACAATGTCAAGAGATGAGGGTTCCAGGACATGTTTTGCATAAGGCTATATGTCAACCCCTTCCCTTGAACGTTGCAGTCGAACCGCTTCGGGTTCAAGGGCTGCGGGTTCAAATGAAGGGTGTAGGGTGGAATAGGATCTATGGTATAATTCATATGGGAGTTTCCGACAATAGAAGACCCTAATATAGTACCCTAAGTAGGGTCCTTAATATAAGGACCCCAAAATAAGGTAACCCTCATTTTCGGAAACTCCCATATACTATGAATACGGTCCTCTAAGGCTCTCTTCTTCAACAACCGGGCCCAAAAAAGTTCAAACTTTCTCAGGTGCAGCTTATATATAAGTCCAAAAAACTTAAAGTTCCCCCGTTCCCTATGTAAGAAGGAGAAGAGTATTGGTCAGCCCTCTGACTTCTATATATGCGGCCTTGGGGAGATACAAGGTTTCTGCAGCATCCAAGAGACTTGGTTCTCCAGTAGTCCCTGAATAACATGGGAACTCTTTTAGGATTTAGGGCTTTATAAAGCAACCCAACAAGAATAAATAAGGGCCGTATTGAAACCCTAAGCCCTAAACCCTATACCCTAAACCCTATAAACCCTGAGCCCTAAACTCGAGACCCCACACCCTACAAGCCCTATACCCTAAACCGTTACTTGGCAGCCAAAGAGACGGTATTCCTGCAACAGGCACTGATAGATCGCGGTTGTCAGATCCGCCGACCCAGTTCGGATGGCCCACGACATCCAAGTCCTTAGAGTTTAGCGTTTAAGGCTTAAGGTCTAGGGCTAAGGGTTTCATGTCAGGGTTTAGGGTGTAGGTGTCGCATGCAACAGTCCCCAAAATTAGCTGTAAGTTGGGTTCTATATTAAGCAATACGGGAACCTAGAAATTGTCCCAGATCGACAGTAATAGCTATAATTAGAGCTTTAAACTAAACAAGAAGGGAGATTCTAAACCCTAAGCCCTACTTGAAGGTTCATGCGTAGCTATACATGGGCTTATAAGTCCCATAATATGGGTGATAAGTATAGTTACCCTACTTAAAACCTTACTTATAACTACCCATGAACCTCCAAGTAAACCCCCCCAATTCGATACCGAGAGTCGTCTTTACCGTCCGCATTGCAATCGTTAGTCCTTCAGGCTTCGTCTCGCCTCAGCTGGCCTTATATACTAAGGTAGGGTTTAGGGTTTAGGCTTTAGGGTTTAGGGTTTAGTGTTTGGGGTTTGGGGTTTAGTGGGTTTAGGGTTTAGGGTTAAGGTTGTAGGGTTTGGGGTTTAAGGGTGCCTCCACTTGGATGCCCAGTAACCTAGGAATAAACAGGGCTCCCTTTTTGGTGTTGGGTAACTTTATAAGGAACCTAGGACTACAAAAAGGGAATAAGGGTACTACTAGGCATCCTGGGTTAAAGATTTGAAGAAAGGGATCTACAAGGCTTCTACTATGGGGGTTATAGGAATAGGACTAAGAGTTAGGATTTGGGGTCGAGGCCCTCTCAATAAGGCCCCTTTTAAGACAGTCTGAAGTAGGGTTAAGAAGGGTTCCCGTTAAGGGGTCTCCCTAATCCTACCTGGGATTATTGCCTTTGTTCCCAAGTGCCCCCTACATAATGCGGGTACCCTGGTTCCGACTACCCATAGGCTCCACAGTAGTTCCTTTTTGGGACAACCTTATAGGATTTAAATATGAACATCAACCAGGAACTACAATGGAGCCTTTGGGTGTTCGGTTTCAATAAAGAGACCCCAAAATAATGAGTGTAAAAAGGGTACTTCTGGGGAAAAAAATAGTAGCTCGTCCGCAACTTGATGCTCGCTCCTTACAAAGAACAAGCTGCAAAAAGCAAACATGTTTTCTGCAACTGCCTAGTCGCTACCGCGCTTTATCACACCAGGGACAACTCTCTCCCAAGAAAAGGCTGCACCACCCCAGGGCTGCTGCTGGCACAATGCAGCTGCTGCCCCAAGGCCGGCTGAACGCAGATCCTCCAGCGATGCGACGCTCTCAAAGAAGTCCGGGATCTTGATTCGAAGCACACTCTCGTAGGCGGAGGCGGGCAGTGCAACTCTTCTGCGCAGAGTATCCTGATTATACTCATACCCTGAAGCCCTAAACCCTCGGTCCTACAAGCCCAAACCCAACATTAAGAAAAAAAGACTCCTAAACCCCAAAACCCTGAACCGTAAAGCCCGAAGTCCTGGTTCAGCTCTGCGATGCTCAATCCCCACCCTGAGAAGTTCAGCCACGGGCAGTCATCCGGGTAGGGCGGCCAGGGAAGTTTTTGAGCTTTTACTTGGCAGGCCAGCAATCGTGCAACCTGGGCTGTTTGAGGGTTGGGTTTGGTTCTTCATCGCCGTCAAAACTGACTTATGCATGGGGTTTAGGGTGTAGTGTTTACGGCTTAGGGCTGAGGGTTTAGGGTTTGGGGTTTAGTTCTGGTAATGTGCCAGCTCCTTTCAACTAGGTGACCCTCTTGAGTGTCAAGGTCCGTAGGCGACTGTGGGAGGTATGCTATACATGCATAGGGTTTAGGGTTTAGGGATATATGTGTGTATAGATATGTATATCAATATATATAGATACAGAGAGAGAGAGAGAGAGAGAGAGAGAGAGAGAGAGAGAGAGAGATTAGGGTATAGGCTTTGCTGTGAGCTGTTGTTGGCCAGGACTTGTTTCTGTACTCTGTCTTCTGCGAATCGTCGACATCAAAACTAGCTTAACAGTGGATGATGTAGCGAAGGACATGGAGCCCAAACCCCAAACCAGGACCCTGAACCCTAAGCCCCTGCCGGGAACCCCCAACCCCCAAACCTCTAGACCCTACATCCTAGGTCCTAAGCCCTACCTGTATCCCCAAACCCTACAGAATAGTAGGTTATGACCCCTTTCTTAGAAGGCCGAACCCTTAAAACAGAAGGTTTTTGGATTCTCTGGTAAACCCTAAACCTCACACCCTCAACCTTAGAAGCTAACGCCTACGACCCGTGAGGCTCTGTCTGAAGGATTTCTGTAAGAGGTTTCGATTTCTTGGTAGGGTTTAGGGTGTTGGGGTTTGGGGTGTAAGTCTATCGGCGCTTAGGGTCTAGTAAAGTTTAAGGGTTTAGGGTGTAAGTTTAGGGGTTGAGGGTTTCGTAAAAGGAGATCTGGTGTTGATTCTTGTTGCAGACTGTTTGCAAAGCTGGCCCTAACTACTACACCCTAAGGGTCCATGTACCTAAATAGGGTTCCTTTAAGGGTTCCTTCAAGTGTACCATAGCGTTCTATAGGGTTTAGGGTTTAAGGGTCCATGTATCTAAATTGTATATACTTTGGCCTTAGAGTACTCCCGATATATGTACACTGCGCCCACAGTGTATTATACTATGTGGGTACATGGACCCTGAGGGACAAGTCTTGATACTCGTGTCACCAGTGCTACGGCCATTGAATACTTACTATTGCCTGAGGCCCCGGACGATCACACAAGTCAGGGCGCTTCTGTGAGGGGAGCCCCTTGTCCCCTACTACAGGAGGTGCAACACTCCTGGAACCCGGGAGTTAGACCCACGTCTATGAGATCCATCTAAGGGGAATTACAAACGATGCAAGTTGCCGCCAAGTAGCTTTGAGTGTCGAGAGGCGGGTGTGTTCCTCCAGCGCTGTTCCCCATGCATTGCAAAGCACCGAATAGTCGCACTGCCCCGAGGCCACTGCACGATCCACCATGGTGCAAAAGGTGTCTGCTGACCTCCCTAAAAGATTGAGGCGCGACCTCTGCCTCGGTTCTCGTGAGGGTTTAGGGTTTAGGACCACAAGCAGGAAAGCACATCAGTTTACAAAATGAGACAACTTTATTCTGGCAACTTGAAAAAATCGCCAAGCTTTGCAATAATCAACCGGATAAACCTACACGCACACACACATCCTTCGAAAGTTTACCCTGATATCACAAAGTACTGTATCACATAGCCTATGTCCTATGTGATATCGGATATCAGGCTAACCTCGCTAACAAGCGCCCTACAACTCCCTACTCACCCGACGGGCACAGACCCCTTCTTAGAAGCGCAACCCAGCACACCCTGCAAACTCTAAACCCTAAGCCCTAAACCGGGTTGAACCCAGCTGCACGCGCTGTAGCAGCGCGCATCCGTGCTCCTCCGCCGCCCAGGCGCCCGGACTGTCGGCTCCATCGAAATGAACCTGGCACAAGGGTTTAGGTCTTAGGGTTTAGGGGCACACCCTACTATGAGGCTTAGGGTGAGGCTACAGCTTAAGTACGGAGCTAAACAACTCCTAACATGATCGCTGAAATTGAAAACACACCTCACCACCGATAGGCCCCAAAGTAGTTCCTTTTTGGGATTACCTTCTAGGGTTCTATGTACGAACCCGAAAGAGGAACTACTTTGGGGCCTTAGGGTAATCCTTATCAACAACGTAAGAAATAACACCCCCAACAACGTATTAAACATCCTCTAAGCACCCAGGCCTACTGCGATGCTTCTAGAAACCTCGACAATCCTACTGACCAAACTCTGAACTAGAACTCAAACCCTATAAAGAAGCCACTTGGAGGGGCAGGGGACTTAGTAAGTAGGTGATAAGTAGGGTTATAATGGGGGTAACTTCATTTAGGGCACTTATAACGCTACTTATAACCTACTTACTATATAAGTCCCCTGCCCTTGCAAGCAGAAAGGCCCTTTAAGGGCCTCCAAGCGCTGCCCTGGACTACCAAACTTGTAGTTGCCTTTGAGAAGTTACCCTGAACATCCCTTAGCTTAACCCTGAAAGGATAAACTCAACTAAACCCCTAAACTCAGATAAACCCAGGACTCTATAGACCCCTAAACTTGCAACTTCTGTTTGAATAAGGCGCCTCCAGCCGATGGTGGTGCTGACGCCTGGGCCACAAGTCCTTGACTGACTTCCGGGAAACAGGAACCCAGAAGCAAGAAAGCACAAACAAAAGGACTCCCTAAACCTTATTGAACTGTGATTTAGAGGGGCCCCCCAAAGGGGGTATGGCAAACACTGTTTACTAGCAAGGGCTGGCGAGAATTCGATGCGCGCGCGCAACGCACCTGCGTACATCTGTTAAATTCCCAGCCACCCATGGCACGCACCCAGACCGCCTATGATCTTCGTTGTCTTGTTCAGGGTTTCTCTGCCTGTGTCAGGCAGGCAACGCCGCTCCTCCCAACCCGCTGACCGTGGTGCAGGAATCAAAGAGCTTGCCGTTCGAGAAGGCATGAAACCTTTTTTTGTTTCTTGGAGCGGATGGGTGCAGGGTGGGCCGAGAATCATAGTGTCAGCCGGGAGGGGGCAGGGGTTGCAGCGGGGCAGGCGGCAGCGCAAGGACGGCAGTGAAGGGGCAGGGGCAGGAAGGGGCAGGGGCAGGGCCAGCAGCCAGGGCTAGGCCCCACTCCGCAGCACTCTGCAAGGCTTTGCAAGCCTTGCGGAGCTTTGCGGAGCTTTGCGGAGCGTTGCGGAGCGTTGCGGAGCGTTGCGGAGCGTTGCGGAGCGTTGCGGAGTGCTGTCCCCTCGTCGTCCGGCAGCACTCCACAACTAGCACTGGCAAGGCTTGCAACACAGTCAAGGGTGCCGCCACCGAGCCCACCCCGCCGCTGCCCGCCGCTCTACCCCGAGCGCGCCCGAGCATCCCGAGCCCGATCCCGATTTCGCGTGAGCCGCTGCTCGAGCCCACTCGACGCGAGCCCGAGGCGCCTTCACCGCCGCCACTGCCCCCGCTCGGCGGGGTTCCAAAGCCTTCCGCCCCACTGCGCACAGGTTGCTCACGCTCATGGAGGAGGAGGGAGAAGGAGGAGGAGGAGGAAGAGGAGGAGGAGTGGGAGGAGTAGTAGTTGTTGGTTGTAACTGTCATTGCTGCCCCTCCTACTGCTCACAACCTCACGGTGTACCCGGATTGCACCTTGCAGGCCCTATTAAGGCTCACTAAGGCCCGAAACTGCTAAACAAGGAAACAAACTACAAAGGCCTACTGGCTTTTGCTAGGGCTTGCTAGTGCCTGCTAGGCCTTGCTATCTCAGCTGCTTGTCTCGTGGGAAACTCGATTTGGCATACCCCCTTAGGGGGGTCCCTTTAAATCACCTCCCACTTATGCCCTAACCCCTACAGCATGAAACCCAAAACCCCAAAACCCTCAACTTTAAACCCTAAACCCAATGCCCTAAACCCTAAACCATTCAACCCTAAACCCCTCTAAACCCCTAAAGTAAAAGCCAGAAAGCTGGAATATGATTATCCTAAACCCTTTATGGTAAATTATAAGGTATCCTACCCTGAAACCATATTCCAACTTTCTGGAGTTCCCCCTAAGCCCTAAACTCTACCACTGAGCAGCCTCGAGTCTGTCAGACGCTCCTCGCGGTCGCGGGGCTCCACGAAAAAACTGCCGACGGGTGGAGCCGCCCAAGGGCTAAACCTAAGGGTTTAGGGCTTAGGGTTTTAGGGTTTAGGGTTTAGGGTTTTAGGGTTTAGGGTTTTAGGGTTTAGGGTTTAGGGATCACCCCTGCCTTAAGGGTTGGGGGAGGCAAAAAATGAAACTTTCTTTTAGGGACCGCCTGTTAGGGACCCTAATATAGTACCCTAAATAGTAGGATCCTTATTATAAGGACCCCCAAAATAAGGTACCCCTAATTATATGTGTTTCATTTTCTAAGGGTGGGGCCATCCTCCTGGTTTCGGGTTTTCCGGGTTTCGGTGTTTACCCTAAGGGTCCAAGTACCGAAATAGCATACACTCTCCAAAACCCTCACCTACATAACTACTATCCTAAAACCGAGTACCTAATTATTGGGTACTTTGGACCCTAAGGGTTTAGGATTTGGGCTTTAGGGTTCGGCATTAGGGTGAAAGAGACGAGAACTCAAACAACACAGACGCGAAACCCGACAAATAGGGCCAAATAAACGCTGGGTATCGAACTTAGGCATCTTGTCATGCAGCTTTTTTCCAGGGTTTACGGGTTGAAAGGATGCTGGTGCTTACTGTTTTGGATGTTGATTTCGCCAGGGTTTAGGGTCGCGAGGGGACGAAAGATGGTGACCAGTGACCAGTGAGTACAAAGTGTACGTGAAACCCTCCTGCAGCCCGAGACCTTAACCTACCATAGCGGCCTCAATAATTGGAATTGGGTGTTGGGGTAGATAACACTGTGCCTATTGTCAAGAACACCCCCAAACGTTGTCGGTTCTCCCTGTGGCCCCCATATTCCCCGAATCCTCTGTTCGCACGTAAACCCCGAAGGGCTCTTAAAGCACGAGCTACTGTCAGAGGTTTAAGTAGGGGAACCACGGCGACAGCTCCACTTCTCTCCATCTCTATCCCTCTCCCTTAGAATGTCTATTCCCATGTCTCTATCGCGGGCAACAGATCATGCACCAGCTGCATTGAGACATCTATGTATCTGTATCTATGTACACCAAACTGGTGGCATTAAAAATTAAAAGAATATATAGCTATATACATACACACACGCATGCATATGTGTTTCTATATACATAGAGAGAGAGAGAGAGAGAGAGAGAGAGAGAGAGAGAGAGAGAGAGAGAGAGAGAGAGAGAGAGAGAGAGAGAGAGAGAGAGAGACATAGAGAGAGAGAGAGAGAGACAGAGAGAGAGAGAGAGAGAGAGAGAAAAAAAAAAGAGAGAGAGGGAGCTCAACCCTCGACCTCTGAACCGACCCGAAGCGGACAATCTCCAAAAGCCGATCCCAAAGCAAAACCGACCTTAACCTGTTCACGGAACCCTAAACCCAAAAGCCCTCAACCCTAAACCCCTAAACCTAAATCCTTAAAATCCTAAACCCCAAACCTCTGTTGGACAAATCTACCTTGACCCCAAATAACCTATCTTCTCAAGGACTTAGACAAGTTAAAGCAACCCCAGAAGATGGGCACATTTGGCGTCGAGTCAAACACTAAACCCTACCTGGACCGTCCTTCATGGTGCGTACTTGGGGTTTTAACACGGGGTTGTTAGGCGGGGTCTCAGTAAACCCCGAAAAATTCCTTACCTAGTGTGAAGGAACCCTGAAAGATAGGTTATTTGGGGTCCAGTCAAACCCTAAGAACTGAACCGCAACAGTACCCCCTACCCAGAGAGCCCAACACCCCTTAATTAAGGAATATAGCTTAAATCATACTATGAAGCCCCTTATAGTTTAAGGTAAGGTCCTGAATTAAAGGGTATTGGGCTCTCTGGGTAGTATCTTTAAGGTAACCCTGACACTTCACTTTAAGGAACCCTACTCGGATCCCTCAAAGTGAGGAGCGTGAAGTTGATGGGCTCCGATGGTCGCGCGGTAACCTGGGTTCTAGTTAACGAATAAAGCTCAAGTGACCATAACCCAGACCCCCGGGAGGATCCAAAAAGTAGATCCCTTCATGGGGGTTCCTATAAAGTACCCTTAGTAGTATAGGGCCCCAAATTAAGGGATCTACTTTCTAGATCCTCCCGGGGGTTTGGGAATAGGGGGCTAGAAGGGTTCCTTTAAGGGATCAATAAGGGTTCCTTTAAGGGTTTAGGGTTTAAGCTTTAAGTTCCCAGATCTATAGTAAATAATATGGTTTCTATAGTAACAAAATATGGTTTCGTTCTTACAGGTAACTTAGAATAATAGATAATCCCTAACAAGAACCCAGTAGCCTGCGAAGCACGGCAGGCCCGATACCGCTGCCTCAGGTAGTTGCTCTGGTTGCCTCGGCTCTTTGAACTTCTCATACTTGGAAGGGCAGGGGACTTAGTAAGTAGGCTATAAGTAGAATTATAAGTGCCCTAAATGGAGTTACCCCAATTATAACCCTACTTATAACCTACTTACTAAGTCCCCTGCCCCTCCAAGTAGGGGATCAAGGTTCAGGTCTGGGCACATGGCAGAAGTACGAAGGTTCCTAAGAAAGAAAAACAGAGTAGAGCCGGTCCGGTCCAAAAAGTCCAGATGCCACAGACGCTTCGGAGTTTGGGGTGTATGAATCCTAAACCCCAAATCATGAATCCTAAAACCTAAACTCTAATAATGGTTCAGAGTTCGTGACGACTAGTTAAATTCGCAAGCTGAAACACTGCAAACCCCATTCCTGAAACCTTGAACCTAAAACACCAAAGCTCCGAACCCCCGTACCCTAAACTTACCTTTGGTTAGTAGGGGATGGAGGATGGGGTAAAATTATAACTACGATTACTAACATTCTTCCATTCCCTACTCATCAAAGGTCAGACTACCCCTATAGATCCCATTTTCAGGAACCCCTATAGATCCCTTTAAGGAGCCCTAAAGGAACCATTCCCTACTAACCAAAGGTAAGAAGCATCAAGATCGAAGCCCCAAACCCTGAAAAGCTTCGATCAAACAGCGCACGCAACCGGAGCCTGCAACCCAAAACCTTCTGTTGATGATATCAATCCGGCCTGCATTACCCATAATAAGCTATATACCAAAATTCCCCTAGCCTAGGGTCATTAAGCCCTAAACCCTAATTAGGGTAATGCAGGAGTTGTATCATCAACCGTTTCATGCCGTCCAGTTGCAGCGCTTCAGGTCAGGCAGATCGGCATCTTCCCTGGTTTTGGGGGCCCAGAGATCCCAATACCCCTAAAATTAACAGGGCTGTAGTGTTGGGGCTCTGAAAAGTACTCATGGATAGGTACCTCTCTAGGGACCAGAAAAGGGAATGAACAAATTTCCCAAATTGCCACCTAGTTAAGGAATATACCTTAGACTATAGGGGGCTTAATATTATGACTTAAAGTATATTCCTTCTGGGGGTCTCGCGTCTGGGGTACTTGGAGGTTCATGGGTAGGTACAGCCGGGGTTGCAAGCAAGCTAACTCATTATACTTGTATGCCCTATGAAGGGACTGACAACCCGCTTATAACTACCCACCAACCACCAAGTATAGGGTCTATAGGTCTAGCTTAAGACGTGAAGGAGCACCAGCATTTGGCAGAAGGTGGTTGCTTTAGCATTTGAGTAGGGGTTCGCAGTAGTCGTCGCTCATATAAAGACACACAGCCCGGAACCCACACCATCCTTGTGTTGCTGTAGTCGGCAAAGTACGCGATGGATTCCGAGGCTGAAACCTGCTTGTTTTCTCTGAGGCCCAACCTACATGCCAAACAAACACGAAGACTTCAAGCGTGTTGGAAACTTTAGGCGCCAACAAAAAGTGAAAAACAAAACATACACAGCCACACACACACACACACATACACACATACACACACAGACAGAAACAACCCCACAAGCACCCCAAAATGCAAAGTCGCCCCAGCTGTCGGGGCCGAGGTGCATTCGGCCACCGTCGTTTGGTATCGATGCCCATCGAACCTGGATCCCCGGTAGCCAAAATAATCAGGGCACCCTTTTCTTCCGATTGTGAGTTAATAAGGAGACCCCGAAACACAAAAGTGCGAAATGGTACTACACAGGAACACTGAAAGAACCCTCATAGTATCCTGATGCCTTATAGTACCCTTATAGTTTCCTTATAGAGCCCTCAAAGACCCCTTGTAGAATCCTTGCAGAACCCTACTGGGAGACCGGGGAACTCTGAAGTTGGTGTCAGGAAGGATCGGAACGACGATCAGCCGCAGAGTGTCGAAGCGGAAAGGGTCAAATCCTAAGTTCTTCGGCATCCCAGAGCAGGCCCTTATTCCCTTTTTTAGGGTTTAGGTTCTCTTATAACACCTTTTAACCCAACAAGGGCACCCTTTTTCGTTTATTTCTGGGCTGCTCTTTGGTCTAGTGGCCCTTAGCACTACGGTCAAGCTTGTCCTATATATGAGAGAGTCGAAGAAGACCCCCGGCTTCAGAAACCAAGCAAAAATGGTACATTGCTGACAGGACTAGAATCTGCTGACAGTCACGATAACGTCCCCTTCTGGCGAAACCTTACCATCGACACGCAGAACGTCTGTGGTGTTGGCGCTGCTGGCAACAAGCTTCACTAGGACGTCCGTGGCCAAGGGTATGTTCCGATAAAGACTGATGGCTTGGAAAGCAGCTGGCTTCCTTTCCAAGCTTTGCTCCCGCCGGAGTTTGAGCCGAAGTTGGCCAAAGATCCCGCCCTGCCAATCTGGCAATACTGAGCCGAAGCGAGCTGTCTGGTCTTGTACTTGGACATCCAGGCCGCACCTCACATCTCCAGTTTTTCTGGGGGCACGAAGAACTAATACTTCCAAAATACTACTTAACAATGCGAATAATACGACAATGCTACAGACAAAGACATCATACTACTGAGACATAATACTACTCATACTACCAATAACAACTGTGCTCATACTGCTAATAGTGAAACCCGAGACCACAAACCCCAAACCCTAAACCGAAAACCCTGCAACAAAGACGCTCTGATCAGACTACTCATACTACTATCAACAAACGTACTCATACTACTAAGAATGAACCCTAAACCCGAAAGCCCTGCAACAAAGACACTCTGCTCCTGAAGCAGTCGAGTTCGTCTCGCACCCGAACATTTGGGCTCGAAAGCTGCTCTGCACTTCGCTCTCCGCCGTCACCATCCCGCCACAACCTGGGTTTTGGGAACTTACAGGGCCCCTTTCGGGTTTAGGTTTTAGGGTTATAGGGTTTTGAGCATTTAAAGAAGTCCGTTATAGGGTTTGGGATTTGGGGTTTTAATTTAATTTTCTACATAGAAGAAGGGAAAAATGAAAATCTCCCAGCAGCCCTGACGTTCGTGCCAGGAGTAGTTGTGGTAAGCTGCAAAGCCTGGAGAGCAGACGTAGAGTTCCAGCAGCAGAGCTTCGGGTCTAGGGTTTTAGGGTTTTAGGGTTGAGGGTTTAGGATTTTAGGGTTTATAGGGTTTAGGGAGGGCCGTTTTAAGGCTTGAGGGTGTGTGTGATTTAGGGGTTTACAGGGTTGTATGTTAAAGGGTGTGGGGCTTATGGTTTAATTACAGGATTGTAAGTTTTCAGTGCGGGGTTTAAGGTCTTCAGGGTTTTAAGGTTTGAGGGTGTAGGGTTGACAGCGATTTAAGAATCGAGGAGTTAAGGCTTTTAGGATTTGGGTTCTGCAGTAATTCATGTAGGAACCTGATTCAGAAACCCTGGCCCTATCACCCCAAGGTTTCTTGATCAGGTTCCTAAACCACAAAAACCCCTAAACACTTATAGTACCCTTATAGGCACTTTCAAAGGAACATTTCTTTACACAATTACTAACCCCCTCAATTCAGAGCAACCCCTAAGCGAACCTACAGTACTCTCATTACAAATGGAGTATATTGGTGTTATATAGGGATTCTAGTACCCCAAAATGGTAAAAGGTTCGATAGATGAAATGGAGACAAGGAGCAACCAGCTCGGCCTTCGAAAGAGGCCAGGCAGTCCGGATCGTCCAGGCAATCGGGTTCTGGGATTTGGCGCTTGAGTGGCAGTGGGTATATTGGGTTTAGGGTTTAGGGGGGTTAGGGGTTTAGAGGTTTAGGGCTTTGGTGTTATTAGGGGGAGGATAGCCCCTAGTAGAGACCAAAAATCAGAATACCCTCACGCTACGCGAAATCTACACCCCAGGGCTGCAATCACTACGTCCGCTGGGTTTTGGGGGTTTGGGCTTTACCGCGATGGCTTGCAGGGTGTGGGGAGTTTTACGGACTCTGCAGGTTTGCAACTGCAAAAGAAAAACCATCGTACACCTCTCATTGCGGAGTTTACGCTCCAAGTAGCATACCACAAGTATCTTAAAAAAGGCTAGATGCAAGGACTGGAAAGCGTGAGAGTCATTTCCAATTGTTAGCTGCATGCACATTCCAGATAATTGACGTTGCGGTCAAACATTTGACCTTACACGAAAACTGACCTTAAGCCGGGCAGCTGCATGCAGAGGAATTCTTACGCGGGTAGAAAACGGTCCACGTCGCATCTCCAGCGACGCCCTTGGCATAGAAGAGCTGCCACAAGGGTTTAAGACTTTGAGGATAGGGTTAGGGTGTAGGATGCTGGGTTTCACCCTGCACACATTTCGTCTCGGTTTTGGGGCGGAAGGCTGGGTCTTGGGCTTTGAACCGTAAGAGCTGGGGCCAGCTAGGCGTCAAGAGCTTACCCGCAAACGCTGAAGCCCTAATGCAACCTGAAACCCAAACCAAGAGGGTCCATATACATGACGATTATGGAAATCAAGTCCCCCCAAACATAATAATACGCATCGTCTTTTGGGACCCTCTATGAAAGCTCTAAATTGTACATACACCCTGAAGCCCGAAAGCCCGGACCCTCTCAAGGGCTCCTGGAAGACTCAAAAACAACGTAACACCCCCATGGAACCCAAATAAAAACCTTTATGGAAGCCCATGAAAGCCAGTCGAAACCCACCTTTCAAAACCAACATGTACCCTAAACCCTAAACCCTAAACCCTTGCACAGATCCCTTTACCACCAGTCCTAGAGCCTGCAAAAAGTGCAAAGCCAGGTCACCAGCTGCTCCGCTTGATCTTTTGCGAGAGGCACGCCCAGGACATAGTCGGCGAAAATGATGGTGGCATTCAGAAACTGGAGAGGAGGAGTGATGACATAAGGACTTTGGGGTTTTGGGTAGTACTTAGGGGTTTGGGGATTAGGGGTATCGGGCTTAGGGTTTGTAGGTGTGTGGCGTTTAGGGCCGGGACATTCTCTAAACTACGGTCCGGCTTGTCGCTGTTTGGAGTCTCATGTTGCAAGCGGCGTATGTAGTTTGGAGAATGCAGTATCCCAGACGACTGCTTCCGCGCTGGCTGCGGCGTAGTCAATTGACGACATCCCTGATCTCGTGGGCAGTACAGATCTTGAAACGTGCTACAAGTCGGAATCCTATTTCCCATAGGTAAGACCTTGAAGCCCTCACAAGCCATGAACCCTTGTCGAAAATGTCGACCATTCCTGGTGGAAGTAGTAGAGACAGCTCTAGCTCTGGTTATGCGTATCGCCGTCTTCGTAGCAAAGATCTGCAAAGACATCAATGGCTATTGCAATGCAAGATTCGCCCTCTATCTCTGTGACTGCTTTCCGCATTGCATTGTGTGTGGGGCGGGACGCTCTATAAACTCTAAAGCACTGAAACCCCAAACTCAAAACCTCCGAGCACTAGAGTCTCTTGTCAAGCGGCAAGCATTAACTATCCAATAACACCCCGGAACCCTGGCCCTGAACCTTCTACATCAACACCCCAGGCCCTAAGCCCTAAACTACCAAAGCCCAACCCCTGAACCCCGGTTTAGGGTTTAGGGTTTGGGGTTGAGGGTTTAGGGTTTAGGGACCGCGTAAGCCCCAAGTCCTACGGAGCATCTGCATGGTGGCCTTGGACTGGGGCGGCACACTCAGCTGGCTGCCCGGCAGTGTGGCCCAGGCTAGGCATCGCTTGAAACCCAGCTTCGCATCTTCGAGCAGGAGCACCTGTTGAGGGTTAATGGCTTGCTACCCAAAGGCTCCAAAGTAGTTCCTTTTTGGGATTACCTTTTAGGATTCTAAATACGAACCCCAAAAAGGAACTACTATGGAGCCTCTAGGTAGGTTGTAGTTTGGGTGCCCTTAAAAGTATTGGTGAATAGGTACCTCTGTAGGAGCCATAAGGAAATCTTGAATTTCCCAACGTGCTAACTAGCTTAGGGTTTGGTTCGGGGTTTAGTCCTGTGCGGTTGGGGGTTGAGGGGATAGGGTTTAAACCCCAAAACCCCAGACCCCTAAACACCCTAAGACACCCTAAACCCTAAACGGTAAATCATTTTTGTTCGTGCGCCTTTGCCAATTTCGCCTCAGGAGCAAAGCGAACGAAATACCTTGGTGCTTCGAATGAGGCTTACAGGCATAGGGGGCCTTAATGATTCGAATAAGGTTCTCAAGTAAAGGGATAAGGCTCGGGTCTCAAGGGTGCTTCAAAGGGCTCTATAAGGGCTTCAGGGTCCCGCACAGGGGCCTTAATAATTAGAATAGGGTTCTGTACAGGGTTCCTTATAAGGGTTACGATATGGGATCTGTACGGGTACTATAATATAGGGGCCTTAATAATTAGAATAGGGTTTTGGGACCCATCATACCATACAGGCATAGGCTTACAAGCTTACAGGATTTCACTCGGTTCCCAGTACTTGGAGGTTCATGGGTAGTATTATAAGCAGGGTTATAAGTAAGGTAACTATAGTTATAACCCACATTAGGGCACTTATAACTACCCATGAACCTCCAAGTAGGTTTCACCGTTCCCTGCTCGGTCGCCATGATCCCAAACCGCGAAGCCAGGTAGCAGACATACGGTTCCCAGACAGCCCAATACCCTTTAATTCAGGAATTTACCTTAAATTATTAGGGGCTTCTTTTTATGAGTTAAGCGATGTTCTTCAATGAAGGGATGTTGGGCTTTCTGGGTTTGGGTTTAGGGTTTCATACTCTCCAAAGGGCTCTATGAGAACTACATTAAGGGTTACTTTAAGGGTGGCTAAAAGGTTTAGACCGCCTTCAACGGTTCTTGAGACGCGTAATTTCTCTTTTCTGTAAGGGTTGTTTGAGAGGTTCCATGAGGGTTTCTTGAGCGGCTTCTTTAAAGGGTTCTTTAAACGGGTACAACAAGGGTTTCAGGGGCTAGCTTTTTGGTGGTTTTAGGGTTTCAGGGTTTTGGGGTAAGCCCAAAACATGAGTAGGCAACCAGGGCACTGAGTGGAGCGCAATCCGGGATATAGGCCCTTCACAGTTACGTTCGCCACCCGTGGAACAGGCATACCACCAATGGGAACCGGCGACAGGACGCTGTAGGTGTCTTCCTGGGCAATCGGGTCTACCTGCATCCTAGAAAACCTACGTTGTTTAACATCTAGGACCTCTAGGACGTACCAACAGAACAAAAACCACAGTAGAGGAAGCCTCTCCATGGTCAAGTAGTGTTTAGGTGTTCTAGTCGGTTGAGGGTTCTGTAAGGTCTTATAAGTACATACTAAGGCCAAATTCCCCTGAAGAGCAATTTACAGCCTATTCAGGTCACACAGCCAATCTCTTTGCCTTGGACCTTGTATTGCCCCAAGGGTCCAAACACCTCATGAACATATACTCCCAAACAAAAACCTGCACAACTACTATCCAAACTAAAGTACCTGATTGTTGGTCCCTTCGGGGCCCTTAAGGGAAAGCTCGAGGGATCAACACAGCCCAAAAGCCTTAAAATAGTACGTATGGTCGTTGGGCCCAAAAGCCTGAATATATGAGTGCTTAGATCCCTACAAAAAGGAGGAAAAATGAACCGATCCAAAGCTGCCTCAAGGGCTTAATTACAGCGTCTATGTGGGATCGCAAAAGTAATCCTGCGCCCCAGAACCCTAAACATTGCCTTGCGTACAGTCAGAAACACAATAGCCACAAACAATACAGTAGTACTTACATAACTTGTATTAGTAATGCTCGTAATAGTACGCTAAAACTACCTCAAACATCTCACCTTGGCAGTTTACAGGTTAAACCTCGGCGAGATGGACAGCATTTCATATCTTGTTTGGGGGCGCCTAGGAGCCAACAGCGATTTAGGGTTTAGGGTTCAGGTTTCAGGTCTAGCGCCAAGTTTAGGGTTGAGGGGCGCCGTTGAGGATCCTTTGAACCGACTTCAAGAAAGCCACATGGACTGGTGAAGCGAAATCCAGCCTCATCCCCGCACTCTCGGTTCTAAAGCCAAAACAATGCTTGAGAAAGCAAACAAAAAGCAAAAACAAAACGTAGGCTACCTCTAACTCTCATGAACATCCCTGTGAGAAAAACCAAGGTCTATGGTGCCTTGATTCTCATATTGTGGAATGACAGGAAGTCTCATAAGTAGCGCTGCACACCCAACCAAGTTTCCGTGAGGGGGGGCGAAACCGTCACCCGGGTACTGCGCGCTTCGGGAGCGGCAGCCAAGAGCGTTAGTTGTCGGACGACCTGATCTGCGCTGAGCACGTAGTGGTCCTGCGTTGTCTGGGAAAGGGTTTAGGTTCTGGGGTTTATAGTTTAGCCTAAACCATCCCAAACCCTCATGCTGAACACCAAAACCCTCAACCTGCAGACCTTAAGAGCGCAAAGACTCTGAACCTCAAAACCTAAACCGCGAAACATAACATAAGTACCATGACCTACTTCTCTGTGGGTTCGTAATCCAAACCCGAATACACATTGAAAAGGCCCCTACGAAACAGTTTTAGGGTTCCAGGCTCGGAGTGTGGATGTAAGGCCCCCCACAGGCAATATACCCTAAACACGTAAGCCATGCACCCTTAGCCAAAAGACCCTAAACCCATTATGCCCCATACAACCCCACACTTGCCAGACCCTGGGAGGATCCTGTAAGGGGGTTCCTGTCAAGTACCGAAGTAGAGGATCCCAACTTGGGAGATCAATTTTTCAGATATTTCCGGAGGTTTGGGCTACTCTAACTCACAAGACCTACGGCCTTAAACTACCATAACCGGCCTTATGTAAGCTCTCATTTTATGGGGATGCTGCGAACAAAGTAGATTCTGCTAGCTCCAAGTCCTGCGATGCAGAGAAGTCCAAGTTTGTAGCCAGGCCGCTCACCTGCAAAGGCGAGGCATTTGAAAACCTTCAAGTTCTATACATTCATTTCAATTAGTGGGCTCATCTGGAAAACCTGTACTCTAAACCCTACACCCGAACCTTAAACCCACAACCCGACATCCTGAACCCCTACAGTACCCTTGCAATGACCCTTTTAGGTTCCCTGAAAGGAACCGTCATAGTAATTCCATAATATAAAGTCCCGTTCAAGGAATCCAGAGACTCCAATGTCCCTTAATTAGTGAATATTCCTCAGAGCACATTAGGGATCCTACCATAATTTGAGGTGGAATCCTTAACTACGGGTTGGAGTCTCCTAAACCCTATAACCTCTAGATCCCTTTTAGGATTTGGGAACCCTGATGGATCCCTTTCAAGGAATGCTGGAGTCTCTGGGAACAAAGCCGGATAAAAAAAGTATAAACTTTTATTTCATAATGGTTCCTTTAAGGAAAAATCCCTAAAGCCTAAACCCTAAACCAAGAAAGCTGACCTGCAGAGTCTCCAGCTCTCCCCGCGAGCACACGAAGAGCATGCTCTGCAATGCCTCAGTGCCACGCTTGCTGATGGAAATCCTAGGGTTCCTTTAAACGGATCTATGAGGCCACCTTTAAGGGGTTCCTTTAAGGGATCCATAGGGTTTCAGGGTTTAGCGGTATAAATCCTGCATTACCCAAAATTAGGAATATACCATAATTCCCATACTCTAGGGTCATCAACAAGATCAAGGTAATGCAGGATTCATATCATCAACCGTAAGATTTGGGTTGAAGGTTTAGCGTTTAGGGTTTTTTGCTCAAGGGTTTGGGGCTTGAGAGTTGAGGGTTTAAGGTAACGCGGGAGCCTCGATGAGTAGGAAAGGGCAAAGGAGTACGAAAATTTTGGTTTTCTCAGGGATACGACAATGGTTTCTAGGGACTCGGGGGTATAATGTGCATGTGCAAAGTAGCCATGGTCGGAGCCGCCTCAAAGCCCGATCCAGCCGCTGTCGGCTCGAAGCTTGTCAAGACGACCGGTGTGGCTGCTCATCCTCGTCTCGCGCCTGGTACACCTCGCCATTCCCAGGCTCCTGACGCCCCAGTCGTCGACGCTGACGACGAGCTCGATTTCTGCTCTGAGTAAGCGGCTGGTCCCGGACTTTGTCTGCGTCCGTCGCTTCGTAGCGGTTCTCGTACCGGCGAAGCTCGAGGACCAGCCGCTGCATCTGGACCGTTGCTGTTTGGACTTTCATGAGGCTTGCAGCGCGCTCCACATCAAGGGAACATGGAGTGCCCCATGTCCCATGCTGTTGGCCAGCTGCGAGAGCAAATGCCGCGCACTGGCATCCATATCGAAATTGCCTGCATCTTCAAGCTGGCACGTCACCCACCTTAACCCTAAGGGTCCATGTACCCAAATAGTATATACATTGGCCCTATACTGTTTGGGTACACGGACCCTTAGGGTAAAGAATTTAAGAGAATTTAAAAGTTAAAAGATTTAATTCCCTGGGCTGGAGCCGCAGGCTGGGGTCCAGCTGGACATACGTAAATTCTCTTATTCTTCAAATTTTAATTCCGGACGATTTATTTTGTAAAGGAGTTTAAAGAATTTACCCAGAAATCGGCAGAGTTTGGCTTTGGCCACATGTTCGTCCTGAGGTTGGAGGGCATCGTACTACACAGCCACCTAGAAAGTTTGGTATTCGGGCATCTCAGTGTTCAGCAACCTGCGGAGGTACATTTAGAGTTCCAGACGACTGAAACATTTAAAGAACTTCCCGTGATTGAATTCAAAAAAGTCTTTATATGTTAACTCCGAATGAATATTATATATATATATATATATGTGTGTATGCACACATGAATATTCATATACAGAGCCAAGCCCTTCGCCAAATAGACCCTAAAGGTCCTACGTACATAAAGCCTAAACCCCTAAGCCCTTAAACCTCTAACCTCTACACCTAAAGCCCCAAACCCGCGACATCCAGGTTGCAGTGCTAGCCAGAGCCAGGGCCAAAGAACAGAAGCAACCGGGCCACACCATGAAGCCAGCCTTGCCACAAACGGGATTAAGTTCAGGGTTTAAGGTTTAGGGCCCAATGGGGCTTGGGGTGTCAAAACCCATTCTGAGTAGGTGCGTATAGTACTTGGGACTTGGGGGTGGTTTTGTCAAGGTTCCGAAGGGGTTTTAGTATTTGGTGTTTAGGGTTAGGTGTGAGCTCAAGGTTGGCTGATAAACCTTACCTGTGAACGGAAGAACCGATTGTGTTAAGGTTAAGGGTCATTTCTTAGGGTATTGGGGTTCAGAGTCAAACCAAACTGTAGCGTCCTAAGAGCAGAACAGAACATGCCCGAGCAGAGCATTCGGGAGGGTTGTTGCTCCCTAAAGCTGAAATCCTTCGCGATGTCGGGATTGAGGCTTTGGGGGTTAAGGGTGTAGGGATTGAGCATTCAGGGGCTTAGGTCTTGCAGCCCATCAACATCCTTTGTTTAGCTTCTTCCATACTTGTTCAGCAGAAGTATGTGTAGAGGCCAGTCTGATGTCTATACGACTGTGAATTTCGCGTGCAACATGAGTTCAAACACCGCCTAGGTTTTAAGCAACCAGGGAGAAAAAAATCTAAACTCCTATTTCATAATGGTTCCTTTGAGAAAAAAGTATTAAAGTATCGTACTCCAAAGCCCAGAAACATGGGGGTCGAAGCTTGCCTGGGTCAACCCTCGCGGTCGGATCCCTATATGACAGAATACGAATAATTCTACTCTGATTGCGTTTGTCCACACTACTGGGAGGTTCATAAGGGCTTTAAGGTTCCTTTAAAGGGATCTTTAGGGTTTAGGGATTGGGGTTTGGGGTAGTTATAAGTAGGGTTACTATACTTATAACCCATATTAGGGGACTTGTGACCCCACTTATAAGTCCTCATGAACCCTACACCCTAAACCCTACTATAGAACCCTTAAAGGGTATTAAACCCTTATAGCCCCACTTATAACTCCCCATGAACCTCCGAGTACCTGTCCCCGAAGCCCTCTACACCTGCAGTCGAAAACTTAAACCTTGACCAAAAGGAACCAAACCCTAAACCCTAAACCTTTAGAGCTTTAGGGTTCAGGGTTTAGGAATCAGGAATACTATCGGGGCCTTAACAATTAGAATAGGGTTTTGGGGGCCCAAGATACTATAATTATAAAAGGAGCCCCCAAAATAGTATAGGTAATTATTTAAGCCCGTATAGCGGTTTTCCGAAGATTGCGTCTCCTGAATGACCTAAACCCTGTCTTGGCCAGGCAGCATGCGAACTGGTAAGGTTCAATCTCTGTGCCGAAACCTCAACCCTAAATCCTAAGCCCTTAAGCCCTGAACCCTGACACCCTAAGCCCTCAAACACTAAACACCTAAACCCCTATGTATTTATAAATGATCCTAAAAAACCCTAAAACCTTAAGCGCTTTCTTAGCCCAGCAGCACGTGAACTGGTAAGCTTCAGGATGCGCTGCCGCTGCCAAACCACATCCCGGACCAGTCCGAACGGCGGCGCTCCTAACGGGTTGCTTAGGGCTGTTTAATCGAAGGGGAAAAGGAGGGACACTTCATGGGGACCCCTACCCTATAATGGGCTATATAATGGGTATATAGCTATATTAAGGGTATAGTATATACCTAGGGGTCCTTATTCAGGGTCCCTCCTTTTACCTTTGGATTTAAGGTTTATAGGGTTTAGGCAGGGGATCCAGCAGGACACAAAGCCAGCGCTGGGCATGAGGGTTACGACAAGTGTGCTGTAGGGGTTAAGGGTATACTTAGAGGATCATGGGACTTAGTAAGTAGGTTATAATTGGGGTTATAAGTCCCCTAAGTGGGGTTATCCTAATTATAACCTACTTATAACCTTACTTACTAAGTCCCATGGGCCTTCAAGTAGGGTCTCCTCAGATTTAGTGTTGGGTTCCATGAGGTTTTCGGATTAGGTTTCAGGTTTCAGGGCTTCATAAGCTTTGGGGTTTGCGGTTGCATTATAAGGTTTTTGCGCAACTGGCCAGTTCGGCACACATTACTCATATTGACCTTGATAACGTGAAGATCTGACCATATTACTAACAGGCCAGGGGGGAATTGCAAATCTACTATCCGCATGCAGACTTCCTTCTGGGGTCAGTCAGGGGGAGGGTCCATACGGCTTCTTGACAGCACTCCGATGCGGCTGGCCTGCATTTTGACTATCGCGTCCTCTTTGGAAGCCGACATTCAAAGTCGTGGGTGCGCAGAGAAGGGTTTAGGATCCCGAGCACTGCTTAGGGTACCGTTTGTGGTGTTGGTTTAGGGTTTAGGGTCTATTGTTTAGGGTCCGTCTGATGATGAAGATGACGATGATGAAGACGTCAAGTATGATTCAACCGACGACTCAAGCACCGATAAGCCTGCCCACCAACCCCTAGCCCCAAGACCCTGTAGCAGACCCCTAATATCATTCAACCACCAACCACACCCAGGAGGCCCTGAAATACCCCGCTCAGGGGCACCCGTATCAAATGTGACACGATTCGAAGCCCCTTTGATACCACACGCACACAAACAAACCTTCTGAAACCACTCCAAGCCCCCGGATAAAACTCTTGCGAAGTCCTACGAAAACCTTTTGACGCCCTTATGTGTAAACCCCCAAGGAACCTCCAAACAAGCCCATAAAACTATAAAAGGATAGACATCTATCACAGCTCCAACCCGAATTCAACTCCAACCCTAAAGCCCCAAGCACCTAAACTCTGACAACTTATACTAGATGTCGATTTCAACAGTCCCCAAGATCATTTATAGTTAGGGCTCTGTACTCAACCATACACTAACGGAAATTAACAAATTGTCAGACATCGCCGCCAAGTACGAAACCCTAAACCCCTGAAAGATTCCTTCAAGGAACCTCTTATAGATCCCTTGAAACAACCTGAGGAACCTCTTATTGATCCCGTTAGGGAACCTTTTAGGGCTCCCTTTGAGGAACCCATTCTGGATCCCTCAACCCCAAACCTTAAACTTAAACCTTAAACCCTATAAACCCCTTGTAGATCCCCCTAAGGAATCCTGAGCCCGTTAAGGGAACCTAAACCCTCAACCTTACACCCTAAACCTTAAACCCTAAACCCTAAACCTTAAATACCTAAACCTTAAACCCTAAACTTTAAACCCCTGAAGGAGCCCAGGTACAACGGCCTTGTCCATGGCATTCGGCGGCCGCCTCTGCGTGGACCTCCCGGCCTTCACGGCCGGCCTGCAGGACCTGCTTAGAGGATCATGGGACCTAGGGTTCCTCAAAGGGCTCCTTAAAGGGTTTAGGGTTTAGGGATCTATAATACAAGGGTTCTATAAGGGGTAGTTTAGGTTACTTAGAGGACCATGGGACTTAGTAAGGGTGCTTAAAGGGCTCCTTAAAGGAATCCATAGGGTTCCTTAAAGGGATCTATGGGGTTTAGGGTTTAGGGTCTACTTGGAGGCTCATGGGACTTAGTAAGTAAGGTTATAAGTAGGTTATAATTAGGATAACCCCACTTAGGCGACTTATAACCCAATTATAACCTTACCTTACCTACTAAGTCCCATGAGCCTGCAAGACCTGTGGAAGGTCTCAAGTGGGGTCCTTTTAGGGCTTTAGGGCTTAGGGTATAGAGTTTAGGAGTTTAGGGCTTAGAGTTTTATAAAGTTTAGGGTTTTAGGGCTTAGAGTTTAGGGTATACAGTTTAGGGTGTTAGGGCTTATAGAGTTTAGGGTATAGATTTTAAGTACGCTCCTTTCGGCTCCAGGCTTTCTTTTGGTCTTTGTTGAAGGACTCTTGGGGTTTAGGAAATTTTGGGTTTCAAGTGGGTCCTGCAGAGTTCCTTTGAAGGGCTTCTTGTAGGTTTCGGTTGGGGTTCCTTTAAGGTCTGATGCCCTATAAACCCTAAAACCCCAACAACTATACCCCCCTTAGGACCCTAACAAAAATATGTTCAATCTTCTCTTGGGTTTTATATGAACAAAAAGAAAAAGATAATTCCTAAGGAGACTATAGACAAAGCTCTCCAAGGCCCTAAGAGCTTGCAGTGTTCAGAGAATGCAAAACCCTAAACCCCTAAACCCTAAACCCCTAAACCCTAAGCCCCTAAACCTTAAACCCCTAAACCTCTGAACCCCTAAACCCTAAACCTTAAACCCCTAAAACCCTAAACCCTACACCCTGGAACCCTGTCAGGGCCCTGAACTTCCAGACTGTCTCCTCGAATCTTGCAGCGCTAACCTCCGTTCATAGAGTTTTTGGATTTTAGGGTTTAGATTAGGCACTGCCCCCGTGCAGTAAGAGTCTATATAGGGCTACTATTCAGGTCCTATTATAACCATATTAATATTATGTATATTATTCAACTATTACTGAGTGGGGGCCGTGCCGAAGGTGTAGACTTCAGGGATTAGAGTTTGTGGTGTTTGGAGCTCCGGGTTCAGAGTGTAGTGTTTGGGTTGAGAGTTTAGAACTTAGGTGTCTAGGGTTTAGGGTGTTGGGGTCCAAAGCCTAGATCATCAACACAGCCTTGACACGAAAGATAAGCCTGAAAGCCCATTAACCCCTGCAGGACCCTGCAAAAGCACTGACAACCCCATTCAAAACCCTAACCCCTAAACGCTGCATCCAACACGGTCCATATACACTATCTTTTTGGAATAAGGTCCCAAGGGCCATAGTGGGGATGGTCTTTTGGGACGTAGTTCCAAAATGGTAGTGTATATGGACCCTCTGGGCATCATATGAAACCCCAAACACAAATCTTGCAGGCCTCCTCCCACTGCAAAAATGCCCAAGTCAGCATCGGCCCCTTGGTGGAACCTTCGGTGAGAGGATTCAGGATCGCCTCCTGAGCTGAGCCGAGATGTTTTTTTTTGGGCTTAGGGGTTTAGGGTTTAGGGTTTTGTTCGAGCTCCTTTTTCCGCCTAAAGTACCAGTCGTCGACGAAAGACCACTTGAAATGTATCTGTTTGGAAACAGGGTTCTTCTGACTTGTATGTGGTGTTGTCGCGGGTTTGAAGGTACTCTGATGTGTTCTAAGCGGGTTTCTGTAGGAGCTCCATAAGATTGAGAATTTTAGGCGTGGCTCTGTAGAGTTCTAAAAATGTTTATCGGGCTTTATCGGGGTCTTGTAAACGCTCTATATGAGTATCTCAAGGGGTCAATAACGATTGAGAATCGCCTCCTGTGTTTTTGTTAAGGGTGCATTGGGACTTTCGCACCGCTGACTCCCTGCCCGATTTGGGCTTGCACTCAGAAAAGGGCACACCCCGTTTGAAGTGGCACAGTAAGTTAGGCTTCGTTCGACTTAAATCTAATTTAAGTTACTATTTTCAGGAAACCCTATTACTTACTATAGATCCGTATTATGGCAACTGAAATTAAATTCCTTAACAAAAACCCAGTTGAGGGGACACCTAAACTCTAAACCCTTGACCTTAGAAGGGGCCCCCACCCTGTAATTGTGGTATAATAGGAATATAATGTGGCCCTAATAATCCTTATAGTTTATAGTCACTATTACAGGGTGGGGGCAGCTTCTAACCTAAACCTTAGGAAATCCCCCTAAGGCCAGGCGGCAACCCCCCTGGGCCGGAAGCCCACCTTTGCTGCGTTGTTCTCCGCATCGGCACGCGCCTGTCTCAAAATTTCCGTAAGGTTTATAGGGTCTATAGGGTTCAGGGGTTTATGGTTTATGGGTTTGGGGTTTAGGGGTTTAGGGTTTAGGGGTTTTGGGTTTAGGGCTAGGGGATTCAGACCGGCGGCCAAAGATTTGCAATCGCAAGTTTTGGAGTGCACTACACTTGAATAAGATAGGGGACACGTGCGAGTACTCAGCATGGTAACAATACTAGCAGCAATAAGTTCTTCTTCTTACTAATCTTTGTCATGACTAGAAGTAGTAAGCAAGTATATAAGTAAGCAAGTAAGTAATGTAACTTGGTCGGCCCTTTAAAGCCTCCGAAAATATTCGTAAATAGGGTCCTATGATGAAGCCCAGTAAGGGAAAACACAAAATATCCCAAAGGCCTGCCTAGGCAAGTAAGAAAGTAAGAAAAGCTCAGCATGCACATACGATGACCTAGATCTGGCTTCATCGACTTTTACGACGCTCAAAAGTGGAAATACGAGGAACTCTCGCCCTAGTCGCTAGACCTGTGAAGAGCGGGTTTGGGACCTGCACACCTGCAGAATAACGGCGTGATCTCTCTCTCTCTCTCTCTCTATATATATATATAAGTATACACATAAGACTGTTAGGTAGAACTTTCGCGGATTTGTTGACTGATGCCACTTGCGGAGCCATCGCGAAACTTTCGCGGACACCTTATTCTCCATCCAAAACCGTTTCAGATACAAACGAAGGCAAGGAACTGTAGATATGGACACTTGCACAGGCATAAGCCCGAGCAGAAATGCCACGACAAGCCTTCGACAGGTACAACCCGTCCGAGACCCCAAACCCCCAAAACCCAATGCCTAACTCGAATCCAAAGCAGATGGCTTGATGAGCGCAACGCCTTCGTCATTCACGTAAATAAGGAAACCTATCAGGGCCTGTAACGAGTAAGGGAGAGAAAGAACCCCACGTAGAAATCCCAAAGACCCATCCCAGAAGGAAGATGTTTTCTACCGTAGGAGCCTTAACGGCTGCAAAAAATGATTTTTTTCCGGAGGGACGGGGGGACATGATACGATGATTATGATTAGGATTAGGAACCCTCAGGAATACCATAGTTATTCAGCAGTGAGCCCCATACTCCCTCAGCCGGAAGACCCCAAGACCCACCTTAAAGCCACCACCCTGCACCGTAAACTGGCCCTAAAGCCTCCTAAAGACCACACCCGAGATGCAAAGCCCTGCACTGCAGCACCGAAGAGGAAGAAAAGCCCCTTAAACCTTTCTAGAACCCTCAGAGATAGAATCCTCACCAAACCCGACTGTAAACCCCGGACCCCTAAACCCTAGACCCTGAACCCCTTATAAAATGATGCCGTTTCGGACCCGCCTTCACGCGAAGGAGTAGGTTGATGACTGGGCCGACGAGGGCCGTGATAACCAGCACCATGTAGCCTTGCATAAGCTCAAAACTCCTCAACCCTAAAACCCATATTCGTAAACCTCCCAAATCCTATTTCTGAACCCTAAACCCTAAACCCTAAAACCCTAAACCCTAAAACCCTAAATTACCTGAAACCCCAATGCCTCGCAGGTTTTGTATGCTCTACCTGCGAGGAGTTCTAGAAGGGCTCCTACAAGGAATCTGTGAGGGGTGTATGCGGTGTAGGGCGTGGGGCTTGGGTCTTAAGGTATGGGGTATACTAGGGTATACGGTTAAAGGTCCAGGGTTTGAGGTGTAGGGGGTTTAGTGTCCGGAGTTGGCTATCATCAGGTCATCACCGAAAACCCTTTGCAAAACCATACCCAAACCTCTAAATGCTGAGCCCGAAGCACACAAAATCAAAATTCTTCAGTCCAAAACCCTACTTAGCGATAATTCGACCCTAAACCCTAAACTCCCTAAACCCCAAACCCAACCCACAACCCTAAACTCTAAACCCTAAACCCAGAACCCTAAACCCCCGGACCGCCAGAGAAGTATGGCCTTTGGGGTCGACACTAAGAGCCCTGTACCCAACAAAAACCTATACTTAGGACTTAGGCCTGAAAGTTTAGGGTTTAGGGTTATTTTGGTACCTTGGAGCCGAAGTATAAGCTAGTTGGGTACATGGAACCCTAAGGGTTACAGTAGGCTCCACGAGGATAAGGCTCGGAACAGAATGGCCAGACAGGTCACTTGGTATTGGGCTGAAAGACGTTTGGGCTTGGGAGGTTTCAGGATAAAGCCTACACCCTAAGCCCTAAACCCTAAACCTACCGAAACCTTGGGTCCCTATCATTTCGATGGTTCCATACATGGGTTCAACTTCAGAAGTGGCATATGGTCATATGGTGGTTTAAGGTAGGGCTCTGCCAGGGAGCCGAACTTCTGGCCGGAGAGTCCGGCCCACAGCATGCCTCCTGCTGACGTCAGGGCATAGAATATCACGCCGGTGGCCAAGCCCTTGGTCCAGTTTCGGCTGAAAGAAAAAGTATAGGGTTTGGGGTCTAGGTTTTGCCAAGCCTTTCGATTAAGTTTCGGGCGGGAAGCGGGACTTTTGGGCTATATGTAAGGACAGGTAGGGATAGATTATGCCTCTGAGCACTTGAAGCCTTAAACAATCAACCCCGAACCCTATTAACTTCATCCAGCCCAAAATGACCAAGCCTCCGAACAAAATACTTGGCAAACTCTTCCTGTCTTTTTGCGGATGTTGGGTCTCAGCAGGGTCTAGGTTTTAGGATTTAAGCATTATAGTTTTAGGGTAGCTTCAAATATCATGAAACTACGGGGCAGGGGGGGCCTAGCAGCGCTGCACCATATATAGGTAGTACTCAAAATCGTCCCTTTATCGGTCCCCAAAATAGTACGGCACACTTCTAAGAAAGGACCCGAAACGGAACCGTAATGTGGGGCACTGAATACATACCGTAAATAGACGCGGGCTTTGGAGGGTCTGACACTTACCCCTCTACGTTCCCAAGCAATCTGAGGAGGTGTTACAAACTTAGTAGTTGAGTTCACAAGCCCCAACAAGTGTACACTTTCAGTTTTATAGTGGGTTTTAGGGCTTAGGGTTTAGGGTAGTATTATCCAAAAAAGTGTAAAGTGTATCCACTCAGCTACTAAACAAATATTGAGGCCCCTAGACTTCGATTCCGAAGACAGGAACATAAACTCGATCCCTCTAGGCCAGAGATCGGGCCACGGCCAAGTTTAAGAGTTACGGTTTTGTGTGTCGGTGTCGGCTTCGCATGCTCCATGGGCTTCTTGCAGTGTTTACCATGCAGCCGCAGGGTTTCAGTGCATGATATCCACGAATCAGACAAGAATCCACCAAGATGAGGCTCAAAATTGGCATTAAAGGCTCCCGAGACAGCTACTGCGCGCCGGATCAGCGCCCCCAAAGAGAAGCTTCTTGCAGGGAGCGAACTCTAAACCCTAAACCTTCAACCCTGCAACCCCCGACCCTATACTCATACTAAGTAATACTAAGGTCCCCTTCAAAGTAAGGGGCAGAAGGGCACTTGGAGGTTCATGGGTAGTTATAAGCAGGGTTATAAGTGGGTAACTGTGCTTACGACCCATGTTAGGGAACTATAACCCTACTTATTATAACTTACAACTACCCATGAACCTCCAAGTAGAACTTCTTGCGGGCAAGAAGCATAATCCATGTATCTGACTGAGGGAGTGTTGCGAACACAGTGCCCGTTCAGCAAGTAGGCTTCGCTCAGCTGAATCTGGCACATCGACCTCGGGTTTCGGTTTCAGGCGTACAGGGGTTGAGGGTTTAAGGGTGAGGTTTAGGGTTTATAGGGGCCCGTTATATGGGATATTCCTCTCCTAATGTTTGCTTATGTGCGTTTTTGGGGCCGTAGTTTAGGGGTCTCGCAAATCCAACAAGAGCTTTCCTGTCATGGCGGTGTAACCAGACCTATGCCCCGAATGTCCAGCAGTCTAAATCCTAAACCACACATGAACCCTATAAATGCCTATAAACCCTAAATGCTTTCAGCCCTAAGCCCGAAACCTTATGGAACCGTAAGCCCTAAACCGTATGAAACCCTACATCTCGCCTCACGGCAGTCTACCCTGAACACCCCCAGAAGCCCACCAGTAGGGTGTGGTACATGATGGTCCAGTTCGCTTGAAAGTACTGCCCAAAGACTACTACCTATAGAGGCTCCATAGTAGTTCCTTTTGGGGGTTCATTTTAGGATCCTATCAGGTAGTCCCCAAAAGGAACTACTATGGAGCCTCTGGGTACATTCCTCAAAGTAGCCGAACTGCTTACTGGCCACGTGCACCCTTACAGAGTTGTCCTTTAAGCCAATTGAAAATTATTTACTATTATGGTTCTCTACAAAATAATATATAGGGAAATTAAAACAGATCCCAAAGGACAACCCAGCTTAGGGGCTGCAGCACCGACCAAACATCGAATTGCACTGCAAAGAGCTGGAAGGAACGCCACACTGCGAAGGAGCTCAGCAGCCCGGCAGAGAGAATCAACCTGACGTGTCAAAGTGAATCGTTAACCATCTTTGACCGTTTTTCTCAAGTTTATTTAAGGATTGAAAGATACCACGAAAGCCAAACGCACCGTGCAAGATTGGCAGTTTTACTTGCTAGTCGTGCTGTGGCATTAGAAATTGCCAGACAATCAATCCCGTTTGTCGAAGTAGCCGAAGAGAAAGTCAAAGTGTCTGCTCTATACTGGATCACATGCGGAAACCAGACTCCCTCAAAAGCAAACACTAGTAAATCAACACCCCGCCCAAAAACCCAAAACCTTCAATAGTATGCAACGCCAGGACCTAAATTGTGTCATGCAGTCAATTTGCACATGTTTCTGGTTGTCCCACCCTGGCACTGCAACTAGCGAGTGCAACACGTTTTCTTTCGGGCTCAGGGTTTCACGGGTTCAGTGCCTAGGGCTTTTAGCGTCCAGACTTTAGGGTTGGTGTCTTCTCGGGTTTCGGGTTGTGGTTTTCGAGTTAAGTTTTCGTGGCGAAGCGTTTCGGACCGACAGCTCTTCCACTTACACGAATGTCAGTTTTGCCATCTCTACAATGGCTATCTTTCGGAAAGCTGTTGGCCAACCTAACCTGGCCTAACCCCACAAAGAAAGACCAAAATGCCGGGATTTACAACTAAGATCCTCATGATGAAACCTAAAGCATAACATATACCCAGAGAGCCCAATACCCCTTAAATAAAGCAATATACCTTAAATTGTAGGGGCTTCATCTTATGGCTTAAGCTATATTCCTTAATTAAGGGGTATTGGGCTCTCTGGGCACTCGACAGCAGTCTTCAAGAGGCCTACTTGCACTCAGAAGATTCCTTAGCATCAGTGCTACTTGACATATCGCTACAGCCTAAACACCAAAATATCAACCCCCACCACAGACCGCAAACCCTATGGTATAGATCCTAAACCCTAAACCCCAAGCCACAAACCCTGAACCCTGAACCCTCAACCCCGAACCCTGAACCCTAAACCCTTTAACCCCCTAAACCCTAGACCCCTATAGTACCCTTATAGTAACACACATAGTAAACCGTATAGTAACCCTTATAGTAACCCTTAAACCCTAAACCCTTGTACAGTAGAAGCCAGAAAGTTGGAACACAAGTGTCCTCATACCCTCAAGGTAAAGTAGAGGGCATCCCAACATGAATCATCCTAAATCCATGTTCCAACTTTCTGGGGTTCACTATAAACCACACTTCAACCTTAAACCCCAAGCCCTGAAATTTGGGGCCCTTAAAGGAACCCTTAACCCTAAACCCTCGTAGGGTCAGCGGGCATCAACTTTCGCAGCCAAGCGGCAGCCAGATCACAACTTCGGGGACTTGAGCCTCTAAGGCCTGAACAGGACAGGTTTTAGAATAGGGCTCCTTTAAAGGCTTCCTTTTAATTATAGGATCCTTAAGGGGGGGTGGTTCAAGGGGGGAGGGTACTAGGGAGCCTTGGGGAACCTTAGGGAAGCTTAGGGAGTATTGGGGAATAATGGGGATTACTAGGTTACCTACCCCCCTTGGACCACCCCCCCTTAAGGACATCCTAGTTTAAAGGGGTCTACAGGGGATCTAATGTTGGGTTTAGGGTTTAGGAGTTCAGGAGTTAAGGTTGGGGGGCCTGAACAGGACAGCTCCAGGCCTCTCGGGCTTGAGGTCTTTTTTTTAAGGGGTCTAGGAATTAGGGTTAGCTCCAGTTTAAAGTTTGTTTTAAAGGGTTTAGGGTTTGGGGTAGCTCCAGTTTAAGGTTTGTTTTAGGGTTTAGGCGTTAAGGTTGAGGTTAAGGATTTAGGATGTAGGATTTTTAGGGTATAGGATTTCGGGTTTAGGGCTTAGGATTGAGGGTTTAGGATTAGAGGCGTAGGGTTTGAGATGTACGGTTTAGCATAGCAGACCAATTATGATTTAGGGCTTGTGCTTGCTGGCAAGCAAACTGACGGTAAAGACTTCGGATGGCTAGGGATTCCACCAGTCAAAGAGGTTTCAGCAACATAGGGGCTTTGCATTCTTTAGCGGGGCCGGGGTTCCAATCATTAGAAGAGCACTTGAGGGTGTATTCTAGAATACCCGTATAGTGACCGCAGGGTGTGAGTTTGATGTCTTAACTGTTCCGCGCCTTATGATATCGAGCCTCGGCCTTTGGCATGGATTCCTAGGTGCAAGCATGGGGTATACGTTTTCGTCTCTTCGGGTCGAGGGCTCAAGGTGTTTAGGTTTCATGGGCTCAGAATTTTGGGTTTACTTGCCGGTATGGGATGTAGGCTGAAGGAATCAAAGTACACAAAGGCAGTCGGAGTTGTGTCATTCGGGTATACCTGCGTGAGATTATGGGGCCTTCTGAGAGCCCTATGCTGAATGCAGGGGATGAGCGCCTGCTCTGAGCACATTTGCTCTTGTAGGTCGGAAAGGGCGAGGCAACGGGTTCTCTTTTTTTAGGTACGCTAAATATTAGCTGCGGTATTCTAATAAGGAACCGAAAAGGGACCCTAATTTTGACAACCACCCATATAGATCCCCTTAAAGGATAGACAAGAGGGAATTCTACGACATTTCAAACTTTAAACAGCGTTCAAGTGCATTCTGTGGTTTGAGGTTTGGGGCCTTTAAAAATTGATGTTTGCCGGAGTTCAAACTCAAAGCAACGCCCTTGAGACCCAACCTCTATTTACACCTCTTCTGCTGCACCATATCAATCAATCAGCAGCTTACGCCGTAGACTCTAAACCCGAAGCTCTACTCTGAATCTCAGACTTAACCCTAAACAAAACTAGGATCAAAAGTGTAAAACGGAACCTCTCCTTACAGTAACCTTTAAACTAGCTTATTGTAGCGCTTACAGTAGCGAGTAGCATTCAGTAGCCCTACAAACCTTACAAGGCATCAACTAACTAACGGAGAAACCCGCCTTGCTCACGGCGATACTCTGCGTCGTCGTCATCAAAGTGACGAAGCCGAAGGCACCCGTACCACCCTTCCTCCGATAAGTTTATGTAGATTCTTGGGTTGTAGACTCGATATATACATATCAATGTATGCATATATATATATATATATACACATAGAGAGAGAGGGTCTATAGGGAGTAATGCATCGGACGTTTCGACCATGAGCAAGCCCACCCTTTTCGGGAGTACAAACAAAAAACGCGACATTCCGACATGCAGATCGTCACTGCCGTCAGTGCAGGGTTTAGGGCTTTGGATTTAGGGTCGATGTTGCATGTTCTCAGAAGTGACGGGCTCAGCATTACGTACGTATCTACACGTGGCAAGCAAGTCCGCAGGACTGCCATTTAGCCCCCAACCTACCCCGAAGCCCAAACCTCTGAATCCCAAACCGCTGTGACCAATCCTAAACCCTACTAGACTCTGAACCGTAAGCCCAAACATACATTCAAACTCTCGGCCGCCTAGACCCTGCCAGCCCCGAAAAGAAACCGTGGCATCCAAGCCCAAACTAGCGACAGCCAAGTCACCTGAAACTGTAGCATTGGAATCGGCTCCCTGTAGCAGTGTTCTGTCGTTTAAAGGGCTCTGAAAGGGCCCTAAACCCTAAATCCTAAACCCCTAAGCCCCTAAACCCCTAAACCCTAAACCCTAAACCCCTAAACTCCTAACCCCTAAACCCCTAAACCCGAGCAGGCAAGCCGCTTCATCAGAGTCAGCGGCCCGGAAACGACGAGACCGGCTTCTTCTGCGGCGCTCCGAGGATTCTGGCAAGCAGTGAAAGCAGTGTATGGGGTGTAGGGTTTAGGGGTTTAGCATTTTGGGGTTCGGGGTTTGGGGGTTTAGGGTTTTAGGTTTTTTTAAGGGTTTTAAGGGCTTTGGGGATTTTGGATTTTCGGGTTTTAGTGGTTTAGGGGTTTGGGGTTTAAGGGTTTGGGGTTAAGGGGTTTAGGGGTTTAGGGTTTGGGATATTGAATCGTGATGGGAAGGCACTAAACCCGAAACCCAAATATCGACTAAATGAAGAGTGGCGTAATTACCGAGCTTCAAGAGAAGGACCCAAATTTGGCAAACTATCGACATGTGCATCTGTGTATGCTTCGGGTGCTGCCTTTTGTTATGGAGTTTGGGGTGTTGGGGTGTCCGGGCTTCAAAGCCGTAGGGCTGTTCCGGTCTGGGTCTTTGGAGGGGCAGGATCTGGGTTCTCTCTTTTGGCCTTTAAACACCATGAAAAATATTTATATGTATATATATATATATAGGGTCGCTTATAAACCCAAATAAGGAAAATAAAAAATGTCCCAAAATCCAACCTAGTTTTGGGTTTAGACAGTGAACCCCCGCCAGAAGCCTCCGACTCTCCGGCACGTCTGCTGGCCAACACTGCCTGCCAAATTCTCGCAGAGGGGTCTAAAGCCCTTAGGGTTAACTGAATGGACCTACAAGGCTTACTACAAGGGTACTACAGAATTCTTGGGTTTACAGTAGAAGCCGGAAAGTTGGAATATCATTATCCTAATCCCTTTAAGGTAAATTATAGGGGATCCTACCATTAATCCATATTCCAACTTTCTGGAGTTCCCTTTAAGAAAGCTGAAGGTTTAAGGCTCTTGGGGTTCGGGGCGCAGGGTTTAGGTTTGATTTGACACTTTGGGTTTTTGGGGGTTCTGGCTCTTGGGGCTTAGGCCGGCATCCACAACCATGCGACCTGACTTTCATAGGGCCCCAAAAAAGCACATAAGCAAAAATCAGGGTAGGGATGTCCCATATAAATCCCCTTATACTGAAGCCCAAGAAGGTAGGGATATCCCCATAAAATGATTATGCTTATGTGCTTTTTGGGTCCCTAATTTAAGGTCTACATGCCAGCGAATAGCACAACTGAAAGCAGGTCAAGGCGACGGTCGAAAGTCAGTGAGCGAGTACATGGGGGTTTCCGGCACCTTAATTTGGGGTCCTTAGAATAAGGATCCTACTATTTAAGATACTATATTCGGGTCTCCTGCTTTCGGAAACTCCCACATCAGACCATGAGAGATACCACAGCGTAGCACGGCAGAGTATAAACATGGCACGGCAGAGCATGTATTGCATCGCACAGCCCAGCCCAGCATAGCACACACACAGCCGCGGAATTAAGCATACCTCCGTCAATCTGTATTCCAGCATACAAAACATACAGCGCGGGCATTCGCACCTACATGGGAATTTGCGACAATAGGGGACCCCAATATAGTACCCTAAAGAGTGGGATCCTTATTGCAGGTCCCCTAATATGGGTCAAAACTATAACCCTAAACCCTAAACCCCTAAACCCTAAATACCTGACTTATAACCCTACATATATCTAACCATGAACCTCCAAGTAAAGCCTAAACCGTTGCAGACTTCGGATCTGCACCAACCTCCACGACCAAGAGGAGGAAAACACAGAGAAGGATCAAGACCTGAAGGCATTCGGTTGAGGCTTTAGGGTTTCGGGTTTGGGGTTTAGGGGTTAGGGTGTAGGGCTTAGGGAAGGCATTCGGTTGAGGGTTTTTTTGAGGACCTTTTTCCAGCTGCAGTAGAGTTGGAGAGCTCCAATGGAGCAGGCAACTCGGTTGAGGGTTTAGGGTGTAGGGTTTAGTTTCGCGACGAACGGAAGCTGAGGGAGTTTAAACATGCCTATGCTTCGGGGACCCTAGTATAGTACCCTAAATAGTAGAATTCTTGAAGTAAGGGCCCAAAATAAGGTACCCCGAATTTTCGGAAACTCCCATGTGCATTTTGGGTCCCGAATAAACACATCTCAGGTAGGCAAAGCCTCGGGTCGAGGCAAATTGGGTTCTAAATTGGATGGGTTAGAGGCCTCTGGGGCTCCTTCAAAGGGATCTATAAGGGTTCCTATAAGCGCTCCGAAAGAGGGATCTATAGGGATTAGGGTTTAGGGCTTAGGGTTTAGAGTTTAGGGCTTAGTTTTGAAGACTTTTGGTGGAGGGCTTGGGGTCTCGCTGCCAAGGGCTTCAGTTCCCGAGGAAGGCCTTCGAACCATTGAGGTAGGTTCCGTAATGTTCCTTAGTTGAGCCCCTGGGCACCTCTAAGCCACGACACTGCAATTTAACATGCCCCAAACCCAAAGACAAGCCCTAAAACCTGAAATGGCTGGTTGTCAAAATTAGGGTCCCGTTTGGGGTCCCTACTATACTACGGCACCTGCTGTTTCAAGTACCCAAAAAGGGACCATAATTTCGATAACTACCCAAATTGCACGGAACCCCAGACTCGAAACCATTGACCCTATGCGAGCCCAAGGGCAGTGGCTGCCACAGCGTCCGGGATCCACCGGGCGGGGCACTGCCGGTCCAGGGACACCTGAACCTGTCTTGGTTTTGGCGAAACAAGGCTCAGGGCATAGGGCCATAGGTCTGGGGGGTTGGTGATTTTGAAACTTGGTGAATCACGTTTTTTTCGCTTCGGGCTCTTCGGGTTCCTCTTAGGGATCCCAAAAAGTTGCTGTAAGGATACTAAGGGTTCTCGGATTTAGGGTTGAGGGCTCTTAGAGCCTGTTTATATAAGGGATCTACAAAGCTTACTGCAGGGATTACTTTCAAGAGTACTATAGGATTTTGTGGGTTTGGGTGGGTTTAGGTTAAGGGTGTAGGGGTTTCAAGTTGTAATAAGCTTCGGCAGCATTAGAACTCGTATCCGCCCTGGCGCTCCTAAATCGTCGCACCTCCTCGAAATCCTGAACCCTAAGCTTTCTCCTAAGCCAACACCCTAAACCCTAAATCCTAAACCCTAAGCCCTAAACCCACAAACCCAAGTACCCGAAACCCTGAAGTGCTACATATAACTCCACAAGATTTACCCCAAGCCACTGTTCCAATGATTAAGGCCCCTATGTTATGGCTACTGTTAGTGTCGACGACAACCAAATCCCACAGCCAAACTCGCGGAGTTCTCAAATAATACCCGAAACCCGTTCAGGGTTTAGGGGTTTAGGGTTTAGGGTTTAGGGGTTTAGGGTTTAGGGTTCAGGGTTCGGGGGTTTAGGGTTTAGGCTTCACCCCAGAGCTTCCGGTCGCCGCGCCTCTGCGAAGCCTTTGCCAGGAAGCCATCCTGTCTCCAGGGTTTCGGAGGTCGCGGATTTCCACGTATGAACGTATGTCTGTATGGGTGTGTGTATGTGTGTGTGTGCGTATATGTATGCATTTATTGATGTATGTAGGTATGAGATGTATGGGTACATGTGTGTATGAAATATTTTTGATGTATAAAACATGTGTGTATGGGTATACGTTCATGTGTATGTAGATCTATAGGTAGGTAGACAGGTAGGTCGACACACAGACAGACGGACAGAGAAACAGAGAGATTGAGATGGATATATCGATAGACAGATAATAGATAGTTAGATACATAGGTAAATAGATAGATAGATAGGCTGATTAATTGTTTGATTGATTGATTCATTGATTGGTTGAAACAAAGAAAGAGAGATAGAGAGACACATAGACAGCTAGACAGAGAGAGAGAGAGAGAGATAGCCAGGAAGTGAGGTAGATGGGTAGATAGATCGATCAACACATAGACAGACAGACAGACAAACAGATAAAAAGGATAGATAATTAGATAGATAGACAGAGTTATCAGCAAACAGAACATGCACGTGAAATAAAGCCTTGAGGCTCAGGCAGGGTTTCGCGTTAAACACACCCAGTGCAGATGCCGAGTGGCGCCCCAAGCGTGCCAGCAGACCAACATAGGGTGGCTGGCTCAAGTCCTTGGCTTCCAGATGCCGTTAACAATATCGATTGTCCTACCTGCCGGGGATTAGAGTCATGACGATGCACGAAGCGCCACAAGCATTAATCAGAAATCGTCACGATCATCGTCAGCAGCTGCATCATCACCATTACAATGACCATCATCCAAACATCATCACCGTCGGCATCACTACCATCGCCGTCCTCAAGGTCGCGAAAAACATCTAAACTCGGCTTTGAGCTGGGCTGGCAGCCACACGCCCTTCAGAACAGTGGCGGGAAGAATCGTAGCTAACAGTTAACATAGTCATGAACATCAACGTCATTATATCCACCACTTGCCATGTTCACCATCATCTCCAGCATCGTAATCGCCATCCTCGCCACCACCACCACCAGCAGGATCGCAGTCATCATCCTGATCCTGAAGACCATCCTTATCACCACCAGCAACGTACTAGCTACCTTTCACGATCATGAACCATCAAGTGGTACAAACTTTTCAGGTCAACAGCTGTGAGGCATTCGACATGTATGCGATTGCTTTTGGAGACCGTTTTTTGAAAGCCGAATAACTAGGTAGACTATTGCCTTACGATCCTTTTCTCACAGCTTTGCTACTTGGAGGTTCATGGGTAGTTATAAGTAGGGTGATAAGTCCCCTAATATGGGTTATAAGTATAGTTACCCTACTTATAACCCTACATATAACTACCCATGAACCCTAATCCCTAAACCCTAATCCCTAAACCCTATAGATCCCTTCAAGGGAACCCTAAGCCCCTTATAACCCTACTTATAACTACCCATGAACCTCCAAGTGTAGCAGACTTACAGACTGCATCCAACATCCCAGAATCAAAGTCAGGCACGATGTGCAACGGAGAGTCTTTTCGTTGAAAAAACCCTCTATCCAGGCATTATGTGCCTAGCTTCGTTGCGAAACTCTTGGTTTAGGGTTTGGGGCTTGAGATCTTTAGGATCCACCTCTGGGTCCAAAAGGATTTAGGGTCCAGGGTTGCCAGCTACACTTTGACTTTTCAAGCTCAAGGTTTGGAGATAAAGCGGATTCCTGTAAAGATGCTCTATAAAGCTCGTAAAAGATTCTATGCGGGCTTAAGATTCTGTAGATGTCTCATACAAATTTCTTGCACTTGGGGCCATGACCCTACTTTCTGTGTTCCATTTTCGGACACATCCCCTTTGCAGCAGAGCCTGCTGGTAACCCAAGCCCAAGACATCTTGAAAAACAAGTCAAGCATTCTAGGACAAACCCTAAACCCCTAAACCCTGAACCCTACGGCTTGGTAGAGTTTGAGTTTAGGATGTTTCGGGTTGAAATATCCAAAGGGTCCTAGGTACTGTTATGGGGGATACTTCCCAAAGCATAATAGTAATTCCTAATATGGAAAACCCTACATTCTACTATAGAGGTACTTGGGACCCTTTGGGATACACCAGAGGCCCTCCCAAATCCGAGCCGTCACTTATGGCCCAAATCCTGAAACCCCAAGCCCCAAACGCCCCAAAACGCTGGCATTCAGTCGCTCTTGCAAGGGGCACGATTCCGCCCCCAATTTGTGCAGGTAACAGGTGGGTGTATCCCTAAACCCTTAACCCTAAACCCTCGTGCTTACACCCCAAAACCCTAAACTGCGTGTCTCTTTACGCTGGTTCGTGCCTAGGAACCAGCTGGCACAGGCACGACTGCTCCTGTAGGTGGCCAGGTGGACGAGAGCTAGACAGGAAAGATTCCCACGATCGATGATATAAATCCTGCATTACCCATAATACGGAATATACCATAATTCCCATAGTTTAGGGTCGCTAAGGTAATGCAGGCTTTCTCATCAAGGCTTTCTGATAGGTTCCCATGAACTTCTCCTTAAAGGGTTCTGTTAGTTGATGTAGGGGCTTTATACTACAATTGTAATACTAAGGCACCCCCCCCCAAATAGTAAAGGTCATTATTCAGCCTCTACATTGAATTAGTTTCTTCTCAGGGTCTCCTATCCGGCCTGTCTTGCTAGGATACCCAGTAACCTAGGAACAAAAAGGCCTCTCTTCTTGGTATTGGGTAACTTTATAAGGGACCTAGGACTACAACAAGGGAATAAGGGTACTACTGGGCATCCTAGCTTGTATTTGATGGGCCCTCTGTGCTTGAAGCTTTGCTCTCTCGGCACTTGCCCACCCACTCGACAAGCTGGGGCTGGGGTGTAACAGGCTTCCTTTTAAAGGGAACCCTTTAAAAAGGTTCGACCTGAATCCTGAGAAACTTACTACTGGTTTCCCTTTACAAGTCCCTGAACAGGTGGGTTGTGGAATGATTTAGGTAAACCGTGAAATCGTAGGCTCAAGGTTTAGGCCATGCTCAGGAATCCCAAACCGAAGGCTTCAAAACCAAACTCCTAAAGACGTAGGGTCCAGGGTTTGAAGTTGGGGGACGTGTCGGGTTCGTCTTCGGCTTTCACGTAGAACTTGCCAAACCCGAAAGTCCTCGGTTGAAGTCGTGCAATTAGTATCCAACATAAGGGCATGGTGTACTAGAACAACACAGGAATCATAAAACCACTATGTACTTACTATGTCAGGGCCTTGGGAAGATTCAGAACCCTGAACCATCCCACTCACCGTTCTCCTGGTGGAACGTCCTGCTGGCACACAGAAAAACGTCTTGTGCTCCAGTCCTGGGTACGGGTAATGTAGGAACCTGATTAAGAAACCTTGGGCTTTTATTAGAGTTCCTTATATGAATTCTACTATTTTGGGGTTATAGGCCCAGGGTTTCTTAATCAGGTCACTACATTAGCATGCAAAAAACCAGCATGATAGCAATCTGAGTTGTGCAAATAGGCTTTCAACTTCGTGCTAGGTGTATGGACACACTCCAAGAGTCTCAGAAAGTGCTTAGCCATCTCCAAAAGCAGACCTCGAACTCTATACTTCTGAACAGGGTTCATAGGAGTTGCGCTTACGGGCGAAGGGTTTCTCGGTTTATAGGTTTAGGGCTCCTTCACCCTAAACCCTAAATAAATAGTTTTCGGTGAGGGTCTGTGGTGAGGTGCAAAGCTTTCAGGAGAGGCCCCCTGGAGGGAGACACGCCTAAACCCCCAAACCCATCTTACAATAAAGAACCGTACGTATAACGAATAATGTTGGTACTTATTCAAGCTTCTGCATCAAGCCCGCAACCTCTGAACCCACCTCTAAACCCCAAACCGCAGACGCTTCCGCAGGCGAGGTGCATGCGCAGGTCCAGATCTTTGAGGGCTGGGACCTGAGAACGCATGAGAAACTGAGGCTTGCAGAATACATAAATGAATGTAATGTTGTATATATATATATATGTATGCATATATATATATATGCATACATATATAACATATATTTATATACTCATTTTTTATATATGAACCATAACCACGGCAGATTGCAATACTTACGAAGATGACAGTAATAATAACCAATGCAATCAAGATCCGCGCAGCGTGGATTTCGGATTTAGGGTCTATCCTGATACCACCATCGACTAGAGCCCTTAGTTCTGCCTTAGTGCTAGCGGAAGAGGACACCGAGAATCGGCTTTACGATCTTTTGTCTGCCAGAAACTTCCCTGCTGCGTCCTTTATGGGACCTAGGAACACGCACTTCGCGGGCTTGGTGTGGACCTACAACCTAAGCCCTAAATCCTGAACTTGAAACCCCCAACCTACTTGAGTAATTAGCTTCGCGGGGACCGTCGTGAGCCGGGTTAAGCGTGTAGTGTGTCACCATCGTAAGTCCTCAACCCTCTACCCTGAACCCTGAACCCCTGCGTGTTCCTAACTTGGCTTAGTACGGATCTAATATAGGCCCCCATTGTATCATAATTACAATAAGAAACACCAAAATAATACAAGTATTGGTAATTATTTCGGCCCCTATATTAGAGAGGCAGGAGTCTGCCTTCGGCATTCAAAGCATCCCTAGCTCGATCCCTGCAGTCGCGAAAGCATGGCTACAAAGTAAAGGAACCCACCTGGTTTCGTCTTGAGTTAGGGTTTTTGATTCAGGGTTCACAGCAAAGGTGAAGATGCCACAAAGGATTAGTGTATGATGCTTGCATATTCGGTGGCTCTTGCCTATTCGTGATGGGACTGTTAAGCCCTGTTCCCTAAACCCAACTGCATGGGGGTCTCAAGCCAAGAAACAAGGTCATACCAGCTCCCTGAGGGCTAGCTATCTGCACAACTGGGTCCTGGGTCACATAGCATAGAACTTTCAAGACGGTACAACTATTGCCCTACTCCGCAAGTACCCGACTGTTAGGGTCAACTAGAGAGTTAAGTACCAAAGACACATTCACAGCATGGAAATAGGGACCTGAGACCCCACTTGGACCCTATGGGTTCGGGTAGCTGGAGCCTAAATGTTATCCCCATGAACCCCCATGAGCATTACACCCTAACACCCTAAACCCCCATAAAGGGGTTTGGGTCCATGGTTAGTTCGGCTGTGGGGTGTGTAGGTCTAGGTTTGCTGACGGCAGATGTCGGGTTCGGTTTAGGGTTTAGGGTTCTGTTTCGGGTCCATAGGGTTTAGGGTTTAGGGTCTCATTCAGCTGGACGAGCCACTGAATGCTAACCACCCAAGGTCCCTTCTACCTTAACTTTATAAGATTCTTGCGTGGACACATTGGCATAGCCTAAATGAATTAGTTTATCAAAAAATCATCGTTCTGGCCATCCTCAAATCATGGCCAACATCATCATCATTTTCACCCTGGTTGAAAACATCATCCGAAAATCATCCTCATCCGTAGTCATCATCGACGAACCATCCCCATCAGTAAGTCGAAGCATCATATCATCAGGAGTAGTCAACTCTGCACTCTCCACTTGCAGGACATTGTTGTTGTGGCTATTGATGGTGACACCAGTGACATGTAGATTAAAATGGATGGAATTTGCTCGAAGCTTCTTTTTCCTCCTGCTGGAAGATGCTCCCTGTTCACTCCAGTCCCCACACTTCCTCTATACTCTAGATTCTGCAGACTCTATATTCTAGACTCTAGACTGTGCTATGGAATGCATTGCGACGCGTATCGTGTGCGCAGACAACAGAAACAGATATGGAACCAGGTCATCAGAGATCGCAGGCGTGTTGAATCGACGGTTTTTGGGGCACGCAGGTCGCAGATGATCTGGCGAGGATGTTCTGGAGAGGATGATTCGAGGAAACCAGGATTGGAGGGGATGGATTTGAGGATGATTTTGGGATGGCAGTTTGGAAAAGGCAAGATTGGAGGATGATTCGGTGACGCTGAGCCACGGCCTCAAACCGTCGTTGCCCAGGCAGGGGGGGCGCCCGGCAAGGGAGGGCAGGGGCAGGCAGGGGCAGGGAGTGGGGAAATCGGGAAATGTGTGAATGCCCCAGGGAATCATCAAAAAATCATCAAAAAATCTTCAGGGCGCCCGGGAGGGGAGGGCAGGGGCAGGCAGGGGCAGGGAGTGGGGAAATCGGGAAATGTGTGAATGCCCCAGGGAATCTTCAAAAAATCATCAAGAAATCATCAGAAAATCTTCAAAAAAATCATCAGAAAATCATCAGAAAATCATCAAAAAATCATCAGAAAATCTTCAAACCATCCTCAAATCATCCCCAAATCATCCTCAAATCATCATCCGTTTATCGTTTCATCATTTAATTATCCTGAAACCATCATTCTTGGCATCCTCCGTCCTGCGCGGATTATCCAAAATTCATCCTCGGGCCCCTCCGCCCCGTTGCCACGGTTCAAACACATCACGGTTTTTCGATGGGTATCGCCTAAGGGCCTATAGGGTCTAGGATGAACAGTGCGCCAATTGATTGACTATGTTCTTGTAGCATAACCCTGTAGTGGAGAAGAGGTGAGGCGATGGAGCGGGTCGGTATGCTAGCAGCGGTCATCTGAGCCAGATGGTTGTGTGATGCTCTTTCGGTAGTGAATTCTCATTAGCTGCCGGCTGTGTTGCCGAGTGCTTGCGATAGGACGTGGACCTCTTGAATGCACATACAAACTTGCAGTGTATACGTGCACTGACAAACACGGCCCCTCAAAGACAAGTTTGCTTAGGCTTGTGTTCGCAGGTGATGCAGGAGGCTTTGAGGAAGCATGCGTGGAAGTACTCCTTGCGTTTATTCGTGTGTGACTTACGCGCCTGGGAGCCCGATGATAATAAGATGATGATTGGTGGGGCAGAGGATGATTTGAGGATGATTCCGAGGATGATTTGATGATGACGAAGATGAAGATAAAATGATGTTTTAATTATTTAACTAAATCCAGTGTGTGGCTGGCTAAGATTCTTATAACCTTAACTATAGTACCACCACCCGTTTTTTTGCAGCCAGAACACATACAACTCGATCGTCGATCCATTGATAGGGTCATCCGCATGAACCCACGGAACTACTTGTACAGAAGAGACCAAGGTCCTGGGCAGAAAGCTTAAGCTAGGACAGTGCCGATTAGAAGACTAGGGTCTTGGGTTGTATTCCCAAAGGGTCCTAGGTACTGATATGGGGGGGATACTTTCCCAAATCATAATAGAAATTCCCAATATATAAACCCTACATTCTACTATATAGGTACTTTGGACCCTTTGGGTTATGGGAGACAATACTGCGAGGTGATCAGACCTCTGTCTAGATAGACGTTTCGGGATTAGAAGGAGATTCAGCCAGGACTTAAAGAGCCATAGTTATTTGTGAAAATACAGACATACACTTGAAGCGCTCTTAAAAAAAGGCTCCATAGGTTGCCCCTTGTTGGGACACTTTAAACATTATTACAATCCTGCAGCTCAAGGTCTGAAACTCCCAATACAATACAGGAAGCCGCTCCAACTTAAGGAAAGCTTTCGAACCTCTTTTCGAATTCCAAAAGTCTCTCCAGCATCACGCGTGCAGCGGGCAACTTCGGGAACCTGTGATCAGTGTAACCTGAAGCCCAAGACCCGCAATCGCAGACATACTCGGTGGCCTTTGACCCTCTCACTCTAAACCCTAAAGTCTTTAACTTCAGGGTGGCGATCGAAAATCCTAACCCCTGCCTGGACCCTGAGAAACCTACCTTTTTAGGGTTCCTTAATATGGGAGTTTCCGAAAATTAGGCGTACCTTATTCTGGGGTCCTGATAATAAGGATCTATTTAAGGTAAGTTAGGGTCCCCTAATATTCGGAAACTCCCATATGATCTCCTTATAAACGTAATTCAACAGGTAGGTTGTTCGGGGTAAACCCTAAACCGCCTTAAGTGCAGGACCCTGTGTCACACATCCGCCTTTGAGTCTGTTGCGCCTATGCCGTAATCTGCCAACAAAACTGAGCTTGGAGGGTCCTTCTGTTAGGGGTTACCTGGACCCTAAGGAACCTACCTTTTTAGGGCTCCCCAATATGATTTCTTTATATAAGTCCCTAAAAAGTAGGTTGATTGGGGTTAAGGTAGGGTTTAGAGGTTCAGGGGTTTTGGGGCTTAGGGTTTTCTGTGGAAACACCTTCTAGTTTAGGGTGCCTGATTCTATGGTCCAGGGCATGGGACCCTAAACCCTGGAACCCCTGGAACCCCTGGAACCCCTATAACCTTAAACCCCTAAACCCTAAACCCCTAAAACCCCTAAAAACCCTAAACCCCTATAACCTTAAACCCTATACCCTAAACCCTAAACCCCCATGAACCCTAAACCCTTATGAACCCTTTCGGCCAGGAAGCTCAGCCTTTCCAGCACAGAGATGGTCCTGCTGGAGGGTGTAGGATGCCTCTGGAAGGAGCCTCCGCACAAAAAAAAATCGAGTTTCGGGTCTTGGGGGTTCAGGGTTTAGGGTTTAGGGTTTAGGGGTTCAGGGTTTAAGGGTTCAGGGTTTAGGGGGGGTTTGGGGTTTAGGGTTTAGGGTCCAAGCCTAGCAGGCAAGTTGCATCACCCTGCTGTTTTTCAAAGCCAAATGTTCTCCTAAACTCACTGACTCAACAAGCCCCAATCCCTCGGAACTTCTCGGAACCTGGACACTGTCAGCTCGCCCAAGGCATGCTGCATGGTATTGGTGGAGCAACCGAAGGATCTGACAACTCCCTGAAACCACACCCCCGACGATCCAAGTACCCAACAAAGTAGGGTGTTCGGTCCCGAGTCCCATACTCTGTTTTGGGGTTTTGGTACTTAAAACCATACTTGTTAAACTTGGACCCCGAGGGAATGTTTGCAAAAAACAGGACTGACGGGAGATCCTTCATGTGGATCTTCAAAGTCATTAGAACTAGGCAGTATGTGGTGTAGTTGTCTAGGGTTTGACGGTTCAGGAGTCTCGGGTGTAAGGGTTTGGGGTTTAGGGCCGTTTAGGTTTTTGAGGCTCCGGGTTTATCCGTCGCTACACCCTAAACCCTGAACCACAAACCCTAACCCTTCTAATCCTATGGATAGCGTCATGGTTGCTCTGAAGATGACGATTCCTAAACCCTCAGAGCGCTGAACGCTTTTAAGGTTTGAAGCTTAGGGTTTTTTTAGGGACCCAGAGCACCAAACCTAACCAATCCAAACAATGCTTACCCTAGACTCCCAACCCAACCTAAAACAACAAAAAAACTCGGCGGTCGGATGACATTAATACTACCAGCCCAAATACGCACATACCCCCGATGTATGATGCCTTAATGCCTTAGTTTGAAGAATCTGGAGAAGCGCACCCCGATAATCATGGAAAGCTCCGTATGGCAGAGAATAGGATATCCAGAAACCCCAAAGACACCCATCTAACTCCAAAGAAATCTTGGTGGCACACCCAAAGAAGCCTAAAGGACCCCATGCTTAATTCTGAGACCGAACCAAACCCACGAGACTACTTACCTTTGGTTAGTAGAATGGAGGAATGGGGTACAATTATAACTATTACAGAGGTAAGACTAGGCAGCCTCCAAGAGACTACTGTAGAAACCTTCATAATTACCTATACTAGTTTGGGGGTTCCTTATTGTAAATATAGTATAATGGGCCCCACAACCCTATTCTAATTATTCAGGTTTCTATATTACGCAGCCTCCAAGATATCCGCTTCGCGGCGCCCCCTCGCAGTTGAAATCGTCCCTGGTTCGGCCTCCGATCTCGCGCACCGCTTCTAGGTTTTAGGATTTAGGCTTTATGGTTTAGAGTTTAAGGTTAAGGGTTTAGGGTTTATGGTTTAGAGTTTACGGTTAAGGGTTTAGGGTTTTAAGGTTTAGGGTTTTAGGGTTTTGAACTGAGGGTTTTAGGGTTTAGGGGGTTTTAGGGTTAGTTGCGGGGCTTGGGGATTTAAGGTTTTAGGGTTTGGGGCTTAAGGTATTTAAGTTTAGGGTTTAGGGTTTACGGTTTGGGATTTTCAGCACAAGCAACGGGGAAGGGTTCAGGTCGGGGGGTTTTACGAGTTTCAGAATTCCATAGCGAGCAGGAGAGGTTGAGTATCAGAGATCTCCGATCTTCTCTAAACCACCGAGGGCTTAAGGCGCAAGGATCACTCATATCAGGTTACGCATCTTAACGGGTTCCTGCATCGGTTCTGCGGGACTCTATAAGGGATCGCCAGTAAGGGTACCCAGTATCCCCTTGCAAAAGATGACGCCCCATTTAACTTCGTTTGGACTATTCTGACTCCTGAGAACCTCAACCCCTATAAACCCTACACCCTACAAACCCCACAAGCCCTGTAAGCCCTAACGAAACCCTAAAACAGGCAAACCAAACAAACCCTAAGCATCAACCCCGAACCCTAAAACCCTAAACCCTAAAACCCTAAAGCCCTAAAGCCCTAAAACCCTAAAGCCCTAAACCCCTAACCCCGAAACCCTAAATCCTAAACTCCGCTGCGCCTGCCCTGCTCCGGCGCGCGAATGCACCAGAGGCCGCCGCAGCGATCAGGGACACCTTCGGTCTCTTCCTGCAAGCGGCTTGTGAGGGTCTGAGGGGTGGTTAAGCTTTCTTTTCGGGTTCATTTAAGGTTCCTTTAAGGGATCTATTCGGGTGCATTTAAAGGCTCCTTTAAAGGATCTATTCGGGTTCATTTAAGGGTTCCTTCAAGGGATCTCTAAGGGCAACTATAAGGGGTACTGTAGGAGTTTACGGTTTACGGTTGTGGTTTAGAGGTTTAGGGTGTTTAGGGTTGGGATTCGGGGCTAGGGGTTTAGGGTTTAAGGTTCAGGGTGCTTGGGGTGTTCAGGGTGTCTAGATTTGTCTAGGGTAGTTAGGATGTTTAGGGCCATGATTTGAGCACTGTTTAGGACTTCTTTATGATGCAGCTGCAGACACCCTAAACCCTAAACCCTAAACCGATGCTCTTGCAAGTGTGGAGGCTGCAGTCCTCCTTAGCCCGAAACCCGAAGTCTCTACTACCCTAGGGGTCCCTTTAAAGGGCTCTATAGGGATTCTATAAGGGTATAGGGTTTAGGGCTAGTAGTCTCTTTGGGATTAACTTACAGTAGAAGCCAGAAAGTTGAAACATTAGTATCCTCATGACCTTAAGGTAGAGGATAAGGGATCCTAGCACTAATTCTCCTAAACTCATGTTCCAGGCTTCTGCTGCAACCTGCACCTAAAGCCTTCTCTGAATCCCTAAACTCCCGACATCCCATGAACCCAGAGAGCCCAATACCCCTTAATTAAGGAATATACCTGACATCATTGGGGGCTTCATATTATGGTTTAGGCTATCTTCCTTACTTAAGGGATATTGGGCTCTCTGGGGACCTTAACCCGGGATAACCTACCTTTTGTAGGACTTATATAAGGACATCATAATAAGGAACCCCAGAAAGGTAGGTTATTCAGGGTTAAGGTAGACCATAAACTGCCGAAGCATTCAAGCCATGAAGGCCCCGACGACCCTCATCTTCGGGTCCTTAAACCCTCAACCCCCTCCCCTCACACCCCTCAAACCCCTCAAACTCCTCAACCCTAAATCCCTGACCCTGGGCATCAAAATAGCCTAAAGGCTTCATATTGTATGGTCTTTGGGCCCAAAAGCCTTGATATGGGTGGTTGTCAAAACTAGTGTCCCTTTTGGGTACCCTAAATATTAGGTGCCGTAGTATATTAGGGATCTAAAAAGGGACAATAATTTTGACAACTACCCATATATGAGTCCTTAGTTCCCAGGGTAAGTACAAGCCCTGACCTCGACTGCTTCGCGCAGTCCGTGGCAGATCGGGAGACCCAGCACGACGAAGAAAAGCGTCCTTCCCACAACGCTACTTCAGGGATCAACTTGTTTCAATGTTTAGGGGTTAAGGGTGTAGGGCTTCAGGGTTTTGGTTTTTTGTGTTTAGGGGTTAAGGGTTTACGGCTTCAGGGTTTGGGGTTTTTTGTGTTTAGGGGTTTAGGGTTTCGGGCTCAAGGGTTTAGGGGTTTAGGGCTTTGTTCGGGAGCTAAGGGCTTTGTGATGTGCCGTGAGAACAAACCTGTACCGCTGATTGCTGTAGAAAACCTGAGATCCCACCGCAACACCCAAATTATTCCTAAACATCCCTTTAATGAACCCCCATAGATCCGTGTACATCCCTAAACAATGCCTCAGAAGGTTTACGGTTGGGTGTTAACCCTACCATGAAGGCTCTCGTCCTCCAGCGGCGGAGCATAGCTCACAAACCGCCGCCAAGGAACTTCATTGCACATCCGGAGACTTGCTCAAGGACACGAACATGTATGGACCTCCTCCCTGTTTCAGGAGGAGGCCGGCAGACAACGCAACACTCGAAGGAGAGCACTGTCAATTTCAAGTACTGTCCTTGCCTGATGCCCAGAAAACTTCCCCCGACTGCCGAAAGCCCGAAAAAAGTTAAACATGTCGGGTTCGTGTTAAAGCTTGCCCGAACACTGAACCCGACACCTAAGCCAAACTCAACTTCAATCCCAAAGTTGCCACTCTGCACCCTGAACCCCAGGTGCTCTCCCCAAGTGGCCCCTCTACCTGGAGAGGCAACAGCTGCAACGGACTTGCAACATCCGTACATATGTATACATATACCAATATATCAGTATATGTATGTATGTATGTAAGTATGCATATATGTACCTACGTACGTAGATATGTATGCATGCATGTATGTACAAATGTTTCTCTTATAAATAGAGAGAGAAAGGTAAAGATTGAGATTGAGATAGATATAGAGATATCCGTTTAGCTAGAACGAGAGAATTGAGATAGAGATGCAGATACAGATCTGAGTATCGATCCACCCACCTCTCTACCTGCCTATCGATCTATCTATCGTCATGCTTCCTTCTCTCTCAATCGCTAGCCATATCTCTTTATCTATAAATTATATATATATATATATGTATATATGTATATATATATATGCATAACATTGCATAACTGTATTATTATATATCTATAAATCTGTATATCTTTCTACCTACATAGAAATATATCTGCATATCTATGCAACTATATAGTTACCTATGTATCTATGTACCCGTAAATCTATATAACTATATATCGATCTATCTATGCGTGATTGTGCGTGTATGTACAAGTATAGGGGACTTAGGGTTTAGCGTTGACAGGTGAGGGCCATAAATCCCCCCGCCCCCATCCACCCAACAAACCAAAACACACAGCGACCCTTCCCAAGGACTTGTATAGGGAACCGGCAAGAATGCAGGGCTCTATGGCTCACTGTAAGGTTTTCGTCAGGACTTCAGGAACTTGGGGTTTGGCGGCTCATACACATGTAAGTTTGTGGGAGCTACGAACTAATCCAGGATCTGATGCGTGGGGTACAGTAATTAATGGAACTAGGGACTGAGGGGCTGAGTTTTTGTCGCCTCAGGTTTAGGGTTGAGGGGTTCGGGATTTAGGTGTTTTCGGCTTGAAGGCTGCGGCCTTTGTGATTGGGAGTTTCGGGTCTGAAGGAGCTCCCAGAAAGCCCAATCCCCCTTAATTAAGGAATATAGCTTAAATTTTACTATGAAGCGCCTTATGATTTAGGGTATATTCCTTAGTAAAGAAGTATTGGGCTCTCTGGGCTAGGGTTTCGCGCTCTGGACTCTGAGGATGGCTGCAGAACGGCTTCAAAAAGGATTTCTTTTTGGTATTATCTAGGGCCCCAAAAAAGCACATAAGCAAAAATAAGGATAGGTATATCCCATATAAATCCCCAAAAATTGAAGCCCAATAAAGGTAGGGATATCCCCATAAAATGCTTATGCTTATGTGCTTTTGGGGTACCTAATTATCGCGATCGTACAAGGCTCCAGAAGATCTCTGGGGCTTCCGCGGCTTTGCGGCTGCCGTCTCTTTTGTTTAATAAGGAACTCAAGAAACCCTAAACCCTCGTTCTTTGAACAACAAAAAATTTCCAAACGCCAGGCCTGTCTACGGGCACCCCGATAACACATCTCGCAACCCCACCGGAAAAGCTACAAGCCTGAGTTCCAAGAGTGCGAAAGGGGACCCCAGAGAGCCCAATACTCCTTAATTAAGGAATATAACTTATCACAATATGAAGCTCCTGATGATTTAAGGTATATTCCTGAATGGGTAATTAATTACGCTCTCTGGGACCATTTGGGGGCTTTGAATTATGGGACTAGGAGTTTTGGTCCGAGCCATTTTTTTGGCGTTCGGGATTCGGGGTATAGGAACTTTAAGCGGATGTCATAAGGCAGAGCGTATTTCCGCAACGCGCTCACGTGGCCTTGTGGTCGGAATCATCATTACGAATGATAAGCTCGGCACTGCTGTTGCCTGAGGCCGTCCTCAATGCCTCCTCAATTCTTGTATGCATCTGGTGAAGGAGTGTGTAGTTGCTGATCTCCTTCGTCACCTTGGGGCTGCTCTGAGACAGCTGATCCCTCAGCCCCGAAGCTGCTGTGCCACTGTACTCGGTTTTCTGACGCCTTAAAGCAGCCCATCAACATCCGTATAAACCCTAACCCGATCACAGCTCCACCTGCATCTGAAAGCTCTGGAGGCAAGGCATCTGGCTTCTGGATACTTCCGAGATCACCGACTCGATCTCCTGTGGGCTTCCGAGGCCGAAATCTCCCAGCACGAAGCGATGGACACAAAGGCCGAACCTTGCATAACAGCTTTTCGCAGCTCGGGGGTTCGGATTTCCGGCTAGGGTTCGGGGTTTAGGACCTTATGTCGAGGACTCAGCCAGGAAGTTGTGTGTTTCTTGTAGAGTTTAGGGCTCAAGGGTCTAGGACTTGGTGGGACGCGAAAAAGATCCTTGGAATCGCTACACAGAAGTAAACGATCACAGACAAACACCGAAATCCTGAATCCTCAACCGACAACCCTGTGACGACTACAAGAAAGACCCCCAGACCCGCAGGCCCATCCCTCTGCAGGCAGACAGGAAGCAACTCTTTCAATGCCGATCCTGGAATCGCTTGCCAAGGATTTTGTTCGTATGGCAACATGAAACAGGTCGTAAATAACAGGCACCTACTCTGCGAACGCAGCGTTTAGGATTTGCTTGCAGACACTTTGTTAGAATGAAGTTTATCGCAGTTTCGGGCTGTTTGGAGTGTTGAGAGTGTTGGGGATGAGGGCTTTGAACTTCTTATTGACCGTAGCCGAACTCGAGCTGGACAGGGCTGGCGGTTCGGAGCTGGCCGTCTTTGTTTAAAATCAGCGGTCCTCCCGCCTAAACCGTGGGAAACGCACTGGCCTCCATCTTAAGCTCTGAAGTCTAAACCTTAATCAACTAAACCGTAACCGATCAAGGACCACACCCTACCATAAAGGACTTCTTTCGGGCAGGCTTGAGGTTGGGTTTTGGGGATCTACTATAGGGGCCGTAAGAAAATTGGAATACGGTTTTAATTTGGGCCCCATTATACTACAACACGGACCCCCCCCCAAAAAAAAAGTATTGGTAAAAAATCATTCAGGCCTTTCAGCCTCGTCTGTCGTCTGAGCGAAGAAATAGGGTTTAGGGTTCAGGGTTTAGGCTGTCTGTCGTCTGAGCGAAGAAAGACTCCAGTATCGCGTGATGGATCCCCCGACGGATCTTGTGTAAACAGCCAATCTGCAACGGCCACAGCGGAAGCCGTGTCCCGGGAAAGTTTTTCAGCAGTTGGAGCCCAAGCACAACAGACACAAAAAACAAAAACGTAGTTGCAGTGCATAGAACCACAAACTAGCAACAACTAGAATGCCGAAGCTCTGCGGCAGGGCCGAAACCCCTAAACCCCATACCGGAAACCTATCCCAAAACTTGAAACCCTAAACTCTAAGCCCCAAATTCCAAACCCTAAACTCCAAACCTTTAACCCCCAAACCCCTGAACCCCAAACCCTAAACCCCAAACCCCAAAAAGGCCGAGGCTCTGGGGAAGGGCCGAAACCCCTATTGTAGCTTTAGAGTTGCCTCATTACGGCTTGTAGATTTTGTTCCCACCCCTCTCCCTGGCTGGTGGCCCTTGGACGCGCAGGCCTTAAGGGATATCTGCAGAGGAAAAACACCCTCCTCTTCGGGAAGGCACTGCCGGCATGTCGGCCCGAAGCCTTGCAAATGCAAAGTTCACATGGGTATCTTTTTGGCCTGCCTTTGCATTTGTCCGTTGGGAGGTCAGCTCAGTCTCCAACTTGTCCACGAACGACAGCTCAAGCGAAAAGTGCTCCGATTTTGAAGTGGGGTCAGTCCAAGGGCAGCGCTGGCTCCGTTTTGCTTAAACTAAACTCCACCAAGGGCAGCTGCAGCTCATGCTTGAGACCGACATCCGCCAAGCTTTCGACGAACTCCGTTTTGAATCCTGCACGTGCCAGTGGCCGAGGGGTATGAGCCACCGAGCCCCTCTAGTTAGGCGCTCACCGACTTCATGCATGAGGGTGTTTGCTTTTTGCCCCCCTCACTTGGGCAGCGCAGACTCAAAGCTCGCATCGTTCTGAGCCATGCGGCTGATAATCTGTAGTTGGCAATAACCACTGCGCACGAACTGGTAGATCAAATACCCGTCTAAGTGATAGCAGTATAAGCAGCAATTACAATTGGGCAACTAACCTTTTTCCTGCTAGAGCAGTTAGGGGATAGCTTTTTTGTTGACCCCCCCCCTCTTTTTTCCGACCCCCTTGTCTTCTAATTGACCCCCTCTCTGTTTTTTGACCCCCTCCCCTCTCTTCCCTGCCTCCCCCCCCTACGAGACTGGATCTGACAAAGTCAGGACCTGCTTGCCAAGCGCTCCTTTTGTTCTCTCCCTGCTTCGGGCCTCCGTCCCTCGCAGCGAGCTGGCCACCCTGTCCGCCTTACTTGTGAGAATGTCACATCATGCCATGGCTCACACTGCAAGTCAGAACATGAGCCATGCACGGACCAAGAACTTTATACAGTGAAATCAGACAGGCCGAGCCATATGCACATATACGTACATGCATACGTATGATCCGATTACCACAGACAAGGGATTGAAGGATGCACATGGTGGCTGCCCATGTATTGAAACGCCTCTATACTATATCCCCCTTCAGAACCAGAAAAAACCGTATGTTTAATGTTCTCTTTGGTTTTAGATGAACAAAAAATCCTAAGGAGACTATAGTATATATGCTCCAACAGCATCTTCTCCGGAAGCGCACGGAAAGCTGCTGCTGGCAGTGGCCCGTTGCAGCACACAAGATTTGCCACGCTCTCGGCTGTCTTCAAAGAGATCGACGCATCTGCTGTCATCTGCTTCTTGAACTTCCTCGCACGCATATATAACCCATAAGGTTGTGTAACCATCCTTGCTTTGAGTGGCAGCACTGGTTTTGTCTGTGCGTATCCAAATCTTGCAGTAGTTGCGCAATCCAGTCAACCTCTTCTCGCGGCGACTCCAGAAGTCAACTGCGGGCGATCGGCCAGCGGTTCGGAGGCTCTGGCTGTTAAGTAAATCCATCGCGGGCTTATCTCGCCAGGTTAGGAAGCTGCGTCTCTCAGCCCACTGAAACTTCTTGCACCAGTCCTCCTCGAAGAGTTTCTGCATAAAGCTGAAAATTTCCGTCGGGGTTGCCTGCGCCACAGATCTGACCCTTAACTGCCAGTTAGAGTGAAGGCTTTCCAGCGGTTGGGTGCCGGTGCCGCTGCCGGGGTACGTTCCGGTGACGTCGGTCCAGAATCCGGCAAACCAGCAGGTCGACAATTCGCTGACTGGTTCCCCAACATGCACTTGCTTCCTCAGATCGGCCACCCCTACTTTGTCGAAGTACGTCTTCTGCAGATAGGTCACCGCCTTCTTGCTGACCGATTGCAACCATGCAAATGCCGCTGACCACACCGCCCAGGCTTGGCAACGTTCGACTGATTGTGATGATTTTGTCCAGCCAGCTGGGGGGTCAGACTAAACAGGGGGGGGTGTCACAAAAAAGAAGGGCCCAAGCACTTATGCCACAATGCATCACACAACATGCCTCACACGTGCACAAATTACACGTATAATCCCATACCCTATAATCCCGTACACTATAATCCCTTACCCTATACCCCAAACCCTAAACCCTGAACCCCAAACCCCTAAGTCCTAAACCCCAAACCCGTAAAACCTAAACCCAAACCCCTAAACAACCCAAAACCCCAAACCCTAAATAACCCCAAAAACCCGAAACGGCCGAGGCTCGGGGAAGGGCTAGTACCCTAAGTAAGTAACCCTTATAGATCCTTCAAAGGAGCCCTTCGAGGAACCCTAGCAGATCCTGTAACGGAACCCTGAACCCCTAAAACCTAATTAAACCCAAAACCCCTACAGATATAACCCCAAACACGGCCTTAACGGAACCCTAGTAGATCCTTTAAAGGCGCCCTTTTAAAGGAACCCCAAGAAGGCCGAGGCTCTGGGGAAGGGCAGGTCGCCGAGCCTTGGCTTCAGCTCCACAGAGTCCAGCGCCTCGGCCGGGCCCTCTCCGCGCGTCTTCAGGGCCTCGTGGAGCTCTGACATGTCCTGGGGCCGCTAACCCAGAGAGCCCAATATCCCTTAATTGAGGAATCTGGCTTAAATCATAGTATGAAGCCCCGAATGAAGGAATGTGGCTTAAATCAGAATATGAAGCCCCTGAGAGCCAATCTCCCTTGATTAAGGACTAGGGTTCTTTTGAGGGATCTATAGGGTTTAGGGTTTAGGGTTCAGGGTTTAGGGGGCTTCACAGAGAGCCCAATATCCCTTAATTGAGGAAAACGGCTTAAATCATGATATGAAGCCCCTAATGATATAAGGTGTATTCCTTAAACTAAGGCGTATTGGGCTCTCCGGAACCCCTAGGGTTATAGGGTTTCGGTTTAACGGTTTTGATGTTTCCTGTAGTACTACAGTGTACGTAGCATCCTTCGACGTGTTTAGGTGAATAAACCTACACCCTGAAGCCAAGACCCTGAACCTCAAATCGCTCGCGGTTCATTCGCGTGTCAACAACTCGGGGCGAAGGGGTATGCTGTAGAGTGTAGAGTGTTAGGGGGGTGTAGGCGGTGTAGACATTAGGCGGGCTAGGAATGATTAGGATCTAGGACCTCTAGCAGGGTTTAGGGTGTAGGATTTCGGTTTCGCATCGGTGAGTTCTTGACAATTCATTACTGTATCGGTGAAGATAACTAAGCAGCTCGCACACGGTCAGGGTACAACGGATCAGGCATATCAGAGTCTTTAGGGCTGGCTCCTTGGACCCTGAAGCACAATCCTCAGCCTTTAATCCCTGAAGAGCCCAATCCAAGTACATGGACCCTTGTTCTTGAGACCCACCCCTCGCTACGATGTGACAGAAGGTTTAATGATGGGACCAGGTTTTGGTCGGTTCTATACTACCAAAAGGGGTCCATGTACTTCTATGTTCGGAGAGTAGTATAATGTATGGACCCTATGGGCGACGAAATACTAGGGGAAAACCTCACTTAAGCTCAGGATTGTGCACCCACCTGCCTGCCTGCTTTAAACTTTTCAGAACCATGAGCTACAAATAGAACCCTTATTCCACCAAGACCGCATACCAGTTAAACAACTCTACAAAATCAACAAAAGCTTGAACCCTAAACCCTGAAACCTGACAACCACTCTATTGAGGGCGACTCTTGGTAGACCCCAAGCCATGTCTCCGCTGCAGACAAAGACCAATGCCTGATCAGGGCTGAACGGATTAGTGGAAGGGTTCTGGCTCTCTAGAGGGGTTTCGCTAGTAACAAAGTTTACTCTAGAGTTTTGGAATTTTAGCGGTTCAGGGTAGAGTGTTGGGGGCTTAGGGTTTAGGGTGTTGGGGCTTAGGCTCTGGGGTCATGGGCGTTTAGGGACTCAGGGCTTTTGAAAGTTGCGAGTTCAGAGTTGAAGCCTTAAACGATTCAGCTATTTAGCACATGGGTTTGGGGGTTTTTGGGGTTTAGGGTTCAGGGTTTAGGGAAGATTAGATGAATTCCGGGCGTGCAGAACTTAAGACTTAAGACCTTAGGACAACCGTGCGACTGACAGATTGAAAGCCTAAACGCTGAACCCTCAAACCCGAACATGCTAAACCCCAAAGCGCAAAACCCTAAAACCTAAACTCAAACCCTAATCCCTGAGGCCCCTAAGCGCCTGAACCCAAGAAAAACCTTAGGCCCCTAAGTGCCTGATAGAAAGACTTTGAAGCTGACTGAGGCTTTTCAGCACGTCGAAGAAGTGAGAGTTCGGCGGGAACGCGGAGTCCTTTCAGAAAGCTGGGGCGAAATCAAGGAGCCTGCTTTTTGGCTTTACCCGAATCCTCAAGAACCTGCCTGTTCAGGGTTCCTTACTGTGTTTTCCTTATATATGGGTGGTTGTCAAAATTAGGGTTCCTTCTTGGGTACCCTAAATATTAGGTGCCGTACGATAATGGGGACCCAAAAAGGGACCATAATTTTCACAACCACCCATATCTTCTATATGCCCTTGGAAGGGTATGGTCTTTTGGGCTAAGGTAAGGGTTTACAGTTGAGGGTTTAGGGTTGAGCTTTTACGGTTTGGGGTTTAGCGACGCACGCAAGGTCGACATGTCCGTCGCCTTAACCTTGCTCACACCAGAGATGTTGAAAGCCACAAGTCCAAAAAAACCGAAAATCTGTTCATAGTGGACATCAAACGAAACCCTAAACTCGCTAACCCCCCCAACCCTCAACGCAAACGCAAGACACAAAAGAGGCCGGGCTTCCGTGTCAGGTAGTGTAGAGGTACAACAGGGCTTAGGGGTATACCATATATTATATGTAGTTAGATATGAGTGTGTATATGATGCGTATACAAACATATGTATCTGTAAGCACAGACATACTGTACCATTAAAGAAAACACTTGCGAACTAAATTTCCCATCCGTATTTTGTCTTGGGCAACAGGGTCCAAATTCAGCTCTGACAGACAGCAGCACCCGGTTGATATCGCAAAACGAACCTGCAGCCAGGTCCAGATACAAGTTTAGTCTGGGGGTGTAGTAAGGGCGGGGGGGTATCCCAAACTGCAGCACGGTTAAAACGTTTTCTAGGAAGCCGTTTAAACCCTTATGCAGCCATCGCGAAACCCTGACAAAACCCTCTAGAATCCTCATAAATGCCTAACGGGATGCCCCCTGCTTGAAGTAGAAGCTAAACCCCAAACCTACGTCCTAAATCGCACGTCGGAAGCCCTGGGCCCTCTAAGTCCGAATTCACCGTCGTTGGAGTCACATGGGAGTTTCCGAAATTGGGGGCACCTTGTTTTGGGGTCCTTATAACAAGGATCATACTATTGAGGGTGCTATATTAGGGTCCCCTAATTTTCGGAAACTCCCTTATGCTGTTCGACATTATTTCCCAACCTAACCCCTAAACCCCTCATGCTAAACCTCGAAACCGTGTGACGACTACCGGCACCTATTATTTAGGGTACCCAAAACGGGACCCTAAGTTTGACAACTACCCACGTGGAAGCTCCTCTATGCGGCCACCCGAGACCCGCAGCACCTCGACCTGCCCCAGCACTTGGCGCTCTAGGGAAGGAGGATGTTTGTGGCGTATTGGGGTTTTGGGGCTTAGGGGTTTAGGATTCTTGTGGTGTATTGGGGTTTAGGGAAGGAGGATTCTTGTGGTGTGTTGGGGTTTAGGGTTTAGGGAAGGCGGACCAAAATCCCAAACCATGAACCGTATAAACCCCAAACCTTGAACCTCATACACCCGAATAACCTTAAACCTTAAAAGCCCTAAACCATGAACCGTATAAACCCTGAACCTTGAGCCTTCTAAACCCTATAAACCGTCCAAACCTTGAACCTTGTGAACCCTAAACCTTATAAACCTTATAAAGCCCAAACCTTATAAACCCTAAAACCTTAAACCCTAAACCCCTAAACCCTAAAAAACCCTGAATCCTAAAACCCTAAATCCTAAAACCCTAAACCCTAAAACCCTAAATCCTAAAACCCTAAATCCTAAAACCCTAGAACCCTAAACCCTAAAACCCTAAACCTTAAACCCTAGAGCCCTAAGACCCCTCAACCCCCCCCCCGAAACCCAAGAGCCGAAATCGCGAAATCGCCTCCCCAGGGCCTGAATCGTACGCCGCCCTACTTTCCGTACTTGAAGGCTCATGGGACTTAGTAAGGGTTCTTAAAGGGCTCCTTAAAGGGGTTCTATGGGGTTTAGGGTTTAGGGTCTACTGGATTTCCTGACAAGAGTAAGAGTAATGAGACCCAAAGGGTCCTTTGTACTGTCATGGGGGATACCTCTCTAAGTCATAATAGTAATTCCTAATATAGAAACCCTACATTCTACTATATCGGTACATAGGACCCTTTGGGAGAGTACTTGAAGGCTCATGGGACTTAGTAAGTAAGGTGATAAGTAGGTTATAATTAGGATAACCCCACTTAGGGGACTTAAAACCCCAATTATAACCTACTTGCTAAGTCCCATGATCCTCTAAGTAGGAGACAGATCGGGCTTTAAGGTTTACAGGGTTTATAAGGTTTGAGGTTTTAGGGCTTTAGGGTTTAGGAACTCCGTGCTGGTGTTAGGGGACATGAACACTGATCTTTTCCCTGACCCACCACATGTCGGGTTTAGGGGTTTGTGGTTTAGGCTTTTTTGAGATCTTCAAAATGTGCAAAACCGTCTGAAGGTTTACGCTTTAGGGTTGACCTCCGTGGAAAGGCACCCCCAAAAGGCGCCCCGACCTAAACAATAATTAAACCCCCCAAAAGCACTGGCACAACAAACCTAAACCCTAAACCCTAAACCCAAAACAAACCTGAACCCTAAACCCTAAACCCTAAACCCCTCAATGTGTGTGATTGCAAATTGCAAGGCCAAAGCACACGCGACTGATTCCAGGGCTGCCCCATAAACCATAAACCCCTAACGGGGACCCTAATATAGTACCCTAAATAGCAGGATCCTTGTTATAAAGACCCCAAAACAAGGTATCCCTAATTTTCGGAAACTCCCATTTAGCGCTTTGGCCTTGGCTTTTATGGTACCCCTTAAAGCGTAAGCTCCTAAAGCCCCTAAATCCTAAACCCTAAAACCCGCCTGATTGCAGGGCTCTTTTTGAAGGACCCACACGAGCTCTTCCAGCTCCATTCGCCGAGGCACGCTGGGGTTTAGCTGTCCTGGAGTTTATAGTTTTAGGGTTTTAGGTATTTTTTTTAATATCCTTTTTCCAGGGGGCGACAGTTTGCTGCATCCTAGAAGGCCTTTGGGTTTTAGGGTTTAGGGTTTGGGGTTTAGGGTTTCTGCTTTTTGTTGAGAAGTCGTGGGAGGGGGGGGGTTGAAAGGTTGTTAAGGTCTTGGGTTGATGGTTGTGCACGTTATGCTCTTTTCTTTTTGGAATGCTGTTCATTCTCGTCAACTCGCTTAGAAATAGTACGTCCGGTTTTTCCTGTGCTGACAATGTCTTTCAATGACCACGGTATTCATTCGTTGTGCTTTCTAGTCGCGTAGTTGCATGGATCTCAGAGCTGCAGGGTTACAGTGTGTGTGCGTGTGTCTTGTTTTTGGCTTCATGGCTTACCCAACAGGCCTATAGCACATCACAAGACAAACACACAGAACACTGCAAAAGAAACTCACAAAATCCATACGGACCCTTTACTCTAAACCCTTCATTAAGCCGAGGCAAGTGGCTGCAGTGCTTCCAGCTCGGAAGAAGGTCTTTCATGGTTGTCCGGAAATCGAGCATCGTGGAGCCATTCTCCAATGCACCTGCGGTCGTAGATAGCTGTACGGGCAGATCCTACTTTAACCCTGAATAACCTTTACCTTTTTAGGGTTCCTTCATATGATTTCCTTGCATAAGTCATTGTAGAGGTAAGAAAGCCGGGGTTAAGGAAAAGCCGAAACCCTAAACTGAACCGCAACCCTTTGGTTAAGGTGTCTTAGGAACTCGTCGGTTTGCTTTAGAAGGGTCCCCTAAACCCTAACACCCTAAATACCTATACCTGTAATCCAGGCTACCCAAGAAGATCCAGATCGCAGACTTGAGGCAGGCTCTGGGACAATTTTTACAAAGATTTGGGTTTAGGGTTTAGGGCGGCTTAGCTTAGGCTAAAAGGACATCGTGAATGATGTAGATACACCCCACAACCCTAAACCCTCAACCAAGCCCCAAACGCTAAATCACCCCCCCGAGCCCGCCTTTGATGATGCCCTGAGGCATCCCTTCGGACATATTGCCAATGAAGGCCAACCAGGGCAGATGATCGAGGCCTTTACCTTAGGTCTTCGGGAGATTTTTTTTTTTGCGAGCCTCTTGTCCCAGGGTTGCACAAGCAGCTGAGAGATCCCAGTCGTTGAGGCGAGTCGGGAGGAGGGTTGAGGGATTAGGGTTTAGGGCCGTTTGTCAGTGCGTCTGTTGAATCCACCCACAGGACTTCGGAATTCGCGATGATTTCAGAGGCTGAGGTATTTGTTGATCGGCACATGATTTATCATACCTTGCTTCTCTAGCTGCAGCTTGGTTACGCTGAAGCTATTCTCGGGAACCCTGCGGAACAGTCCTACTACCCAGAAAGCCCAATACCCCTTAATCAAGGAATACAGCTTGAATCATAATATGAAGCCCGAATGATCTAAAGTACATTCCTTAAGTAAGGGGTATTGGGCTCTCTGGGCCTGTGGAACAGTACTACTACATACTCATACCTCGCATTAAACACAGCAAACCTTGGCCCTGATGCGTAGAACCGCACCTTAACCCTCAAAACCCTACCCTTCCAGGGTTACTTATTATGATTTCCTTGTATAAGTCCTGAAAAAGGTGGTTATTCCGGGTTAAACTTAGTTTCTGAGTTCATAAGCCCCAAAAAGTGTACACTTTCAGTTTTATAGTGGGTAATATTATCCCAAAAAGTGTAAGGTGTATCCACTCAGCTACTACAGTAGAAGCCCAAAAGTTGGAAACCCTATAGCCTCAATCCTTAAGAGTAGTGTATAGGGAATCCCAGCACTATTTGGCCTTCATCCGGTTTCCAACTTTATGGGGTTTACTGTAAGCTTAAAGGAATCCTTAATCCCTCTCAACCCTGAAACCCTCAACCCCTAACCCCCTTGAAGGAACCCTTATAAAGGAACCCCCTAAAGGAACCGTGAAAGGAACCCCTAAAGGAACCCTTAAACCCTAAACCCGATGCAGGGCTCAGAGGGGCGACTGGCGAGCTTGGTACTCGCAGCCCAGGCTTCCCCCCCAAGAGCTCCATTCCTCAGAGGAATGAGGGTTTAGGGTTAGGGTTTAGGGTTTAGGGTTTAGGGGTTTAGGGTTTAGGGTTTAGGAATGAAGGTTACCTAACAAGGGAAGCCTTCTAGATCTCTTACAACTTTAAGTTAACGGGCCCTTAACGGAACCCCTATAGATCCTTAAGGGCTACCAGATAAAACTTAGGGTTACTGTAATTAAGGGCGATCCTGAGGGTTTGGGGTCCCTGTGGGGTTACTAGAAGGGTTACGAGGCAAGGAATAGAGTTCTTTCAGGGCTTTCGAGGGTTGCTTTCTGTTAGTCTACGGATTTGAGTTGTAAGGTCTTCTACTCCTACCCCTACACCTACTCCTTTTCCTACTCCTCCTACTCTTTTTCTACTCCTACTCCTTCTCCTCCTCCTGCGCCTACTGCTACTCCTCCTCGTCCTCCTCGTCTACTCCTCCTACTCCTCTTACTCCTACTACTCCAACTACTCCTACTACGCCTAATACTCCGATTACTACTACTGCTACTACTACTACTACAACTCCTACTCCTACTCCTACTCCTACTCCTACTCCTACGACTACGACCACGACCACTACCACTACTACTACAGCTACGGTAGCTGATGTGGTAGGAGGGGCAGCAGCAGTAGTGATAAGGGATAAGCGGCCTGAAGGTTGCAGGTCTGCCAAACTGTGCTCCTTGTTCTCGATTATTCTGTCTAAGGATACGTCCAAGCTTTTCGAAAACACACGAAACTAACAAGCCTACTTGGGGTACTGACTAGTGACTAGACTACTAGAGAGGCCTACACCGCTACACTCAGAAGCCCTAAAGCAGTAGCATTGATACGTATTCAGGCCCACGTATCAACTCAAGGGTCCGTGCACCCATGCAGAATACACTTTGACCGGCTAAAGTACGCATATGGGAATCGCAAGAAGAGCATATATTTAGAAGGGCTACTACCAAAAGAGCCTAACGCTCAAATCAGGATAATCGATCCGAGGGGGGGTTGTTAATCACTGGTCTACACGTCTCCTGAACCCTAAACCCATTAGGGGTCTACATGGGAGTTTCCGAAAACAGGGGACCCTAATATAGTACCCTAGAACGTAAGATCCTTACTATAAGGATCCCAAAATAAGTACCCCTAATTTTCGGAAACCCTAAAACCCTTATAGAGCCCTTAAAAGGAACCTTTATAGTATCCTTATAGTAACCGTTTAAAGGAGCCCTAAGGTACCCCTAAGTTTCGGAAACTCCCACATTACTCCAGAACCCAGTGACATGTGGTCCAGTCCCGGGAGTAGGTCGAAGCCAACTGCGCGGTACTCCTGCAGGAGGCCTTGCTTGGAGGTTTATGGGTAGTTGTAAGGGGTCCTTTAAGTGTCCCTTTACAGGGATCTATAGGGATATTAATATACGGGTATGGGGTTTAGGGCCTTGCTTGGAGATTTATGGGTAGTTATAAGTGGGGTGATAAGTCACCTAATATAGGTTGTAAGGGGTTTGGTATTCCTTTTTTTCAGGGTTCCATAGGGTTTAGGGTGTAGGGTGTAGGGTAGTTATAAGCAGGGTTATAAGTCCCCTAATACGGGTTATAAGTATAGTTAGCCTACTCATTGTCCTATACTTATTTTATAGCCACCCATGAACCTCCAAGTGACTTCTCGTGTCTTTTGTACACGATACTATCATGGCTTTTAAGGTGGCAACATGCTTCTGGTGATGTATTCAATTCCCTTTCTTTCAGTTACTGAAATTCCATCATATTAACCCCACCGTCTCCTCAAGGTGAGCGTTTACTATGCTGTCATCGTAAGAAGAAGAAGATGAAGAAGAAGAATAAGCTGAACATCAGAATCTGAGGGTTCTTGCATCTTCTTCCGGGTTTAAGGGTAAGGTTCGAGTGTTTACGGTGTTCGTGTTTGGGGTTTGTCTCAGGCTTTAGGCTTTAGGCTTTACTACTTAGTTACTGCTTTGGGATTCAGGCTTAGGGGTGAGTCCGGCTTTAGGGCCAAGGAACTCAGCCACGGTTCTCAAGAGCAACCAAGTCACAGTCGTGAATAGTCCGGGTTAACTTCAGCGATCCAGTGTGCATTGCCCGAAGCAACCATTGAAACCAGGCTTGTTTCGGGCCAAGTTCAACAGGTACCAGCGTTCCATTTTGGCCACCGCGACGTCGCAAGTATCCACCAAGTCTGTTCGTGTTCTTGACGAAGAAGAAGCTTCCCCATGGCTGAGTATGACAGAACATGTCTGCTGCAGCCAAGCCGGAGGGGAGAAGCCTTTCACCCAAAGAGACAAGGCTCTCAAAGAAATCTGAGAGCGCGATCTTGAGCTCCACTGTGAAAGTAGGCATCTCAATGGGCGTCTGCAATGCGACGCTATTCCGATCGTATGACCAGGAGGAGAAGTTCGTCCATTCACATGGTTCAGCCCAGGGAAGTTTCTGCGCTTCTGCCTGCAGGGACCCCAGAATGCAAGAATCTGCGAGAATTCGACCCGAAACCCTATCTCAGCTCTAAACCTAGATCCGTTCGGCTAGAGGGCCTCGAACAGAGGCGTCGTGAGCTTGAATCGCATTGTTTTATCACCCTCAACCGCTAAACCTAAAACCCTTCTGGAACACGTCAAGAATCTCTCCGAACCAGAACGGGTTGAGAACCCTTAGAGAACCTAAAACCTTCTGACGCCCTTCGGTATCGGTATTTGCGCGCAAACCTGATCCGTCTGTGCTCGCCTGACACGCTAGAAGCGTAGTGAGCTGAGCTTCCGGAAGACGATGGTGCTCCGCCAAAGCCGTCCGCCATTCCTCACAGAGCTCCACATAGTCGCATTTGCCTGAGGTTTAGGGCGTAGAGTGGCGTAGAGGGTTTTAAGTGTCTAGGGTTTGAGGTTTCGCGGTTCAGGGCTTTAGACGCTTGGGACTTAGAGGTATAGGGTTTAAGGGGTTTGGGTTTCGGGATTTAGAACAGTTTGTGTTGCAAAGCCCTATGCAAAAGACGTTGCAAGGCAGGCTTATGTCTCACAAAGCCCATGCTGAAGCCATGCGAAGCCTCTTCACAGGGAAACCTAAGGCTTGTCCATATAGAGCTTTAGGGTTTAAGGCTTAAGGGAAAAGGCTTTGAACCCAAGAACCCCTGAAACGTAAACATTGAAAACAAACAGAGACCTGAAAACTCCAAATCCTACAGTCACGCGCCTGCCTTAGACTACAATGCACCCCTCCCGGTAGGCTCCCAAAGACATACTGTTGATGATATAAATCCTGCATTACCTTAAGGACCCTAAACTATGGGAAATATGGCATATTCCCTGTTATGGGTAATGCAGGATTTATATCATCAACCGTAACTCCCAGCTATGATTGTGGGTGACCCTTTAATCAGGAATTAGGCATTCCAACTATAATTTGAGGAGTAGTCGTATTGATTCAGGTTTGGGGGTCTCAAGGTTGCAGTACACCCCCACTCCTAAACGCTCGGGTGCCTGTTGAAAGCGCGTCCTGCACCATCGCGCAGAAGGCATCCGCTGACCGTCCAACGAAGTTCATCTTCGCCTTGGTCAAGCTTGTAGGTCTGGGAGTTTACGGTCTATGGAGTTTAGGTTTGGGGGTTTTGGTTTGGTTGCTAAGGGTTTAAAGCTTTTTGGGTCTTAGATTTTAGGGCTTTCCGGCTGTAGGGCAAAAAAGTTTCGGGTGTGGGGTTTGGATTTTATGTTCACCTAACCCCTAAACCCTAGACCCTAAACCCTTAACCCCTCAAAGCTAAAACCTAAACTACATGTAAGTCCTACGGATTCCTCACTAGGGATGTACTGCTCCATTCTAAGCAAGGATTCCCTCTACAGTAAAGTCTCTGTCTCAGTCGTAGTCTCCGGTAATTTCCGGACACACCGTAGAACCTTGGGTTATTAAGGCACTGTCACCATAAGAAATCTGGGAGTTTCCGAAAATAGGGGACCCTAATATGCTACCCTAAATAATAGGATCCTTATTATGAAGGCCCCAAAATAAGGTACCCCTAATTTTCCCTCACCATAAGAAATCGAGAAACCCCAGACAACTACAAAATGCATGCACAACCTAGAGCCTCCCAAAGCAAACCACAAAGTCACAAGCTGTAAAACCTCATAAAACCTATAAGACCCTAAGAAAGCTATAAAACACTATAAAACCCTAAAAACCCTATAAAATCCTATAGTTATAAGGCCGTATAAAACCAGACAAAAACCTATAAAACCCTATAAAACCCTGTAAAAACAAGAACACCGGTTTAAGCCTGAACCCCCAAAACCCTGAAAAGCAGTCTGTCCGCCTTGGCGTAGCATGATGAGGGAGACCCCTTAAAGGGTACCCCTTCCGAACCCTACTTCTGGCTCTCTTAAAAAGAGGGTCTATATCCCCCGATTTTCCCCCCAAAAAATCCGACTCCCAGCCTTGGGGACTCGGTGCAGAAGCTCACATCCCTGCTCCTGCGCCGCCCAAGCTGCCGGAGTGTCTGCCTGATCAAAGCGCACCTGCTGCTGGTAACTTTAGAGGGCTTAGGGCTTAGGGTTTATTAGGGGGTTTAAGAGGGCTGAGGGCTTAGGGTTTATTAGGGGGTTTAAGAGGGCTTAGGGTTTAGGGTTTATTAGGGGGTTTAAGAGGGCTGAGGGCTTAGGGTTTATTAGGGGGTTTAAGAGGGCTGAGGGCTTAGGGTTCATTAGGGGGTTTAAGAGGGCTGAGGGCTTAGGGTTCCCCGAAGTCCTAAAGAAAGCCTTCAGTCGGTGCTGCTCTGGCCGTCGTGGCCACATGCCCGACCGTTGCTCTCTGGAATCTCGGGGTTCGACCAGGAATCGGCCCTCCAAGGGACCAGCCCAAGGCATGAACCTCTGTCTGTAGGGTGTCTAGGGTTGCGGCTTTTCCTACTTGTCGGGTATCATGGGGAACTAGAGGTTAACCTTTTGGTTATATCGGGATTATATAGGGGCTACTCTACTACTAGGGTTTTTTTACTTCTGGTACAAACTTTAACTTAGGGCGTTGTGGGTTGTCTAACGGTCTATGGGGCTCTATGAGGGTTTTGTAAACTTCATGGCTCTGCGGCAGTGTGTTATGGACTGTATGGTGGGGCTATGTCTTCAAAAAGCATTCTCTCCAGGTCTTACAAATACGTGTAACGCGGCTGGAAACTCAATAAAGGGAACTCCAGAAAGTTGGAATATGGTTTCAGGGTAGGATACCCTATAATTTGCCATAGAAGGGTTAGGATAATCATATTCCAACTTTCTGGCTTTTACTTTAACCTCAGGGGCATCGGAGTAGAGGGTAGGGAGTACCAGCATCAAGCATGATTACTCCAGTTTCCATTATTCTGGGGCCTTATTAAGAGCTGTCTTTGGGGTTTTGGGGTTAGGGTTGACAGTTCAGGGTTTAGGGTGAGGTATTTCAGGTTTGCACTTCTCTGCATGCACTTTGTGACAGGCCTTACATTACCCTAAACCCTGCTTCACCAAACCCTCAACCCGACAAGTGAGGCAGGTTGACCCTGAACCCTGTCAGACTTAACATCCTAAATGGGAGTCTCCGAAAATAGGGGGTACCCCATTTTGGGGTCCTTATAACACGGATCCTACCATTTAGGGTACCATATTAGGGTCTTCGGAAACTCCCAGATCTCAAAACCCTACGCCCTCATGAGCCTGACAAGTTAAAACCGTTTTGGAGCCCTCGTAGAACCCTGCAAAACCCATCGAAACCCACACAAATGTTTTGCATGCCTATACAACCCTACACAAACCTGCTTACGGAAGCCCATTCATAACACCTTACAGAATTTTTAAAAAATCAGTCCAAAATAACCCATAAAATTCTAAAGAGCTCCAAAAAACTCCAAAAAAACAGTATTAACAAACAACTAATGATTTTAACTAATGCCGATCCTAAACCCTAAACCCCAATCAAACCGAGGATCGCGAAAGTTATCGGTTCGGACGGCCGCGCTCCCTGCGATGTGGCGCCACAGGCGCGGTAGCGAAGACGGAGGAAGTTGCTCTGCTTGCCTTACTTGGAGGTTCATGGGTGGTTATAAGTAGGGTAGCTATACTTATACCCATACGAGTAAATAATAGGTATTAATAGGTGACTTGTAGCCCCACTTATCACTACCAGTCAACTTCCAAGTAATGTAGGTGCCTTAATGATCCGAATAGGGTTTGAAGCTCCTTTATAGTGTGATTCTACTGCCCCTTGTGGGTTTTGGAATTGGGTGTTTGCTGGCTTCAGGGTTTACTGGTGCCTTGCAATTTGTGTTTGGGAGTGTTAAAGTCTACGCGCTTATGATACAGGGCACTTTTAGTTTTATAGTGGGTAATATTATCCCAAAAAGTGGAACGTGTATCCGCTCAGCTACTCAGCACTCTAAGCCCTAAGCCCCAAACCATGACCCAAAAGCCTCTTCAAGAGTTACCTAAACACCTACAAGATCCAAACCTCAGCCGTTCAATTCGAATGGCCCCAAGATCCCAATCCCTTCAGCCTTCAACCCCTAGGTAGATCCTCATAGGTTTAGGGTTTAGGGCTTAGGGTTTAGGGTTTAGGGTTTTATATTCAAATTCTCAGACCCTGAAACGAGAAAAACAACTAAACCCTAAACTCAACCTGGAAAGTTGAGGCCCAAAGACCCTGAAGTCCGATCCCCTAGGAAGTTAAGCCAGAGATTTGGGAGTTTCCGAAAATTAGGGGTCTTGATAATAAGGATCTTACTACTTCGAGTACTGTATTAGGGTCCCCTATTTTCGGAAAATCCCATACAGGAGAACCTATCCCCCCAAAAGAGAGAAACAAGCTGAAAAACAAACCAAGAGCCTTGTAATACGCATAGTCTCCATTGCCTTTCTTTCTTGTTTTTCTAGTCTTTGTGTTAAGATCCTTTTTGGTAACCCGACAAAGGAACCACAATGGAGCTTTATAGTGGTCGCCCTCCCCCTATATAACCTAGTAATGATCTTAGCCAAACTAAGAATAGATTCAATAGTAGTAACACTCACCGAAAAGTGATAAGAGTAAGAGTAATGAGACCCAAAGGGTCCTTTGTACTGTTACAGTATGGGGGATACCTCCCTAAGTCATAATGGTAATTCCTAATATGGAAACCCTACATTCTACTATATCGGTACACAGGACCCTTTGGGAGAGTAATAAGAGCTAGACCCAAGAGTAACCTAGGAATAAAAAGGGTGCCCTTTTTGGTTTAAAGGGGGTTATAAGGGAACCTAAACCCCCAAAAAAGGGAATAAGGGCCTACTCTGGGTCCTAGAATAAGAACCCTAAACCCTAAACCCTGGACCCTTTGGGAGAGTAGTGAGAGTCATAAGAGCCCCACCAGATGCTTGCAAAGCTGCATCGTTTCAGATCGGGGAGGTCCGCATCCCTCCTAAGGGCTTAAGGGGTTTAGGGGTTTAGGGTTTAGAGTTTAGGGTTTAGGATTTAGGGGTTAGGGTTCATTTCGTTTTTTTTAAGAGAGCCTGTTTCCTTTCCGCAAGGTCAGGAGAGCCACATCAAGGTCTTCGGTTTAGGGTTTAAGGTGTAGGATTTAGGGGTTAGGGCTTAGTTTTTGGGGCTTGAGGGTTTAGGGTTTCGGGCTTCATCAGAGGGCTCTATTGGTTGTATAAGGTTCCTGGTTCCTGGTACGGATTTATGGTGGGGATGTTGGTTTCAACGGGTACATAATTTAAATGCATACATCTATCTATCTGCTTGTCTGTCCACCTTTCTATCTATACTACGTACGTATATATGAGTTTCTTGGTACTAGTAGGGACATTTCTAGTGGTGTTATGGTTCCTTCTGAAGCTTACACGATTATTGAAATGAGCCTGCCCATCCCCACCCACACCCCTGCAATCGCTTACACGCTGGGAAAGGTATTTTGGGCTGTAGGATTTTGGAATTTTGGGGGTTGGTACAAGGGTTAGAAGGGCCTCGGGCAACCTCGCATACCGAGCCCAATAGACAGTCCTAAACTCTCCACCCCTCACTATCGTTTCGTAGATCCCCCCCAGCACCCTCCGTTTGTCACAATACCTGCTGCATTATGCGGATGGCTTGGTGCTCTTGGCACGTCAAAGCTTCAGGATGCAAGTTCAGTCTATAGGGCTCATGCAAGGCATTTGCAAGCGGCATAAGGTTTTCGCAGGGTTCCTGGTTGTAGGTTTGACAAGGGCTTCACAGGGTTCCCAAAGCGCTTTGGAAGGGCTTCTCTGGATTTCAGACCGCCGCCCAGTTGCATGGTAGTGCCGTCGTTTGGTATGGAGGTCCACTGGACCTTGAAGTTCGTGTCGGGCAAGATCGGAACCACGATCCTGGGTTCTTGTCAAAGGATTTATGTTAGGTTACTAGAATAAGGAAACCATATTATTTACTGTAGAGCCCTAGAGGGATTTGTTTTCAGTTACTAGAATCAGGTAACCATGTCATTTACCATAAATCCCTACTATGGTAGCTTAACTGAATTCCCTTAACAAGAGCCCAGGATCAGTCGCAGCGAGCGGAACCGGAACGGGTCAAATCTGCTGGCAGTCACGACCTCGCTTGTTCAGCTTCCAAAGGAAAACCCAATACGGTTGAGAACCATGATATATTCCTTATTATGGGTAATGCAGGATTTATATCATCAACCGTGCTTTCGGGATCTTTCGGGGTTGTATAGGGGTTATATAAAACGTTTGCTAAAGGATACCTCCTGCAATTTTACATAAACACTTGGTGTCTTGCCTTCAAGACGCACAAACCTGTTCGAAACTACTGTTGATGATATAAATCCTGCATGACCCATAATTAATAAGGAATATACCGTAATTCCCATATATTCCTGCTTATGGGTAATGCAGGATTTATATCATCGGCCGTAGGACTCTACAGCACCCAGTGAGAATGCGTCTGCCCCAAGCCGTTTAGGGTGCAGCCTGGGCTTTGACTGGGCTCTTGTTAAGGATTTAGGGGTTTAGGGTTTAGGGATCTAGTCTAAGTTGCCACAACAAGGAACCTACATCAGTTACTATATGTCCCTAGTATGGTAACTTAAACTAAATTCCTGAATGCACAAGAGCCCAGTTGGGTTTAGGGGTTTTGGGTTGACGATAAAATTCCTAAACCCACTTAACCTTAAACCCTAAACCCTAAACTTAACTGGCTCCGAGAAACGATGTCGCCTTCCTTGGACACCATGCCCTCGGCGTGAAGAACAGCAGTCGCATTGCCCGTAGCATTTTCCTTGGTTAAGGGGCTTAGGGGCTTAGGGGTTTAGGGTTTAGGGGTTTAGGGGTTTAGGGTTTAGGGGTTTAGGGTTGCGTTGTTTAGGGTATACGGGGTTTACGTTGTCTTTTTTAAGGTGCGGTGGCCGTTCGCTCGCACGACGGTCCATCCCATTGTGAGTTTAGGGTTTAGGGTTTTGGGTTTGCCATAAGGCGAATGAGAAGCGAAGAAGGTATCCCTGTTGCTATCTGAGCAGAACCAAGCCTCAACCCCGAACCCCAAGAGAAACTACAAAGCATCCTTCTTTCTTCCCCTCCTAACATGGACGAAGCAAGTTTCGGCAATGAGCTTCACGAGCACGTCCGTTGGCAAAGGCAACTCTCTGGAAAGACTAATGGCCTCGAGGTTATCGCTTTTAGGACGTGGGTTTAGGGTGTAGGGAAGGTTTGGGGAAAGGCTACGAACAAACTTGCTCTTGCTGCAACCTCAAACTCAAGCACCTTCATTAACCCAAAGCAGGCCCAGGCTGCACCCTGAAGGCTAAACGTGAAACTAAGCCCTCTGCAAAGCCCTATAAAACCTTGTAAAACCGTGAAAGTTATTTGCATAACCACGATAATCACTATAGCACCCTACAGAATCCCGATAAAGCCCTGACACGAACACCCCCCAACCACCCTAAACCCCAAAACCTAAACCACCCTAAACCCTAAACCCTAAACCGAAACCACCCTGAACCCTAAAGCCCTAAACCCTAGAGCCCTAAAGCCCTAAAGCCCTGAACCCTAAAGCCCTAAACCCTAAAGCCCTAAAGCCTAAAGCCCTAAACCCTAGAGCCCTAAGCCCAAAACCCTAAAGCCCTCAACCATAAAGCCTTACACCCATGACCCTAAAGCCTAAAGCCCTACACCCTCAACCCTGAACCCTAAAGCCCTACACCCATGATCCATGCCTGGGCATCTGTGGGCCTCCGCTCTAAGCTCTGCTCCCGCCGCAGCTTTAGCCGCAGCTGCCCGGAAACGCCGCCTCAGCAGTGCCAACAAATCGAAGTTTGAGGGTTTGGGGTTTAGGGTTTGGGGGTTTGAGGTTTAGGGTTTGGGGGTTTGAGGGTTTACGGGTTTGAGGCTTAGGGGTTTAGCGTTTAGGGGTTTGAGGCTTAGGGGGTTAGGGCTTAGCTACATGTATATGCGGATGAAAAGGGGATACCATAGTGTAGTACACGACTATTCCACGAAATCCCACTTCCCCCAGAAAGCCTTATAGAACCCGCATAGAATCAAACAAAAAACCACAAAAAAAACCTCAACTTGCCCTCAAAACCTACGCTCTGAACCCCTAAACCCTAAACCCCTAACCCTTAAACCCCAAACCTTCCGGACCCTATAGCCGGCCTTGCCAGTCTGGCATAACAGATTCGAAGCGAGCACTTTGGTCCTGCACCTGGATGTCCGGGCCACATTCAGAATCCAACGAGCCTGGGCATAGGGTTTCGTTTTTTTGTTGAGCTGCTTTGTTTAGGGTTTAGGGTTTTGGTTTAGGGTTTAGGGTTTTGGTTTAGGGTTTAGGGTTTAGGGCTTAGGGTTGTATCCAGGATCTATATAGGGTTTCAGGAGGGGGTTTAAGGCTTAGGCTGGGGGATTAAACAAGGGTAGTTTGCGCAGGGACGTTGTCTTGTTGTTTGCGCGGTGGAGATGCGAGGGGGGGTGCTACAGAGCGGTCTTGCTGGCGCAATACCTTTTGTTTTCAGGGTGCTAACTCTTTGCATACCTGAAACTACCAAACCCTACTTTTCTGTAGGTTCTTAATGTTATAAGCCCTAGTATGGAATTTATAGGGACCCCACAAAAAAGTAGGTATTGGTAGGCTAGTTAAGGTAAAGATTAGGATTAAGCGTTTGGGTTTAAGGTGGGTTCAGATCTCACCCTAAGGCCTAAACCCCTAAACCTCTAAACCCCAAAACCCCTACACTCGTAAACCCAAAACCCCAAACCCTACACCCCTAGACCCTCAACCGCTAAATCCTAAACCGCTAAATCCTAAACCCCCAAACCCTGCCCTAAACCCATAGACCCTAAAGTACCCTTATAGTGATTTACCCCTACAGAAACCCCTATAGAAACACGTATACATTCCTCAAGGGAATCCTTCAAGGAACCCCTAATCCAAGGGTCAAAGGAGGGACCCTTCATAAGGACCCCTAGGTATATAGCTATTATATACCCATTATATAGCCCATTATAGGGTAGGGGTCCCCATTAAGGGTCCCTCCTTTTCCCCTTTGACCTAAACTTGAAACCCCAAGGAAGCCAGGCGTGGCCTGCAGTCGTCACACAGCCGAACATCTGCGCACGGAAGCTGTCGTGTGAGACTCCTTTTTCCTGGACTCCCCAAGCAGGGTTTAGTAGTAGGGTCTAGGGTTTGTAGGTTTAGGGGTTACAGGTTTCGGGTTTAGGTTTTAGGGCCTAGAGTTTCTAGGTTTAGGGTTATTTTTTAGGGTGCCGCAGCGATTATCCGCCTAACGGGTTTAAACACACAAAGATTACACAGTTTTGGGGCTAGAGGCTGTGGGATCTCTTAAAAGTTTAGGGTTTAGGGTTCCTTTAAGGGTACCCTTTCCTCTATATAATAGTCAGCTTCTGACAAGATACCCGACAAAAACAAGGCCATGAGGATACTCTTGTTCATAGGGACCCTTAGCGGGTGGAGGGAGGGGGGTTGGGGGCCTTAATAATTGCCTATAGCCTATTTAAGGAGGTATAGTCCCCTACCACCCTCCCCCTACCCCGCTAACGGTCCTTATGACTTGTTAGACCCAGTTTCAAGTTTCGCTGCTCCGCTGCAACTCTGGCTTTCGTGCCAGGCATAGCTGTGGTAAGCTGCGAAGCCTGACCGGTACTTGGAGGTTCATGGGCACTTTTAAGTGGGGTTATAAGTCCCCTAATATGGGTTACAAGTATAGTTACCCCGCTTATAACCCTAGTTATGAACCTCCAAGTACACCGGCAATGTAGGAACCTGATTAAGAAACCTTGGGCCTGTATTGGGGTTCCTTACATGAATCCTACTATTTTGGGGTGATAGGCCCGGGGTTTCTGAGTCAGGATCCTACATTACTGTCCAAGTTCATTCTTGGTGCCCGCCTCTAATTACTCCTGAACCCTGCGCACTGCACCGCGCTCATATCGCTAGGCCTAAACCGTACCTACACGCTTTGATGCTGGAAAGCCCAAAACTTCATCTAAACTTGACCAAAACGGAAGCCCCTGTATGCGTTAGGGCTGTTTGGGGTGATACGGTTTAAGGCTTAGGGGTGTAGAGTTGTTTATCGGTTTTGGCCTGGGGCTTGGGTTAACAGCGTGTTGCTTATTGCTCTGGTTTTGAAGTCTTACCTGAACCTACCCAACCCTCCTTTTTCGGTAGGGTCCCGATACATTCCATATCAGGGTTTACAATAAGAACCTGCAAAAAAAGTCGGGTTTGCTAGGTTAAGATACACCTAAACACCCCAGGCCATGGGCGCTAAATCAAGTGTCTTAAAGGTTAGGGCTTAGGGTTTTTGGTTCAGGGTTTAGGGTTAGGGTTCAACCTTCCAAGCGGACATGAAGCCTTTAAAGCAGGCGTAGACAAAATCAACACATACAGCCCTGTCGAGCCCGAATTCCGGAGGAAAAACGCATCCCACACTTCTTAGCGGCCTTCACAAAACCGTAAACCCGAAACCCTACTTCTTGAAACCGCCTTCACAGAAGAAGCTGAGCGAACCTGTGCCTGTCGAACAGTAGAGCAAAAGATAAGGCCCCCAAAACGCCCATAAGCGCAAACATAGGGATAGGGATATCCCATATAAAACCCCTTATAATGAAGCCCAATAAGGTAGGGATATCCGTCTAAAATGCTTGTGCTTATTTGCTTCTTGGGTCCCTGACAAGACCTATATTATAAGACCTCTTCCCCAACTTCAAACTGTAAACCCAAATCCTAAACCATGCATCTTAAAACACGAACCGTGAGACCTGCACCCGAAACCTAAGCCCTAAACCCTACACCCTGCACATGTAACTCGAACCCTGAACCCTAAGCCTAAACCCTCAACCCTGAACCCAAAATCCTAGACCCGAAACTCCGAATCTCAAAGGCCTTAAACCCCCAATCTAAAATACCCTAAATCCTATATCTAAACGACCCTGAACCCAAACCCTAAACCCTAAACCCCAAATCCGAAGGAACCTGAACCCGGGATCCGAAAAAACAACCTAATTCAAAACCCCGAACATCCCTGAACCCGAAACCCGAAACCAAAGCCCTAAACCCAAAACCCTAGACCCTACTTGAAGGCTTAGTAAGGGTTCTTAAAGGGCTCCTTAAAGGGATCTATAGGGCTCCTTGAAAGGGTTCTATGGGGTTTAGGGTTTAGGGTCTACTTGAAGGCTCATGGGACTTAGTAAGTAAGGTTATAAGTAGGGTATAAGTAGGATAACCCCACTTAGGGGACTTATAACCCCAATTATAACCGACTTACTAAATCCCCTGAGCCTCTAAGTAAACCCTATGCCCAGCGGAGGCCCAGGGGCAACCATGAGCTCCTTTGAATGAGGCAAGGCAATCCGGATCATCGCTGCAATCCGTTTCTGTGCTGCGTTGGGAGGTTAGGGTTAGGGGTTTGTGGTTCAGGGTCTTTAGAGCGTTTGGAAAGGAATAAAACATCGGCAGGTTCTTTGGAGTTTTGAAAGGGGTGTGTTTGTAGGAGTCTATCGAGTCCTGCAGGGTCTTAAAGGGTGTGGGGTTCTTGTTTGTATTGATGGCTCTTCATATTTGGTGTTCTGTGCAGTACTCAGAAGGTTTAATTGCGGTGTAGGGGCAAAGAGTTTGTTGCACGTGGTGGTTTACATCTTTCGCGTTTTGGGTATTTTACGGGTCTTGTAGTTTTTAAACCCGAGTTGAAACACCGTAAACCCTAAACCCAAAGCCCTAAAAGTCCTGAACCCTGAACCCTAAACCAAAAATTCCTCAAAACTAGACCCTATACCCAGTACATGCGGACCCACCCCTGTCGTTCTTCTTTCCCTCTGTCAGCTCCCGACAATCGACGCAGTACAAATCAAATCGCTTCGAAGTATTTTCAATTAAATCCTCCTTTTGCCACCGGATTCTGGGGCCCACCACGGCGAACTGCTTCAAAGAATGTCTCGCAGGCCTAGTACTTACTCTTACTCCTTCAGAAGACACGAATTCAAGATCTGGCGGGGCAAAGTCGCCCCCTAGGTGCAATCCGGCGTCTGCAATCTGAAAAGTTCTGACGTCGATGAAAGACGGTCCAGGTCGCATCCTCAGCCACTTCCTTGGGCTGAGGGGCGTTCTGTAAAGGGCTACGGTTTCGAGTTCAGGCTTAGGGATTCCTTGAAAGGGATACTATAAGGCTTAAGGGGCCTTCGGAAGGTTACTATTAGAGGTTACTATAGGGATTCCTTCAAGGGATCCTTTCGGGATTCCTTTAAGGGATCCCTTTGAGGGTCTATGGGCTCTCTTTAAAGGTTTTTAAGGGTTCCCATAAGGGTTCCTTTAAGGGCTCCTGTAAGGGTCTGAGGATTTATTATGACTTGGGAAATATCCCCCATTACAGTACCTAGGACCATTTGGGCTCAATCAGAATGTCAGGGCCCGAGCGAACGACACCACCAAATCCGATATACTATATCATTTTACTTAAAAGAATACATTTAAGACATTAAGACAAATATTATGATGCAATAGTGCAATTATTCTTATATGCTATGTCTGCTGTGTTATACCATATTACATTACACTGTATGCCACGATTTTGTATAGTATCGATTCAGGGTGAAGGGGCCATGTGGTATCATCCCATGTTGCCACATGCCGGCCCATGCGTCAAGCTTAAACCCTTAACCGCAAACGTCCAACTAGAGAAGCACCTGGAACAAGAACCCCTACTTGGTTCATGGGTAGTTATAAGTGGGGTTATGAGTCCCCTAATATGAGTTATAAGTATAGTTACACTACTTGTAAGCCTACTTATAACTGCCCTGAAACCCTAAACCCTGTAACCCCATAGATCCCGCTGCCCATGCTCAAGTACACTCGAACCCCTGAGGCGCCCCCAAGCCCTGAATCCTAAGAAGCACCTTAACCTATCTTTTTCGATTATGCTTTCCGTCTACAAGTCCTTAAGAAGACAAGTTATTTGGGGTTAGGGTCGATTCCCTAAATCCGAAATGCGACTTTTGACCTAGGGGAATTAACGGTTAACTTTGGGGAATACGTCGGGATTACAGTACCCGAAAAAGTTAAAGGTTACCTGCCCTGCTACGCTGACACCCGTAAAGAAGTATTAAAGCACCCTTACAGCGCCACTTTAAGCCCGTAAACCCTGCAAACCTTGAAGGTTATAGTTATAGGTTACTGCTCTACTACTAAGGTGGGGGTCTCCGAAAATTGGGGACCCTGATACAGTACCTTAATTAGTAGGCTCCTTATTATAAGGACCCCCAAATAAGGTATCCCTAATTTTCGGAAACCCTAAAACTCTTATAGAGCCCTTTGTAGGAACCCTTATAGTATCCTTACAGTATCCCTTTGAAGGAGCCCTAAGGTACCCCTAGTTTTCGGAAACTCCCAAGTCGAAGTCAAGAGGCGAGGTTCTTTGCCTCGTGGCGTTCCAGGGGCACGCCCAGGAAGAAGTCCGCAAAGAGGATGGTGGCGGTGAGATTCTGGTCAGATTCTCGGTTTAGGGTTTACTTACCTTTGGTTAGTAGAGAATGCAGGAATGGGGTACAATTACAACTACTATTACTGCCATTCTTCCATTCCCCACTAACCAAAGGGAAGTTTAGGGCTTCGGGGTTTAAGGGTTTAGGGGTGAGGTAGGGTTTAGGAGTGAATTAAGGGTTCAGGGGTTGAGGGTTTGGGGGTGTAAGGGGAGGTTCTGTGGATAAGGAAACATATGTGTAGACTGACATACCGTTGAGTTAAGGAAAAAGTTGTGGGAGACATTCTTGCGCTTAGCTTGCTTGTGTTGCGCAAGGGTAAACTGATCAATAGCCCTACTGGACTATGAACCCTGAATCCTTGTTACGCACGCCTTCCCGCGACCTCAAACAAAAACCCTAACCGACAAAGACCCGCCAAGAACGGCGAACCATCAATCACACACAATGGAAAACCAACCCTTAACCATAGACCCCCCCAGTAGAAACCCTTCAACCCTATACTCTAAACCCCAATAAAACTTTAAACCTCCACTCGGGACACTAAACTCCAAACCCCAAGCCCTAAAACCTGAAAATCCGAAGGCTCCAATCCTGAACGCTGCATCCTGTAAAACCCCTTCAAAAAGCCATCCTGCTCCCAACCCTACTCAGAGGTTCGTGGGCAGTTATAGGCGGGGTTGTTAGTCCCCTAGTACAGCTCTAAGTATTGTTGCCAAATTACTTATAGCCCTACATGAACCTCTGAGCAAACCTCGAATCCGAAAACCAGGGATGCTTTACCAAAAACTACATTGTACATAGAACTCTGTGCTTGCCCAAAATCGGTTGACCTTTCAGTTATCGTCGTGAATAACCACCGAAAGGTTAAGTATTGCCTACCCAGTCCTTCAGAGTACCATACAAACTCATCATGAGAAGCTCTGAACCTTTATGAAACCCTGCAACCCTAAATCCTGAAACCCTGCAACCCTGAAGCCCTGAATCCCAAAGCTTTGAAACCCTTTGCTGCCTACTTCGAAACTCCAAGCTCGCTGAACCCATACCTAGACCCTACAGGTTTACGGCCCGGTTTTGGGTTTAGATGTTAGGGTTGGGAGGTGCCAAACCCATAAACCCCCAACCCTACAGCCTAGCATGAGGCCTAGCGATCTGCCCGTTGTGCAGGCCGTGGCCGCTTCAAAACACGCTTTAAACAGATATCAAGCATCACTCCTCACACCAGTACATGCCCTGTCTTATGAACACACAGAATGATTATACAAACCCAGTTGTTCCAACCACTTCGAGGCTTTATGATCCAAAGTGTTCTATCCTTCACCTGAATCCCTAGGCCTTGAACGCTCCATCCCAACAGAGCCTATGGACCGAATATAAGACCTGCTAAACCCATGACAGAAGCTTATAACACAACGATGCATTGATGTCACAAACAAACCTCTCAAGCCTCTCAAGCCATAAACTTAACATGACAAAACACATTGTGGGAACAGTTAACACCTCTTACCCTCCACTCTATGATCCGTATAATGACATACAAGCCTCCTTCTACACCCCCTTAGAACATAAACCATAAATGCCCTAAGCCCTAAACCCCAAAACCCTGAGCCCTAAACTTCAGGGTTCAAGGCGTTGCCCCTCCACCACAAGCCGTCAACCCTAAACCCTCAACCCCAAACCCTACCTTAAGCCTCAATGACTTACCTTTTCTTAGGGTTCCTTATTATGGTTTCCTTATATGGGTCCTTATGAGGGTTCCTTATTACGGTTTCGTTATATATGGGTCCTTATTAGGGTTCCTTATTATGGTTTCCTTATATATATGGGTCCTTAGTAGGGTTCCTTATTATGGTTTCCTTATATATGGGTCTTTACAAAGCTAGGCTATTCCGGGTTAAAGTAAACCCTGTAGAGCCCTTAATATTTCTCATTAAGAGGTAGTTAGGGGCCATAAAGGGCAGTTGGGGGGGGGGGGGGGTCTAGGTAAACCCTGAACCCTAAACCTTCAACCCCCAAACCCTACCTTAACCCTGAATAACCTACCTTTTTTAGGCTTCCTAATTATGGTTTCCTTATATGGGTCCTTACCACAACCTACCTTTGTAAGGACCCATATATAAACCATTGTAAGGACCCATATATAAGGACACCATAATCAGGAACCCTAAACAAGTAGGCTATTCCGGGTTAAGGTACACCCCCAAACCTTAAACCCTATACCCCAAACCCTAAACCCTATGCCCCAAACCCTAAACCCTATACCCCAAACCCTAAACCCTATACCCCAAACCCTAAACCCTACACCCCAAACCCTAAACCCTAGGCTATTCCGGGTTAAGGTACACCCTTAACCCGGCCTTGGCGTCTGGAGGTATGCTCAGCTGACTTCCCGGCAGCGTGGCCCATGCCAGGCAGCGCCGGAAGCCCAAGTCGGGGGCTTCCAGCAGGAGCACCTTTTGGGGTTTAAGGATTTAGGGTTCCTTTTGCGGTTTAAGGGTTTAGGGTTCATTTAAGGGCTTAGGTTTTAGGGTAGGGTTTAGGGTTCCTTGAAGGGTTTAGGGTTTAGGGGCGTTTTTAGGGTTTAGGGTTTAGGGTTCCTTTAAGGCTTAGGGTTTAGGGTTCCTTTGAGGCTTTAAAGTTTAAGGTTACTTCAAGGTTTTTGTTCTACTTCAAGGGTTTAGGGTTTAGGGTTCCTTTAACGGCTTAGGGTTTAGGGTTCCTTTAAGAGTTTAGGGTTTAGGGTTCCTTTTGTAGGGTTACAATACGGGTTAAAGTATGGTGCTCTGGTATTTTAGAGGGTTGTAAGGGTGAATATAATAGGATTTAGGATAAATTACATATCGAACAGGAGTGCGAAGTTGCAGAGGCCATGTCTATGGACAGGTGAGGTAGGCAAAGCTGCAAATCTCGCGTAAACCGTCCTGCGGAGAACCGAAGGTACACGGGGCAACTGTGCAAACTTGGATTCCACTCGTGAATCTCACATGCTAAAACTAAGAGAAATACCGCCTGCCGAGGCACCGAACCTTTCCAAGCATAAAAGGAGGGACCCTTAATAAGGACCCCTAGGTATATACCCTTAACATAGAAATTGTATACACATTACATAGCCCCATTATAGGGTAGGGGTCCCCATTAAGGGTCCCTCCTTTTCCCCTTTGATACACCCTTTCAGCTCATATCCCCGCCTTCCACATGAAAATATCTTTGTGGCATTGCTATTTGTCCGGCCCTAACCCTTACGGGTCCCTGTACTCATAAAATACATGTCGTGGCCTTAAAGTAGTCCCTCTAGCGATACGGTAGGGCCAAAGTATATACTATTTAAGTATGATTGATGGACCGTTCGGGTACTGTTCGGAACCTAAGCTCTAAGAACCTAAACCCCAACACCAAGAGTCCTAAAACACGTCTCGTGCCTGCGCAAGCTTGGCTTGGGGAGCAAAGCGAACAAGGTACCTTGCTTGTCTGTGCATGAACCCGGGAGGAATCTGATTCTGAATCAGGTCTGTCGGCTGCACGCTCGAGGCGCGACGATTTTCCAGTTCTTGAGAGGTTTATTTTGGAAACTTTGGAATGTTTGGTGGGACACTAAACTGGAGTCATTCCATTGACGACGAATGCTCCTCCACTGCCTTGAAAGCAGCAGTTACTGCTGGGACACTTTTTGATTTGGTCGGTTACTTACCCCAAACCCCGGCTTGTGAGTCTACGGGTCCGGATTCAGGATTTGGTCTTGGGGTCTGCGACATGCAAAACAAGGTCTTCATCCAGTCAACTGCATGGTCCGACGTTCATGAACCAGAGAACTGATCAAAGCTCTATAGCTACTAGCATCCACATGCAGAGTAAAAATCAAGGTCCCAAACCGCCGTGCTTCCAACCACTCCGAGGGACTCAGTAGCAGGTAGGCTGGGATTCGTGCCTTGAATGGTGACACGCGCCACTCGCGGCACCATCATCCCACCAATGGGCACGGGTGAAAGAGCGCTGAATCTGGCTTCCTGAACAAACGAGGAAGAAGCCCTACACCCGAAGCCCCCAATCCCTAAACCACCCTGAACCCAAAATCCTAAGCCCAACCCCCAAGAAACAGAAACTCAATCCTAGCCACCCAAAACCCAGAACCGAACCCTCGCCCCGAACCCTGAACCATAGAGACCCAGAAAGAAAATCCAAAACCCAACAAGCTGGGGGGGGGGGGGGGGGGGGTCATTTAGAGCTTCTCATGGTTGGCGCGACGACAACCGTAAGCCTCGAAGTTGCTCTGTTGTACACTTCCCATGAATATAGAGTTTACGATCTTTTAAGGGTTTAGGGCGTATGGGGTTTGTCAGAGTATACATATGCCGACTATAAGGGGTGAATGTTACCAGCTGTTCAGACCTCGATCTGCATTAACATACAACCAAACACAGCCCGCATTGCAGGTCATAAGAACATCATGTAGAACAGTACCATACAGCACAATAGAATGACATATATTATCATATGCTATACTGGCTATACTCTACCGTGCCATACTATCTACTGCTATGAGGATCATGAACTGTAGCCCGGCGTCGGTCAGAGGTGGCTCGACTGTCAGGTGCCGGCTGCGTGCTTCGTGTGCTGAGGCGTAGAGGGAGACCTGCCGCACGGCCTTGTCTGCCCCAAGCACATAGTGGTCCTGGAGGAAGAAAACTTGGCTGACTTCTGAACCCCTCCTAAAAGTTAAACTTTTAGCCTCCTTATTGTAGTTCATACAGAAACCCAAAAAGTTAAAGTCCTAAGAGCCAACCAGAAGAACGCCCAGAAAACTTAACACCCCTGGTGGAAGCTCCTGAAATATTCGAAAACTGTTCAAGGTTTAGGTGTGGCAACAGTGGTCCTGCAAGATGAACACTAAAAGCAACGGGTTTGAGAGTTTTACTGTAGTAAGTGCAATATACTCAGTGACTCAATGGTTTCACCTGCAGGGTTTAAAATGCCGAACCAAAGCCTAAATCCTAAACCCTAAACCTTGCGGAGCCCGATATGAGCCCGAAAACCATCGCAGCAAAGGGTGCCGAAACGGGGGACTCGCCTGATAAATCCGGACGAAAGAAATAATATAGGGGCCTTAATGATCAAAATAGGGTTTGGGGGGTTCTCTATTACAAAAGTAGTATTATGGGCCCCCAAAACCCTATTCTCATATTTAAGGCCCCTTTTTAAGGCGTTCCGGAGATCAGGGCTTCTACTTGGAGGTTCATGGGTAGCTATGACCCTCTTCACCCAAAGTAGTTCCTTTTGGGGATTACCTTATAGGGTTCTACATATGAACCCCAAAAAGGAACTACTTTGGGGCCTTAGGGTATTTATAGGGTGAAAAGTAAGGCAACTATACCGATAACTCAGATAGGAAGGTATGAGACTAAGCCCCCTAATATCCCCTGAAATGGGCTATAAGTACAGTTACACCACTTATAACCACCCATGAACCTCCAAGTAGGACTGCGATGCTCAGTACCGTTATCTCGAACTGGAGGGCCTCACAGTTGAGGTTCAAGGGGGTTTAGGAGTCAGGGTTTAGGGTCTAGGGTGGTAGTAGGGTGAAGGGCTTGGGGTTGAGGGTACCCTAGGGCCTAAACAATGCAAGTATATCAGAGCTTTAAGATGACATCAATAAAAACCCCTGAAGCACTGCTATAATTATCACAGCTCCTATACTTGGAGGTTCATGGGTAGTAATAAGTAGGGTTTCAAGTCCCTTAATATGGGTTATGAGTATAGTTACCCTACTTCTAAACCTGTTTATAACTACCGCTGAACCTCCCAGTACTGTTGATGATATAAATCCTGCATTACCCACAATAAGGAATATACCATAATTCCCATAAGGTAATGCAGGAATTACATCATCAACTGCAGCATTTCAGTCGGCACTCCGCTGCGAGGTCCTGCGACTTCACGAACTGGATGTTTTGGCCAAGGCCTGTGACCTACAACACGATTTCGGGGGGGGGGGGGAAGGGGTCGGTGCCTTGCGTTTGGGTGTGTTTATTATGTTTTGGAGGGGAGGGGGAAGGGTTGACAGTAGGGTTGAGGGTTTTCTTGGTGCTTTGAGGGGGGAGTGGTAGGGTTCGGATTCTTGAGTTTTGCAGTTTGGAATCTAGGGTTTGGGGAGTTGCGGCTTAGGGTAGGGTCTCAAGGTCCCTCCATCAGAGCCTTTTGCTCCAAATAGCCCTGAGTGAATGCTATTTATAGATCCTTAAAGGTTTAGGGTTCCTTTAAAAGGATCTATACAGGGTTCTACAAGGGATCTATAGGGTTTTTATAGACCCTAGACAGGTGGTTGTCAAGATTATGGCCCCTTTTGGGTTCTTATTGTAATACGGCACCCATTTTTTGTGGTATCCAAAAAGGGGCCATAAATTTGACAATTACCCTTATAGACCTTAGACCCAAAGTAGCATACCTGGAGCCCGAGGAAAACGTGAAAACAATCCAAACGGCAAACATGACTGAACAAAAAAATAGTAACTGGACCGTGAACCCTAATGTAGGAACCTGATTAAGAAACCCCGGGTTATACCCAAATATAGTAGGATTCATATAAGGAACCCTAATAAAGGCCCAAGGTTTCTTAATCAGGTTCCTACATTAGGACGCTGCTGCTTTCCACCGCCTCCAGCGATGCGAGCTCCCCCCTGGAGCAAGCGAAGAGCATTCCCTGCACAGCCTTGGCGACTATTAGTGCCTTGAAAATTTAGACTGGAGTTCCTTTTACATGATTCCGAACAGGGATTCCGTAAAGGATTAAGGGAAGGGCCTTGATCTTTAGAATAGGGTTTTTGGGGGTATGGTAAGGAACCCTAGGCAACAGTGTTGGCAATCTGTCAGTCGAGGCCTTCGGCTGTGTTGACACTTTGAGACTTACGCACGGCTGAAGTTTTGGGGTTCAAGTTACCCAAAAGCTCCATAGTAGTTCCTCTTTGGGATTACCCTATAGGGTCCTAAAAATGACCCACAAAAAAGGAACTACAATTGAGCCTAGGGTTATGTCAGTGATCATATGGCTTCTATGGGCATCTGATAGCTTGGTGAGTGTGATTTCGAGGCTCGTGACAGTTGGTGGAGTTCATTTGGCTGTGATGACACGGCTAGTTCCTGTTGGGTGTTCGTATTTGGAATCCTATAAGGAAAGCCCAAAAAGGAACTACTATGCCACAAGTAGTGGGATCAGCATTATGATTCTGGTGATAACTCCAGAAGCTGGCAAAATCCCATAATATCGGGGCCTTAATAGGGTTTTGGGGCCCATTCTACTATAAATGTAGTAAGGAGCCCTCAAAATAGTATGGGTAATACTTCAGTCCCCTATCATATTACTGACGATATGCTAAGGACAGCTTCTGCTTTGAAGCCTCGTGGCCGTGCTCGCCACGGCTAGGGCCAGCGAAAAAAAGCAGCCAGGCCACACCAAGAAACCGGCCTCAGTCACGGAGCGATACGATTTTCCTGTAGCCCAGAGCGTGCCTGGTTAATCGAAAATGAAAAGCAAAGCGGAACGCATAAGACTCGGAACCCCCAAATAAAAGGCAGTAGGTTTTGGGGTTGCAAGCAAGGTTTGGGCTTCAGATGAGTGTCCGGAACAAAGGCCGCGAACGCCTGACATAAGAGTCTGAATTTATGAGCTAACCGAACCCTAGGCTACTCCTCTTGAACCTCACTAAACTCATGACCCTGAAACCGCGAAACCCGACGACTAAGGCTTAGTTTGCAAAGTTTCAAGCGCTGAGATATGCTCCTGTGTAGTATCGGAGAGGGTCTGAACACTAGTAGACCGTGATAGTCCCCACGCAAGTGTGCTTTACGGTGTATGGCTTTTGAGAGATTTGGGGTCTGGGGGTCCAGGCTTTAGATATGTTCACCCGAGGCTGCTTTGCAACGCGAGTGCCCGTCGCGAAACCATGACCACACTAATTGTAGCTTTCCTATTGTTGCAGTGCTCCTACATTCTAAATCCTCACAGATTCTGGGGACAGTCCTCGCCCAGTGGCGCGGGAGCTCGTAAGCTTGTGAATGCGCTGCCGCTGCCACAGTACATCTGAGAGAAGGCCAAAGGGTGTGCCTGGCAAAGTGGCGAAATGATTGCACCGTCCGCTCTGGGTTTTATGGCTTATTGTTTAGGTTATCGATGGCTGACGACGGCGATGACGCGCAGCATCATTCTCACGAGTGGTGCTGTCCGTCCTATATTGTCTCCCAAAAACCTGCAACTGTCAATGAGTTTTCGTGTTGTTAGTTCTATTGTTGTGAGGAACGGTGCCAGCATGACCAGAAGTACTACTGTGATCAATTATGACTGCACAGTGCCGGTCCCTGAAAAGCATGCTGACTTCGCAAGCTCGATAAAAGCCAGAGAAGGCCATTATCAAATCCTTTGCTAAACCCGTATTTCAAAACACCATACACCCCAAGCCCTGAAGCAGAAAGCCCCAGGCCCAAAACACAAAGCCATTCTTAACACCATCAACCTTACATCTCTGAAGCCCTAACAGGATGGTAAGAGCTTTGACCCTTATCGTATCCCCTATCGTTCGCTGAAAGGAACCCAGGAACCTTTCATGTTCACGTTACCACCCGCCTTCACTGAGAATTCCTTCGTCGCCGGGAATATCTGGGCGGGTTTCCCGACTCTGCCGCCCCGCCGCGAGCACCTGAACACAGCTTAGGGCCTCCGGTAGCTCTCTTATGACATTCAAAAATAGAATGGGGGCTCGGGGGCAATTATGCTGTTAGGATTTGGGGTTAAGGGTTTAAGGTTTGGGTTTTAGTTTTAGTGTGTAGGGGTGTAGGGCATGGGTTTGTTTGCGTTTAGGTCTTTAGGGGTTGGGGTTTATACGGATTAGGGTTTGGGGGTTTAGGAGTGGGGTTTGCGCTAACTGATACCAGGCCCTGAATGCTTACGAATCGGATTCCTGACGGCTGTGTATACAATCTATCAATACGATGATCTATACCGAAACCGTGGTCAAAGCATGTAAGGCCCATGTGTACTGAGACAACAGGTACGGTAGTTATAATATAACCTTTACAGGCATCCTGTTTCAAGCTTTTTGTGTTTGTGGGGGGTCTATGCAAAAGACTTCTTTTACATCAACCCAAGGGTTCTATGCGTTAGGGGGTTTCTTTAAGGGGACTGCTGAACAGGGTAGGGTTGATGAAAGGGCTTTGGCTTACCTGGGCGGCTCCCTAAAACCCTAAACCCTAAAAGCCCTAAAACTCTAAACCCTAGAACCCTAAAACCCTACAACCCTAAAACCCTAAACCTTAAAACCCTAGAACCCTAAAACCCTAAAACCCTAAACCCTAAAACCCTAAAAACCCAAAACCCTAAAACCCTAAACCCCTAAACCCTAGAAACGTAGAACCCTAACATCCTAAACCCTAAAAACCTAAAACCTTAAAGACCTAAAGCCCTAAAGCCCTAAAACCTAAACCCTAAAACCCTAAACCCTAAACCCTAGAACCCTGGAACCCTAAAACCCTAAAACCCTAAAACCCTAAAACCCTAAACCCTAAAACCCTAAACCTAGTGCTTGCACGCCCGACCTGGCCGATCTTCAGACGGGAACTTTCAGGGGATACGACTTTAACTGGGGTACTTGGAGAGGTTCAATGGGCATCTATAAGGGGTCCTTTAAAGGGATCTCTAGGCATTCTATAAGCGTATAGGGTTTAGGGCCTACTTGGAGATTCATGGGTAGTTATAATAAGTGGGGTTATAAGTCCCCTAACATGGGTCATAACTATAGTTACGCTACTCTTGGCTGACCTCTGAAGCCCTCCAAAAAGTTGAACCTTTAGCCTACTTACTATAGCTCATATAGAAACCCCAAAAGTTAAAGTCCTAAGAGTCAACCAGAAGAACACCAAGTACTTATAACCCTACTTGCAACTGCCAATGAACCTCCAAGTCGAGGGTTGGGGGCTGGAGACTTGCGAGGGTTTCCTGTCTCTGTGGGTCCGTAGGAGCTTTTGTACCGGGAGTATGAAAAGAAACCCTGAGGACGAATTAGTTAGTGTTGGTGGTATTTTCAGGCCTCTGTAAGGTCTACTTGGAGGTTCATGGGTAGTTATAATTAGGCTTATAAGTAGGGTAACTATACTTATATGCCATATTAGGGGACTTATAAGCCCATGTATAACTACCCATGAACCTCCAAGTATACTACGGATCTGGCACCTGCAGCCTGAAACCAAAAGCCCAACGACCTTCAACCCTGAACCCTGAATCTCAAATCCCCACAGACGAAAGAACCTGAACCCTATACCCTAAACCCTAAACTGCCCCTGCAGCTTGCCTCCTCCCAATGTAGGAAGCTCCAAGAAAAGTTTCCGTCAGTCGACTTCTCGGCAGCTGCGCCACGAGAAAGGAGTTCTTCCTCAGCTGGAATCGTGGGTCTGCTGAAGTTCCTTACAGCGTTCTACACGCGCCATTTGGGGCTTCAGGCTTTATGAGTTGAGGTTTAGCTTCGAAAATCTATATAGAACTTAGGATTCGAGGAGGATTTGCAAAAAGAGGTGTTGAGAGCGTAGCAACTTGGGTTCGGGTTTTTGGGGTGACTACCACTCTCTTGTGAAGTTCCTTGTCCTTCCAAACCTTCACGGCACTGATAAATGAGCTCAGTGGTCCTTGGCTGGGTTTCCTCTCACTGCTAGGTCAATCAACCCTAAACTCACACCCGACAGGCCCTTAATACTTGCATAACCCCCGAAACGAAGCAACCTTCAAACCTGAAACTTGAATTCCTAAACCCCTAAACGGTCTAGGGTTTGGGTTTCGGAGTTTAAGGTGCTCGGGATTAGTGGACCTGGACCCTCATTCTACCACGTGTTCGACCCCAGGTCTCCTATTGGGGACCATATCCCTGAAGACCTACTATACTACCCTTTATACCCTACACCCTAAGCCCTAAACCTTAAACCCCAAACCCTAAACCCTTTATACCCTAAGCCCTAAACTTAAACCACACCCAGGCCCTAGAGTCCTACTATTAGGTACGATAGACCCCGTTTGAGACCCTAAAGATCTGCTCACAGATCCCCAAACAGGAGCCTTAATAGTTAGAATAGGGGTTTGGGGGCCCACTTTACTAAATCCTTATAGTAGCCCTTATAGACCCCCTTTAAAGGAACTCTGCTCTGATTATTTAAGCCCATTTATTATTTGAGGGCACACTTGAGGGTCCTTAGGTAATTATTGAAGCCCCTATATTATAGTACCCTTATAGTATCCCTTACAGACCCCTTTCAAGGATCCCTTTCAAGGACAGCCCCTATGGAGGGTCCTGGAAAGCCGGAGCTCAAAGCCCTGCGGCTTCATCTTGACCCTGGCAGCTTCCGTCTCAGCGTCACTGCCGGCCTCATCCGGCAGAGCTCCGGGTCTCTTGGGGCTTATAGGGTTTAGGGGTAGCTATAAGGGATCCTTTAAGGGTCCCTTTAAAGGGATCTATACAGATTCTACCTTTAAAGGGATCTATACAGATTCTACAAGCGTATAGGGTTTAGGGCCCACTTGGAGGTTCATGAGTAGTTGTAGTTATAACTCGGGTTAGAAGTAGGGTAGCTGTACTTATAACTCATATTGGGAGACTCATAACCCCAGTTATAACTACCCATGACCCTCCAAGTAGGGTTTAGGGTTTAAGGATGCGGAAGGGTTCTGGGATTTAGGAGTTTGGGGCACAGCGGCATAAGGTTTAGGAGTTTTTGGGTTTTGGAGTTACGGATTGCACACACTCCACTCTTTCTAAGAGGTGACAGGCATTTGGATCTATGAACGTTCACGGCTTGGGTCCGGGGAAGGGTCGTTTGCAAGCTACCGTCGTTGCTTCGTGAGAGTCTTGCCAAATTCCTTTCCAAGCCTTACGTGGACCCCAATAAATGGCGGGGGGGGGGGGGGCGTATTCGTTAGCGGTATGTACATTCACTGCCTCACCCCGATGCCTCTATCCCATTTTTCCTGAAACCTTCGTCTTCGATTCTGAAGCCTATGCCGCACATCCTACAGACTATGCACTCCATCCTGCACCGCTTGCTCTAAACCTGACATCCTCACTCTGCTACACCCTGAATCCTATGTCCCTAGAATGCTGCATTTCGTACCAAGAAAGCCCGGTAGCACAATATTCTACAGCTACAGGCAGAAACCCTGTGAAATTCTATTGGTAATTATTCGGGCCTGGATGTTAAGCAGTATAGCCTGAGTCGTGTACGGCTTCAAAGGATTCTTCTTTACTGTACAACCAGTCTTACTTCATTAACACCTCAAGCCCTTGCTGCCGGAGCATGCCAGTCTCGGCTTGGGACAGCCTCCGGTATCCCGTTTCGGATTTATTCAGCGTTGGGGTTAAACCCAAACACATCTCACTAAGCCCTAAGCCCTAACCCTCAAAGCCCTAAACCTTAAAACCCTAAACCCTAAGCCCAAACCTTTAAACCCTAGATCCTGAACCCAAAGCCCTAAGCCCCAAAGCCCGAAAAATCCGACTTCCCGGCGGGAGGCCTTCACCCTCAGGAGAAGATTCATGACGGGGCCGACGAGAGCTGTCAGCACAAGGATCATCAAGCCTTGACTGAAGCTCATGGATTTCGGGTTTAGAGTTTGCGGCTTTGGATTTAAGGTTTAAGGTTTGGGGTCAGGGTCGTTTATACATACCGTGAGCCTCCTGACCCCAAAACCGAAGCTACGACGAAACCCGCAACTCCTAAACCTAAAGCCCTTAATCTCCGACAGTCCACGCGGTAGACCCTGCCTGAAAACCTATGAATTTGAACCTCTACCTGCCTCCCGATCCGAAACGAAGAACACTACACTCCATCCAAGAGAGTACTACTACCAAAACAAGCACAAAGCGAACGAGCTTCGAGTTGCCTGCCGAGAAACCTACCTGCTCAGCAGAAGTGCCGGCTGCGAGGACACCTTCCCAGACGACTCGCCGGGGTTGAGGGCGGCTTTGGGCTTGCGTCTTGATGCTAGGTCTTGGTAATGAAGGGTTAAGGCTTTTCAGGTTTCAGGGTTTAGGGTTTAGCTTTCGTTTTGACGTGCGCTTGTGATGGTTTAAGAGTGACTTTATTGGGCTTTTGCCAGGCTTTAGGCCAAGCTTTGCGAGATCTTCATAGTGGCTTCGGTGGCTTTGTATGTGGGGCTCAGGGCTTGCAACCCTGAATCCTCAGCTCGGAACCCTAAACCCTACGGTCCAGCACGATGGAGATTTGGGTTTGCGGCTTTGGGGCTTTTAGGTGAGGATTTAGCGAAAGGGCTGTTCATATGAACACTAGTATTGTCATCATCATCATCATAACACCCCTTGCTGTTACTACTATTACTACTATTGGAGCTGAAGGTGTTATACATCCCCTAATATGATTTAAAAGTATAGTTACCCTACTTATAATAACTACCCTTGAACCTCCAACTACCGGTCAAAGCACTCAACAAACCGGAACAAGCAAGAGCCCAAACAAAAGGCGACACAAGTAAAGGAACAACGCAGAAAAGAACCACACACCCACACACCAACCAACCAACACCAAGCATTCTGCAAGCGTGGCACATCGTACGACACATCGCCAGCAGAATGGCTTCAGGCTGGTTTTCTCTCGTCTCACCTTGTTCAGGTGCTGGAAGAGATCTTTCGAGCAGAGTTCATCTCTGATGAGATAGGCCGCACTCTGAAAGGTTCAACACGGCACATAGGCGATCTGTGCTCGATGCCTCCGCTTCTTGTTGTTGTGCCCCGGTCCACGGCTGCTCAATCTCGCGCTGCATCTCAACTACTCTCCTGCCTTCGCAAGGGTTTGAGCACTTCCCAAAAATTCTGCGTTTGCCTGCACCCTATCGAAATCTACCCCGAAAATCCACTGCAGGCCCGAAACCCCTGAAAAGCCTCAACCTACTTGTCGTCTATCACGGGGAACTATAAAGGTTAAACTTTTTAGTTATATAGGGATTATATAGGGACTATACTACCCAAAAAAGGTTAAAGGTTACCTACTCGACTACTAGGTCAATGAACCTCCTATTCTCGCCTCCGGCTGCCGCCAAGGCATAGAGGAGAATGCCAGCTCCCAGGGCCTGTAGAGTCTTGGGCTTGGGGTTTAGGGCTTCATGCTGCTTTTTGGTGTTAATACTTATGAGAACAGAGAATGTTCAAAGTTTAGGGTTTAGGGTTTAGGGATGGCGATGGCGGCTGAAAGAATAGCAACACAAACAGCAATCATACTTGTTTCACAAATACATTTTGGAACGGTAGCACATGCACTGGCACTAGCACTACCATTACCACCACTAACAACGGGAGGGACGTGGTATAGTCCGCGCCCAGGGCAGCTAAAAAAACACCAATACGAATAACATTACGAATAATAGTAGTAATAATAATGACAACAGCAACAACAACAACAACAACAACAGCAGCAGCAACAACAACAACAATCAGTAATAGTAGTATCAGTACTAACAATAATGATAGTAATAATAATAGTAAGAGCAGTAATAACTTATAACATTAATTCCAATACCAATGAACATTGAACATAAACACAATAACACTAGCAAAGTAATGTACTCCGCAAAAGTAAAAGTAATAGTCACAACAGTAATTAACAGCAATTGGCAAAGTATCGTAAGAGTATCACGGGCAAAATTATGGGGTTTCGGATGCATATAGGGGTTTGGGGACGGCTGTCAGCGTGTGGGATTTCAAGCTCAGGGCTCAGGGTTCCAGGACTGAAACGGCTTGGGGAAGGGTGCTCTACGGGTTTTGTAGAGTTTACAATTATACGTTAGAAGCTGCCCCCACCCTGTAATAGTGACTATAAGGATTATAGTAGGGCCCTATTATATTCCTATTATGCCACTATTACAGGGTGGGGGCAGCTTCTAAATTATACGGGCCGCTACAACCCTTAGTCGAGTCTTGTTCAATAGCAGAAGAATACGAGCCTTGTGAAGTGCAAACCAAAACCCAACCTTCTCCAACATCCCGAGGGTGTCCGTATATAGTAGTCCTATCTAGTGCAGGAACTTAGGGTTCAGGGTTTGGGGATAGTTTAGGATAGTTTAGGGCTTTGGCTTTGTTCATACATTGGATTTGAGGTCAAGCGGTGATGCCTGAACCTCACGGGCTCAGGGTTCAGCTTGTACTATAATAGGGGCCTTAATAATTAGAATAGGGTTTTGGGGCCCCTCGTAGTATAATTATAACGAGGAGCCCCCTAAATGGTATGGGTAACTATTATTGCCCCTATACTAAATCCTTATTCCGATTCCCTTTAAAGGAGCCCTACTCTAATTATGGAGGCCCCTATAGTAACTATTACCGAGTATTGCTCAAAGCCCGGAAACCCCAGGAGCATGCGCAAGCAGCAAAGACCACTCTGCACCCCCAAGCAGACATGGAAGCAAATACTTAAACCGCTCTTTTTGAGAGTTTCCGAATATTAGGGTACATACCTCATTTTGGGTCGTGATAATAAGGAACCGACTATTTAGGGCAATTACTGTATTAGGGTCCCCTATTTTCGGACACTCCCATGTAATGAAAACAGCTCAAGCTGATTCTGCTTTTTCCCTTCAGGGTTAATTTGGTGGTTGTGCCTTCTTCCTCCGTGGACAAAAAACAAAGCCTTTCTGCTAGCCAGATGCGAACGAGGAGCATAGTCCATGGATTTTACCGACGGCGTGTTGCGAATGCATTGACCATTCAGCAAGTAGGCTTCGCTTAGCTGGATCTGGCACGTTGACCTCATGCCAAGAGTGCTTGGGCTGTACGGATTTGGGGTGCGCGTAGCAAGGTTCCCCTCCAAGGCGTACAGAAGTTGCGGTTTCGGGTCTAGGTTCAGAGTTCCGGGATCAAAGTTAAACTTGCCTCCCGCAGGTTGTGTTCACACGCAGACAACTCTCAGAAACCCTAAAAGCTCGGTATATGTCCCGGTAATGCATCCCAGAACCCTCATTTCATAAACAAGGCGCTTACGCCCTATGTTATATAATATAGGGCCTGAATATGTAGCGTTCTTTCCCTATACTGCTTAAAAGATTTGATAAGGTGTCATGTTACAACTCTAGGGACCTGAGTATTGAAACATGGCTCTGGAGCGTGTGATTATATGATTCTACGGAAATAGGGCATATTGATTCAATCCCCGCCCAGACCTCGAAACCCCAAAGCCCAACGCTGAAAAACACAACACAACTCAAAACAACCTACGAAATCAACGCCAAACGCTGAAAATTGGTCCTCGCGCCGTCAAGAAGAAAGCAGCCGGAAAGCCGCAGACCCCAAATATCTCTGATGCCCCAACGCCCCAGTCTAGGGTCTGGTTTAGGGTTTCGGGCGACTGCCCCAAGCCCTCAAGCCCCAACACCCCACTTAAGACTCAAGATCTGAATTCCGCCAAATCCAGAAACACAGCGATTCAGGGCTCAAAGCTCTGCGGCTGCCCCAAACCCTCTAATCGCTACTCCCAGAATGGCTCAGTCCGAATCCTAACAGGACGTCCAAAACAACCAGGGAGTCCAATCCCCAATCGCCACCAGCCCCTATCTTGCCCAAACCTCAAAGCCTCAGGCCCCAAAACACTAAGCTCCAAACCCCGAAACCAGTGAAAGCCGATCATCGGTGGCTTAATTCTCATGGCCGCTACGGCCGCTTCGGCGTTCAACATCGTGAGATGGATCACGGCGTGTAAGCCGTAGCGTGAACTCCTCGAAAAGCTCGCACGGCAGGCTGTGCCAGCTCACCAGGTTTTGGTGAGAGTTTCCGAAAATAGGGGACCCTAATATGGTAACCTAGATAGTAGGATCCTTACTATAAGGACTGGTGACTCCCAGACACTGTACCCTCAGTTTCTGAAACCCCCTTTTCTTCGCAGAAATCGGGGGTTTTCGGCAGCGCCGCCACCAGGGCATGGTCCTACCATGATCTACGTGGAGGTTCATGGGTAGTTTAAAAAGTAAGGTTTTTTGTCGGGTAACTATACGAGCGGTTGTCAAAATTATGGTCCCTGTTTGGGTACCCTAAATAATAAGTGCCGTACTATAATAGGGACCCAAAAGGGGACCATAATTTTGACAACCACCCATACATATAACCCATACGAATTAGGGGACTGATAACCCTACTGCTACTTATAACTACCCATGAACCTCCAAGTGGTCTTGGTGTCCACCAGCCGCGAGTTCTCCAAGCTTGCCGGCGAGATGCCGGACAGTTTGTTGGCAGCTGGCGTCGCTCAACCCCAAGGCAATCAGCCCAACAAAACCCAAAGCCTAAGCCCCCCAAACCTTAGATTTCCAAAAACCCTAGACCCCCTAAACCCTAAAACCCTCGCCCCAAACCTCAAACCCCAAAATCCTACGTCCTAAACCCCTGTACCAAAAACCCAGAACCCCTGAACCCTAAAACCCCTAAAGACCCTCAAACCCAAAACCCCAAAATCCTAAACCACCCGACCCAACCCCAAACCCCCAAACCCCAAAACCCGAAAACCATAAAGCCCCCAAACCCCTGAAACACGAAAAGGAACCCTTAAAGGACGCCCTTGAAGGAACCCCCCAAAAACACTACAGTAGAAGCCAGAAAGTTGGAACATGGCTTTAGGAGGATTAGTGCTAGGATCCCTTATACTTTACCTTAAGGGCATGAGGAGCCTGATGTTCCAACTTTCTGGCTTCTACTATATGATTATGAACCCTTATAGATTCCTTTAAGAAACCCTAGAGATCCCTTTAAGGAACTCTATAGATCCCTTTAAAGAGCCCCTAGGGTCTTAACGCCAAGGAGCTGAAAGGAACGCCAGACGGCGAGGGCACTGAGGAGCCCGGCGGAGACTACTAGCCTTCAGACTTCACAACCCAAAGGGGGCTTTAGGGGTTTCTTTAAGGATTCCTTAACGGTTAAGGGTTTAGGGTTTAGGGTTGCCCTAAACCCTAAACCTCCCAGAGAGGCACCGGAGTCCTAGAGGACAAAGGCTTAAAGTCGAATTTAAATCCCCATTGAATCTGAAATTCGACCTTATTCGGGGCTTTAGGGGTTCCTTTAAGGATTCTTTAAGGGTTACTATAAGGGTAAGTTAGGGTTTAAGGGTTTAGGGTAGGGGTGTTTTAGGGCTTTAGGGTTTCGGGTTTGGGGTTTAGGTTTCAGGGTTTGGGGTTTAGGGGCTTAGGGTGTGGGATTTGGGGTTTAGTAATTTAGGTTTTTGGGGTTGGGGTGTTTGGGATTTAGGGTTTAGGACTTTAGTGTTAAGGGGTTTCTAGGGTTTGGGGAGGTACTTCCCCAAATCATATTATAGTTATAGAGACCCTACATTCGACTATGTATGCAGGTACTTTGGATCCTTTTGGGCACTAGCCCTTCATCAAGGAATACTTTTTAGGATCTAGGATTCAGTATACAGTATACGGGTGATTTCTGACTTTGTCTGCGGGATGTCTAGGGGGTGTGATCGGCCAGGGGGGCTTAAACGATACTTAACTTATCATCTACTTACTAAGTCCCCTAGGCCTCGAAGAAAAACCAAACGCCTTCAACCCCAACCCCAAAAACCTAAACCCCAAATCCCACACCCTAAGCCCCTAAACCCAAACCCTAAACCCTAAACCCCAAAGGCCCTCAACCCTAAACCCCAAAGGCCCTAAACCCCAAAGGCCCTCAACCCTAAACCCAAATCCCACATCCTAAGCCCCTAAACCCTAAACCCCAAAGGCCCTCAACCCTGAACCCTCAAGCCCCTCAAGCCCCTTCTTGCTACGAAATTCGAAGCCAGGCCTTCCAGAGAAGAACCTGAATCCTGAACCTGGGCCCTAAACCCTAAACTAAACCCTAAACCCTAAACCCTGAACCCTGAACCCTAAACCCTAAAAGCCGAAGTTGACCCCTTATTCGACTTGAAATTCTACCTTAATTATAGTGTTTGGCGACCGGGTTTAATGGCGGGGTGCAGGGCCTGGAGGTCTTCAAGTGTTTTGCCTGAAGCTACAGCCGCAGCCTTAAGGGTTCCTAAAAGATTCCTGTCAGAGGGTTCCTATAAGGGATTTGTCTCGAGGGTTGCTACAAGCGCTGATTTCGATCCCGTGTAGCAACTGTATACACCCGTTATAAGAACACTTTCGGAACCCTTATCGTAATCTTGCAACAGGAACCCTCTAGGAACTCTGGAAGGACCCCTGCGAAGCTTACAAAAGAAATCGCGTAGGAACCTTTAGAAGAACCCTTGCAGGAACCCCCAGGCACCAATTGTGGGAACCCCGAAACCCTAAACCCTGGATCCTGAAACCCTTTTCCCTAAACCCCAAAACCCTAAACCCTTACTCTAGCCCCGTAAAGGGCATCCGGGAAGCAGCCAGACGACAGCTTCTGGGACCTGTGCATCCATGGCCTGCAGGGGCACCGAAATAGGGTCCTGAATAATTAGAATAGGGTTTCTTTAAAGGATACAGGGAATGGTACTATATAACGTAGAGGCCTTCATAATTAGAATAAGGTTTTGGGTGGTTCCAAATCATAACTCTGGTATAGCGTACGCCTAAACCCTATTCCAATTATTCAGGCCGCTACATTAGGTTCCCCTGTAAAGCTTCCCTTTCTAAGGACTTTGGGTTCCCTGTGAGGCTTCCCTTTTAGGACTCGTTGAGCTTAGGTTTGCATGTTCCCACAGCTTGGAGCGAGAAAGAAGGAGGTGCAGATAGGCGCAGTGTTGTCGTTGGGGAATATATGTGTGGTAGCCGGAATCATCAGACCCCCAAAAGCCTGCATTCCTCGGGGAAACACCCGGAGCCCTTAACTCCTCATCCGAACCCCGAACCACCAACCCTGAACCCTCAAACCCGAACCTTCAAGCCCAGAACTTTCACCCGGACCTCAAAGGAAGTGTCAGCCTTACAACCCTCTGTGCGCTTGGACTTTGGGGTTTTGAGGTCAGGATTGAGGCTCGCACCCTGGGTTTCGAGGTTTCTACAGGGTCTCTTGTCCCACTGTTGATGATATAAATCTTGCATTACTTTAGGACCCTAAACTATGGGAATAATAGTATAGTCCTTATTATGGGTAATGCAGGATTTACATTATCAACCGTAACCCCTAGACCTGGGTTTGAGTTGCACTGGATTTCTTCTTACCTATACCATGCTTCGTTTCCCCTCCTTGAGAGCATGCTCTACTCAAAGAGGAAAAGGAGGGACCCTTAATGGGGACCCCTACCCTATAATGGGCTATATTATGGGTATATAATAGCTATATTAAGGGTATGTGACGGTATATGCCCAGGGGTCCTTATTAAGGGTCCCTCTGGATGTTCTGACACGCCCAAAAAGCCCGAGCCCTTTAGGTCTAAAGGAATCTTGAAAGGAACGTTAGAGGAAGCCCTACCAGACCCATCCTAATCCCTAAACCCAACCCTAAACCCCAAGCCCCAAAGTCCATATAAGCCCTCACCTGTCACGCCCAAAGCTCTGAAGCTTCAAATCCCAAACACTAAACCCTAAACCATGAGCACTATAGCCTAAGCCCTCACCTATAATCCCGAAAGGTTCTCCGTTTAGTTGCTGTGGGTTCCATATTAGTTTTTATGGTTATAAACATTCATATACCCCCAAAGCCCTATTCTAATTCGTAATGAACCAGAATTAAGGCCATTTAATACAAGGCCCCCTATAGCAACCTTTTCATGGAAACCTACTCCTATTCCAATCACGAAGGACCCCATCCCAGAATCGACCCTAAACCCTAAACCGCAAAACCCTAAACCCTGAACCCGAAACACTAACCCCCAAACCCTAAACCGCTAATGGGCCTTGGTCACTGCGATGCCCTGCGTTGTCGCCATGAGTGTGACGAAGCCAACTGCGCCGGTGCCCGCCTTCCTCGGGCAGGGCTTGGGTTTACTATAGGCGCCTTAATAATTAGAGGATGTTTTTGGTGGAATCCTATACTATGATTATAATGAGGAGCTCAAAACAAGGAGCCCCCAAAATAGTACAGGAATTTATTTGGTATAGGCAAATAGTAAGGCCCCATTATTAGGGTTCAGAATGTCGGGCTGAAAGGGTTTAGGGTTGGTGGGCTTAGGGTTAGGCCTCCGGCTTTAGGGTTTTTAGGTTTTCGAGTTTAGGGTTGAGAGTTTGCGGTGTAATTAGGGTGTAGGGCTTGAGCTGTAAATGGGAGTTTCCGAAAATAGGGGACCCTAATAGAGTACCCTAAATACTAGGATCCTTGTACTAATCTCCGGAAACTCCCAAATGGGGTGTAGGGTTTAAGGGTCTCGGGTGCAGACTTTATTTGGGGTGTAGGACCTGCTCTTCTGCTTGGCGATTCGATGCCTGAAGTGGTTGGGGGTTTAATTCAGTGTGAAGTGTTTGGGGCAGACGTGCACACTTGGAAACCTAGCCATAAACACAGAGGCCACGTAACTCCAAAAAATGGTGGATTCTGCAGGGCGCAAGTAGGGCTTCAACGCTGAACCCTTAGCACCTGTAGGCTAGTTTGCAAGACATCTGCTGGGCAGAACCTCGGGTATCGATATGCGCAAAAAAAAGTTACGCAGAGATCGGAGAGGACTGTATACTAGAAGCCTGTATAATCAGTGCATACTATTGCTTCTATTCGGGCTCCTTGCTTCATCTATGTATACCATACAATAGTATATGCCCTATTCCTGTTATAGCTATTAATACCGGTGTTGTAAGCCCCAAGCCCTAAACCCACACCCTAAACCCTAAACCCACACACTGAACCCTAAACCCACACACTGAACCCTAAACCCACACACTGAACCCTAAACCCACACCCTAAACCCTAAACCCACACCCCAAACCCTAAACTGCAGAACGGCAGCCCAGGAACCGTGCGAGGTTCAGCGGCTTCGCTACGACGAGCCCAGCATCTTCGGCGAGTTTCCGGGGATTCTGCGCGGGAGACGCATGGTTATCTGGGTTTTAGGGTTTAGGGTTTAGGTTTTAGGGTTTAGGGTTTAGGTTTTAGGGTTTAGGGTTTAGGTTTTAGGGTTTAGGGGTTTAGGGTTTATGGGATTAGGGTTTAGGGCTCTAAGCGTATAGGGTTTAGGGCCTAGGGGTTTAGGGTTTAGGGCTTAGAGCTTGTAAGGGGGTTGAGGGGTGAGGTACAGCGTTTCGGGTCTTTACCGGGGTTTGGAGCTTAGGGCTTACGAATCAAGGTTACAGGGTTTAGGTTCTTGAGGGTTAAAGCATTTGGAGTTTAGAGTTTAGGGCTTCATGGAGCTAGGGCCTTTGGCAGCAATCACATGATTTCAATACAGTAGTTACATACCAGCATGGATCTCAAGGTGACACTTGTTAAACGCTGAATTGATTTCGGGCGGGCGGTGGGCTCTCCTGCCCTAAAGATCCCTAAAGGCTTCGCGAACACACTGTAATTCTCGACCATACAATTGCAAGCAAAGTGATGTACACCAATGTCTACCAAACCTTAACTAAGGGATAAGGCGGCAGTGCTACTCCCTGAAGCTGGGTATAGGGTTTGGGGGTTCGAAGTTTCAGGGCTTCAGATCTCGGCTTAGGATTTTGGGTTCAGGGGTTTGGGCTGGCGTTCAGCAAAACTTTGGAGCAGTGGAGTGTAGGGTTTGGGGATTCGTTAAAGCCTGTATCCGGGAAGGTCCTCGGCCGGACCGGCGCGCTTGATGGCAACAGCGGCCTGCGAGGATCACGGCAGTTTCAAGGCTGTTCTTGATAGGGTTCCGGGTTTAGGGTTTAGGGTTTATAGGGTGTATATAGAACTCTGCGAGGGTCTACCCAAAGGCTCCATACTAGTTCCTTTTTGGGATGCCCCTATAGGATCCTAAATAATATAACCACAAACAGGAACTCCAATGGAGCATATGGGTAGGGTTTAAGGGTTTAGCGATTTCGGTTTTAAGAGTCTACCTAGAGGCTCATACCCTACCCCTTTTTTAGGATACCTGGTTTTTCAGTTAGGATCTGTTATCTTAAAAAGTAGGCGCCCTAAAAAAGGGGTAGGGTATGAGCCTCTAGGTAGGGTTTAGAGTTTGGGGGCTTAGAGCTTGGGGTCAAAAGAGCCCTAAACCGCAGGCCCTGCATCCTAGTGGATGATCGAATGTAGGAATCTGATTAAGAAACCCTGGGCCTTTGACCCCCCAAATAGTAGGGTTCATATAAGATAAGATAAAGGCCCGAGGCTTCTGAATCACGTTCCTACATTAGGGTTGAATTGAACCTAAGGTGCTTCTGGTACCCGGGTTTAGGGTTTAGGGTTTAGGGTTTAGGGAGGTCCTAAGCTAGGGCATACCTTCGAGAGTTTAGGTTTGAGGGGTTTTGGGCTTCCGCTTGGAAGGCTTTGCTCTGAGCTCTGAACGAGGATGCCCAGTCACCTAGGAATAGAAAGGGCTCCTGTTTTGGTATCCGTAACTTCTATAACAAGGAACCTAAGACCACGAAAAAGGAAAAAAGTGCCCACTGGGAGACCCAGTGAAGTTCATGAGATGGAAGCCTCGGAGCTTTCGTACCTTTCCTTCAGGCAGACCTCTTCCCCCCCGCACGTTCGGTCCGGGTGCCGTCGTCTGGCCCTCAGGCCCCGTCGACTGAAAAGCCGGGCATGGAAGCCGGCTAAAGCTTTATGAAGGAAACCCAAGGAAGAGTATCCTCGTGATTGAGCCATCCACGTTGCACCTTGCACCGCACTCTGGCGGAAGCTGTTGTGAAAGAAGCTTCCTTTCAGGCATCTTCGCGGCTGAAACGTCCTGCTCGAACCCTTCTGAAGAGCAGCCCCAGCTTTGGAAATCATGGGGCGCTGAACCTCAACCTCTAAGTGGGTGGTTGTCAAAACTGTGGTCCCTTTTTGAGTACCCTACATATTAGGTGCCGTATTATAATAAGGACCCAAAACAGGACCCTAATTTTGACAACCACCCACCTCACTTCAAGACTGCTTCATCTCTCGGCCCTCCCTGAACAACATACGCCCTCAACCAGGTGCCGATTTTCACAGGCCCGGAGAGTGATTTATAGGTCCAGGCGCCTATATCAAAATGAGGCGATTTTACGGACGTTGACAACAATACCAACACCCTAAACCCTAAAACCCTAAATCCTAAACCCTAAACCCAAACCGGTAATTGCCCAGTACAGCCCCAAGTTCCTTCCTCTTCCATAGCAAGTTATCGAGGCTGCCTCCAAGGACAGCAGCAGGAACACCGCGAACAGTGCCAGGACCTCTCAGTGTCAGAAGACTGGGTCCCTGATTTCAGGGTTCCGTATTTTCAAAGGGGAAAAGGAGGGACCCTTAATGGGGACCCCTAGCTATAATGGGCTATATAATGGGCTATATAATGGGTATATAATGGCTATATTAAGGGTATATACCTAGGTGTCCTTATTAAGGGCCCCTCCTTTTACCCTTGGATACTAACTACAGCCTAAGCCGTATCTGGAGTCTTTGTCTCTGTTGGGATCGGTCGAATCGGTTCCTTGTTTCGTCATGACCACGTCGACCCCGAACCTCCTGATAAACAACGATATGACTTTGCGCAGTCCCCAGCCGTCCGCTCCATCTGCACATTTCCCGAAACTCGATGAAGCAGGAGCTGCACTGCTGGGTCATACGGCAGAGAGAGGCTGCAGTGCAGCCACGCCCCCCTGTTGCAATCATGCTCATTTCATCATCAGCAAAATCTCCGCAACCAATGGAGTCGGTGTAATCCGTTGTCGTAGGTCGAGAGTTTTTCCGGGAGTGGTGCCACCGCAACGCCCACAACCTTGTCCGAGCGATGATCATGGTCGTCGCCGAATGCGACCATGGAATCCGCAATGAAGGATGCCTCTGGCATCTCGTTTGGTTTCAGGCCGGAAGTTCGGCCTTTCCTCAGGACTGCAGCCAACCTCACAAGGTGGCCAAACATGACTCGAGGGCAAGGTGTGCCGTGTGACTCGGTTGTACTGCACGCGATGGGTTGTGTGGCGTTTGAGCAAAACTCTAATACGTTACCGTTTTAAAGAAATCATAATGGGGAGTCCTCTAAATGTTGGCCTCTCATAAGGTCCGACTAGGCTTTGCAGGGTTTAGGGATCAGGGTTCACTGATAAGGTTTTAGGGACTGGGGAGTTCGAATACTGGGTGCTCGGGCGTGCAGTTTTTAGGTTGTTTTGTGTTTGGGGTTCAAGAATCAGAGGGTTTAGGGTGATACAGTAGAATTTAGGGTGGTTTAGCGCTTGGCATAGCTCCTGTCTTAACCCTGAGCCGTAACCTCTCACCTCTAAGCCCTCAAACGGTCGCTTCCACCAACAAACCTGGTCAGACCAAAAGGAGAAACTGCCAGTCACAATTCTTACCAAGAGTACCATCGTTATTCTTCTAAGTACTACTATACATCCCTTTACAGTAAAGGAACCTTTTGAGGATCCCTTTAAAGGAACCCGATTCTAATTACTAAGGCCTTTATATGCACTACTAGAACCATGAGCCGAACTACAAGCGTCAAGGTTGACTGATACTTGGAGGTTCATGGGTGGTTACAAGGGGTCCTTTAAGGGTCCCGTTAAAGGGATCTATAGGGGTCTTATAAGGGTATAGGGTCTAGGGCCTACTTGGAGGTTCATGGGTAGTTATAAGTGCGGTTATAAGTCCCTAATATGGGTTATAAGTATAGTTATCCTATTTATAACCCTATTCATAACTACTCATGAGCCTTCAAGTAATGATCTTCATCTGTGAAGCTCGAACGGTTTTGAGAGTTAACTGTTATTGTTACCGGTGTTTGTCATCGGTTTATTAATGTGTGTTTACTCCTGCAGACTGAGCCATGCGGCCATACTCCATCTCTGCATTGCAGTCAGAATGCTTACGCTCTGACATAGTGGATATGCTGTGCAGGCAAGCGAGAGTTCACAGGAACGCTGGTACTGAGATTTCACTGGGTTTTGAAGACAACAGCTTGTGGTTCTAAAGGGTTCGCGCAGCATTAAAGATTCAGCGGTTTAGGATATGTTGTCTTGAGAGCCCAGAGTTTCAGTGCACGGCGCTGCTTGCACACGGATGCCTGCAACGAGGACGTTCTTTCGGAAGATAAAGCGATAAAGCAAGCAGCTGCACCAAAACGAAGCCACAACATGGTTCTTCAAATGCGTCCTCAATCCCAAGCCCAGAGAGCAAAACTAGCCACCTGCAGCCCGAGCGCCCTACTCCTTATCGTAAAGACAGATCCCTCCTAAAACCCGACTAAACCTTAACCCCAGAACCTCAACCCCAAACTCAAAATCCGAAACCCTCAAGTGAAACAGTAAAACTTAAGCGCTGTATACCTTTCACCCTTAATCCTGAATCATAAAAAACCTAAACCCAGGAACCTAAACCCTAAAGCCCAAACCCTGAATCCTTAAAGGAACCCTACGCCCTTAAAGGAATCCTAAAACAAACTAAACCCTTAAAGGCACCCTAAACCCCAGGAGAAACGAAGTCTAAACCCGCAGAGACACCGTGGCCACCACGACATCTGGGATCCAGGGAGCAGGGCACTGCCGATCCAGGGACACCTGAACCTTGTTGCAAGGTGCTTGGAGAGGCAGGGGACTTAGTAAGTAGGTTATAAGTAGGGTTATAGGGGTAACTCCATTTAGGGCACTTATAACTCTACTTATAACCTACTTACGAAATCCCCTGCCCTTCCAAGTGTGGGTTTAGGGTCTTTACCGTAGAGGTTGCGGTTTAGGGGTCAGAGGTTTAGGGGTTTAGAGGGACACCTGAACCTTGTTGCAAGGTGTGGGTTTGGGGTTTAGGGTTTAGAGGCTTACGCTTTAGGGGTGAAATGTTGAAAGGTTAAAAGGGCTTAGGGTTTAGAGGCTCAGGGTTTAGGGGTTAGGTGGCTTATGCTCATCGCATGTATACGATTTAGGGGTTGTTAAAATTGGGTTGATGCTGAAGTGGTTGAGGCTTCGGGTTCAGGGTTAATTTCAGCTGAGGGGGGGGGGCGAGGGGGGCGGGAGGCAAAGATAGTCCTATCCCCAGTAAACCCAAAACCCCGAGCTAAAACCCCAGCAGCTTGAAACTAAAGCCCTACAGATCATAAACCCTAAACCCCATAATCCCTTAACCCTAAACCCCTACACCCGATGCCTTGAAGCTGGAAATCCTAGAGATCAAACTTAGGCTTCGAACCATTGGAATGGAGGGCGATGTCTTTCCAAAGCACGGGACTAGGGTTTAGGCTTAGGGCTTGAGGTTTGTTTAGGCTTGGGGCTGAGGGTTTAGGCTTAGGGCTTAGGGTCTAGGGCTTCCAGTTTAGGATTTAGGGCTGCGGAGCCCCATGCCCAAAGCTTAAATCCGACTTCCTTTAAAGGGTTACTATAAGGCTACTATAAGGGTGCCTTTAAAGGGACACTATAAGGCTACTAGAAGGGATGCTCAAGCACGAAGGCACCTCTGCCAGCTGTGCGAAGCCCTTTTCCGGTAGCAAGCCTGGGACACTTTCTGATTTTGCTGGCCCCTAAACCCTAACCCTAAACCCTAAACCCTAAACCCTGGTCGAGGGTCTAGGTTGTAGGATCGGGCTTTGGGGCTGAGCATTCCGGCTTCAGGGTTTGGAGCGTGTACAGCGTTTTGCGTAGAGGTTTAGGGTTTAGGGCTTGTCATTGCTGGCTGTTGTTGTTTGTACGGCCATCATGACCGTCAGGCTTTAGGAACTATAGGGCTTGGGGCTCAAGGCTTTGAGTTCGCGGCTGCCTGAGCCTTCGATTCCATCATCAGCAACGTCTTCATCATCATCGCCCTGATCATGAGCATGTTCATCAGGCACCTGTAGCATCGTTGTCGTCGCCCTGTCGTTATGCAAGTGGTAGCAGATGGCATTGAGACAGCCTTCAGGTTCGACACTACCACGACCAGCATCACCACCAGCAACAACATGCAGCAATTGTATACTACAAAAACACAAACTCGCTACGAGCATCAGCATCGTCATCACCACTATCATCTTCATCATATCCAAGGGTAAAAGGAGGGACCCTTAATAAGGACCCCTAGGTATATACCCTTAATATAGCTATTATATACCCATTATATAGCCCATTATAGGGTAGGGGTCCCCATTAAGGGTCCCTCCTTTTCCCCTTTGATCATAATCTTCATCACAACCTTCGTCATAACCACGGTCAGATCTACACCCAGGCCCCGAAACTATGAACTGCGCGACTGCCCACCAAGCCACGTCCCAACTGCGGAAGAAGGCCCACACTTGGTGACTTGATCAAGTCCTGAGACTTTCGAAGAGGGTTTTGGGGACGTAGGGTTTGGGGGTTTAGGGTTGAGGGTTAAGGGTCTAGTTTAGGCTTAAGGGTTAGGGTTTTTAGGAGGAGCTTTGCAACAGCCGGCTTGAAGTTTGGAGGCGCTGAGACAGAAAACCCTAAACCCTAAACCCCTAGACCCTAAACCCCTAAACCCTAAATAAACCCTAAACGGGTTCGGGGGTTCCCGGGACCTCAACCGTGCGAATCGGAGTGCATTTGCCGGACCATATCGGCGTGAAATAACCTTTTGACATAAAGGAGCTGTATCCGATCTACTAAAGCCCCTACAGAGTAACCTTTCCAACCAAGACAGGTAACCTGTGGAAACAAACCCTGAAGCCTTCCTTCTTCTAACTACTAAGGCCCCTATGGCACACCCACCACCCAGGCCGTTAGTATTTGGACTTATACCTGGACCCCAAAAGTATGTAGAGTAATAGCCTTTTCTAGGTATTGGGCCATTATTTTGGCCATGCTTAAGATCCAAGGCTCCAGTTGGCAAAGGCACGACTGCTCCTGCTCATCTCATGGGTTTGGGGCTGAAGGGGTTCCTTTCGAGGTCCCTCCAACGGTTCCTGTAAGGGAGCTATAGGGGTTTAGGGCTTAGGGGCTGTATGGGGTTTCGGATTTCGGGCTGAGTGTTTTGGGGTTAGGGTACAGGAGGGTTTCGGTTTGCAGCTTGCACCCAAAACAGAGCCCTCTACCCAAAGCGCGACATCGTATCAAGCCGTGGTCCTGGGCAGAAACCTGAAAAGACACCCCTTGGGACCCTGAGAGACCCTAAACATGAGGAGAACTCATAAACCTGAAGTTAGATCCTTCCTTCAACCCACACAACCTACCTTTCTTCACCAATTACATATACGAAAGTCATGTCAAAGAACCCTTAACCTAGTTGTAGAGGGGCCTTTAAAGAACTGGAATTGGGTCTTAGCGTGCGTAATACTATATTTGTAATAAGCAGCTACTGAGGCCCCAAAATTACCTTATCACTTTGACTTCTATCGTTACCTCCACTACTACGACGACTACTAATTACTACTACTACTACTACTACTACTACTACTACTACTACTACTACTACTACTACTACTACTACTACTACTCTACTACTACTACTACTACTACTACTTCTACTACTACTACTACTACTAACTACTACTACTACTACTACTACTACTACTACTACTACTACTACTACTACCACGACCACGACCACGACCACGACCACGACCACGACTACGACTACTACGATTACCACTACCACTACCACTACGACTCTGCTGCTGCTACTACTACTAGCAGTGCTATTCTGAGTATTATTACTATTATTGCTATCTTTTTTTGTTTTTACTATTCTTCGTATTATTACTGGGCCCTTTTTTGAACTCCCTTTCTGCAGGGTCAGACAATACAGGTTTGGGGTTCTAAATCTTTAAAGCCGCTGCTAAAACACGAGTGTAAGCCGTTTAAACCCCTCATAGAAGGCGCAGTGGGGCTATAAGACGATCCCTAGTATGATCCGCTGTATAGAAACCAATGTCAATGAAGGCACGGCATCCGAAAGCCTAAACCCTAAACCCTAGACTTTGACTGTATTGCCACGTGCTCCGGCACCCAAGTCTCCTGTCGGAAGGTCCTGCTAGCACAGAGGAAGATGTTCTGCTTCACATTCCTGGGCATATGGGTTTAGGAAGCTAAGCTTTGGTAGGGCTTACTTGTCCAGCTTCCTACGAGAAAGAATCGGCCTCTATGGATTCCTCGGGTTCTTGCACTCCTTAAGCCTCTACGGTTGTTTTCCAGGTGTTGGGGTTTGGGTGGGCTTTGGGGTTGAGGTTGAAGGAGTTTCAGGACTCCGCTTCAGCTCTTATCATAAACCGCTCCACCTGCGCAAGGTTTGGCCCTTTAAAGCCGTTGAGAAGTGTTTGTAAATAAGATCCTCTTAAGCCAAATTTCGGAGAACGCAACATGTCCCAAAGGCCTACCGAGCCCATCTAGTGGGATTTTAAGGACACGGGTGGGGTTCAGGATTTAGGGTTCAGGGCGGGTCTAGCTCAGGAGCGGGTTTGAGTTCACGGTTTCCGGTTTTGGGGCAGAAGCCAGAAAGCTGAAACATCGTCATCCCTCTGAGCAAACCCTACAAACCACCACAAACCCCTTCCAAAGCCTTGTCGAAACGACCGAAACTCTGAAAGACTATATTATATATATATATATAACTCCTATAGAACCCCTTATAGGTACCCTTAGCGAAACCCAGGCAAACGCGAAGCTTCCGGTGGAATGAAACAGACCGGGCCACATGCGAAGCATCAGGTCTTCCACTGATGGGACCTCAGGTTTCCAACCACAGGGGCCTTAAAGATTAGACTAGGCTCCTGTTCTTAGGGTTCCTAGAAGTGACCTACATGGTGTAGGGTTCAATTAGGGTTTAGGATTTGGGGTTTAGGGTTTAGGGGCCTTCTTAGGTATTGGAATGGGGTTCCTTTCGGGGCTATACTATGAAGGTTTTATGGGGGGGTGTGGGTTTTCACAGGGTTTATACTGCAGGGGCCTTCGTGCTTCGAACAGCACTTTGGGAGTCTATCAGACTATAACTAACAAGGGAACCCCAAAAGCATCCGAGGACAACTGCAAGGGCCGTATATTCGATGGTGTCATGCGTTTTTTGCTGTTCTTTTAACCGGTTTCGTCGGGTTTTGTAGGGTTTAGGGTTTAGGGGTTTAGGGTTTAGGGTTTAGGGTGGGAGTTCGGCCTCCAGTGGAAGCTTTGGCATGGGGTCTTGGCTTGGAGCTTTTGTAGATCCTAGGGTCTCAGGGTTTAGGGTGCTTGGAGGCGTCGGTAGGTTTAGGATTTAGTTTCGGCTCTGAGGCCGTAGTTTTTCGGTGTTTTGTTGAGGCTTGTGGTTAGGAGTTGGCTCACAGCTTCGAACCCTGCGGGAGCTTGAGACATGATGTACGGAGTTGTTCTGATTAGTCGCACCAAATATACTCCTAGGCTAACTTCTGAAGCCCTCCAAAAAGTTGAACTTTTAGCCATTTTAGCCTACTTACTATGGTTCATATAGAAACCCAAAACGTTAAAGTCCTAAGACTCAACCAATTAAAACCCACGTCCAACGGCACTGAAGCTGGTCGCTGGCCCCGTCTGCGAGATCTGGGTCCTGTTAGGATTACGGGCCAGGCTTACCCGAACACCTAAACTCTTAAATGGTAGTTTCCGAAAACAGGGATCACTAATAAAGTACCCTAAATTGTAGGGTCCTTTTTGCAGGACCCCTAAATAAGGCACCCTCAATGTTTGGAAACTCCTAAATATGAACCCCTGGGCCCAAAGCAACATCATGCCAAGAAGCGAACCCTAAATGGTAGGATCCTCAATATAAGGACCCCCAAAATAAGGTACCCCTAATGTTTGGAAACTCGACCCAAAGCAACATGAAGCCAAGAAGCGAAGACTTCAATGGTGGAACCGTTGATCGGCTCTTCTGCATGAATCCAGGGAAGCACTTGCACAGAAGACACAACGGTCCTGGGCAAAGAGTCTTCGGGCGAACACGGTGCAAACTGCGCAGAATTGAAACGGCCTAAACGACTTACAACCTTTGGGATTTAATTAGAGATTCAGCAAACCTAAAGTTTAGCTTTGCTACGAATTAGTTATAGCACGTCTGCCAAACCCAAGCATGGACCCCAAACTCTGCACCCTAAACCCCGCCGTTAACTACCAAAACCTACCTTGCTTGTACGGTCCCTCTAAATTCTCTATTAGGGTTGATAACCTGCAAAAAAGTAGGTTATGAACGCTGCACCGTAAACCTAGAGTACCTGGAGGAAAAGCTTGCAACGAGTAGCTCCAGGATACCGATACAATTAGCGCGATCTTTCGTGATCTTCCAATACATCAATGTCGAACTATGCACATGACTAGCAAGTCTGAACACTGGCTCATAATGAACGCCAAAGCTGCTGGATGCAGAAGCATGACTATGTATAAGAGAGTAGTCGCATCCGGATATTTGCTACTTGGGCTCGTCTGCCACCTGCCTAAAACGGCTTTGCCCGACCAGAACAAACATGGTCTCTTTGTACAGGGTCTCAAGCCTTATACAGACATTGCAGGGATCCTAACCCTAAGCCCCAAAAACCTAAACCTAAGTATTGGTATGGTAGGTTATAGTTAGGGGTGCAGGAATCGGAACTAACCCTAAACCCGAAACCTCCGCCAGGACTCTCTGCATCGTCACCTTTACAACTGCTGTCTCGCTGTAGGCTGTAGGATGCCTCTGGAACAAGCCTCAACAGGGGTTTAGGCTTTAGGTTTAGGGGTTGATTAGGGTGTTTTTGTGTTGCGGGCAGAGGGGTCTGCGGATTGGGCTTTAGGGTTTAGGGCTCTTCGGGAAAGTGCTCTTTCGCGCGGGGTCCTGCTATAATGCGTCCTGGTTGCTTTCGGCTTTCGTAAAGTCTGAGTTCATGGACTGCAATGGTACCGGAGTACGTTGCCGCTATGTTCATTGAAGCTGGGTAGAAAGCTAATCCATCATGCAACAGTTCACAGAAGGCTTCAAGAGATAAACATACAAAGACACAAGGAGATGTAGGTACATATGAATGACCGTGCACGGCAGGCAGGCAGGCAGGCAGGCAGGGAGGGAGGGAGGGAGGGAGGGAGGGAGGGACAGGAGCGGGGAGAAACAAGACGAACTGCAAACCTCGCTCCATCGTCGGCGGGCTTAGCAAGAACATAAGCCTGTAACCCGAGGTCCCCGCACTTCTTAGCACCTGTAACTCCAATAGACGTACGGGAACCTCCAAAAATTAAGGGTACCTTATTTTGGGGTCCTTATGATAAGGATCCCACTATTTAGGGTACTATAATACTATAATGTACTATATTAGAGTTCCCTATTGTCGGAAACTGCAAAAACCCTAAACCCTTATAGTAGAGCCCTTCAAAGGAACCCTTATAGTACTCTTGCAGTAACCCTTTAAAGGAACCTATATTCGGGTTCCCTATTTTCGGAAACTACCAAAACCCTAAACCCTTATAGACCCCTTCAAAACAACCCTTACAGTACTCTTGTAGCAAGCCTTTAAAGGCACCCTATATTAGGGTTCCCTATTTCTTACCTTTGGTTAGTAGGGAATGGAGGAAAGGGGTAAAAGTATAACTACTATTACTACCATTCTTCCATTCCCTACTAACCAAAGGTAAGTATTTTCGGAAACTAGCATACCCTATTTTCGGAGGCCCATTATGCTATAAGTATAATAAGGACCCCCCCAAAATACTATAGGTAATTATTGAAGCCCCTATACTAGGATACCCAGTAACCTAAGAATAAAAAGGCCTCTCTTTTTGGTATTGGGTAACTTTATAAGGAACCTAGGACTACAAAAAGGGAATAAGGGTACTACTGGGCATCCTATTTTACCATACCGGAGCCACCTCCAGGAAACGCGCTGCGCGGCCCCGGCTCTCAGCTGGAAGCGGCCCTGGTTGAGCCTGATGGGAGGCCAAAAGGGGGGGGTTTAGGGTCTAGGGTCTAGGGTTTAGGTTTAGGGTTTAGGGGTTTAAGGGTTAAGGGGTTTAGGGTTTAGGGGTTTAGGGTTTGGGGTTTAGGGTTTCTGGTCTGGGGTAGGGGTTCCTTAATATGAACCCTATTATGGGAACCCTAATCCCTACTAAACCCCCCAAAGCCTCCTATGAGAGCCTCTACGCTGTTTTGGGGCGGGTGGAATTCCCAGCGCTTATGGGTTTCTTGGGTTTTAGGGTTTAGGGGTTTAGGGTTTAGGGGTTCAGGGTTTAGGGCTTTGGGTTTTTTTGGTATGCGGCTTTGGGTTCAGTTAGGGTTTTTCGGGCTTCAGGGCGAAGGGTTGCGGTTGAAGCTTCAAAGTGAAGGCGTTCTTCTCAAAGTGTTGCCTGGAAGTAAGCTCTCAGATTCGAGATTAGAATTCAGGGCTTAGGTGACACAATGGTGGTGCCGATTCTGCTACGGATGTTAAGGAAAAGGCCGCGCTACGAAACAGGATCTATAAGAATTACTGTATACTGGGGTTTCTAGGGAATATACCATGGTCCGATGATCTGTAAGCGATGGAAAGCCATATGACTCACCCAAACCCGGCAAATTTGGAGCTGCAGTTTGGTGTGCCGGAGGGCAAGCTAGGGTGTAGCAGGCCTGAGGGTATTTGTCTGTGAACATGTAGCTTCAAATTAGAAGGCCCTAGCTTAGCGCAAACGCGAAATTGCGGGTTCAGTTGATAGTGAGGGCCCCTGAACCCCTGACCCCTAAACTCAATCCATAGGCCGCCCATCTACCGTGGGTGGGTTTCACACTGATTAAATCGACTGGCCGGACATCCGAGGACCTGTTTCGGGTCGGGCCACAACCTTAGAGATTAGGGTTTAGTGGTTTAGGGTTCAGGGTATCTGCAAACCAGTGTTCGTTTCAGGGTTCATCAAACCAAGTCGCCAGAACGATCCAGCCCCACCCAGTTCCCAAACCAGGTTTCTAAAAGAAAACTTGCTCAAAACTTTCGGACAAAACTTCTTGACACCCACACCCTTAACAGTTTCTACAAAACCTAAAAGGAACCCTAAACCCTAAACCGTGCCAATGAGTGCTTCATGCAAACGACCGACTGATGTCCGTTAATAAAAGGAACCTGAAAAGCGGACCCCATAATCAAAGGGAAAAGGAGGGACCCTTAGGGGACCCCTAGGTATATACCCTTAATATAGCCACTATATACCCATGATTTTTGCCTATTATAGGGTGTTGGTTCCCATTAAGGGTCCCTCCTTTTCCCCTTTGATATAAGAAATCCTATCAGCGGCCCTAGCCTTCCCGGATCCCAGGCCCGAAAGCACCGGAGCCCACCACAGCGATCGCTGTCGAGGTTGATGTCGACAGCCTTCATTTTTTGAAACTGATGTTGATGATATAAATCCTGCATGACCCATAGAAAGGAATATACCATAATTCCCATATCTTCCTTATTATGTGTAATGCAGGATTTGTTTCATCAACCGTAGGGCTCCTTTAAGGGCTCTATGAGGGTTATTACAAAAGGATGCTACAGGGGTTTAGGGTTCCTTCAAAGGCTCTATAAGGGTTACTATAAGGTTTAGGGTTCAGGGTTTAGGGGAACCCTAATCCCAAAACCCTCAACCCTGATGCCTACGCACATTAAACCCCGAACACCCTACACCCTGAAGCAGGAATCAAAAAGCAAAACATATCAAAACATCGTGTAATGCATTCCTCTGCAACCCTACACTCTCACTCGCCCTAAACCCTAAACCCTAAACCCTAAAAAACCCTAAACCCTAAAAAACCCTAAACCCTAAACCCTAAAAAACCCTAAACCCTAAACCCTAAACCCTGAAAAACCCTAAACCCTAAATCCTAAACCCTAAAAAACCCTAAACCCTAAATCCTAAACCCTAAAAAACCCTAAACCCTAAACCCTCACCTCCATCGCTTCCCGAAGAGCTCCGACGCTAAGAAGAAGGCCACCAAGGCACCGGGTCCTTCACGCGGTTCAGGGTTTACTTGGAGGGGCAGGGGACTTAGTAAGTGTAGGGTTCCTTAAAGGGATCTATACGGGTTCCTTAAAGGGGTCTATAGGGTTTAGGGAGTACTTAGAGGATCATGGGGCTTAGTAAGTAGGTTATAATTGGGCTGATAAGTCCCCGAAGTAGGGTTCTCCTAACTATAACCTACTTATAACCTTACTTACTAAGTCCCATGAGCCTTCAAGTAGGCTTAGGGTGTGCAGTGTTTACAGGCTGGGGGTCAGGGCTTATGGTATAGCGTTAAGGGTGCGCAGGGGGTGTAGGGTTTAGGAGTCGGGAAGCATTCCTTACCGGGGGGGTTGATGCTCTCGCGGGCTTTTCAGAGGGCTTTCTCAGATGTTAATTATGAGGGCCAGTGGAGCTTTACGCTGTTGCTATAGTCTTTGTGCGATCGTAAAGGCTAGGATGCCCAGTAAGCTAGGAATAAAAAGGGCTCCCTTTTCAGTATTGGGTAACTTTGTAAGGAACCTAGGACTACAAAAAGGGAATAAGGGTAGCACTGGGTATCCTAGAAGGGGCTCAGGGTGTAGGGACATCGGGCGTTTACGGGGTTGGAGAGCTTGGCTTCGGACAACAGCTGGGTAGTTGTCAAAATTAAGGGTCCCTTTTTGGGTACCCTAAATAATAGGTGCCGTATTATAATAGTGACCCAAGAAGGGACCATAATTTTGACAACCACCCAGTTTAGCATTTAGAGTTGCGGGTTGTGGGTCCAGGAGTCCAGGATTTGCCATTCAGGGGTCGGGGTTGGGGTTGGCGCTTTTGGCTTGGAGCTTCCTGCTAGGATTGTGGGTCTCCTCCCTTCCTAGGGTTCAGGACTGTAAGCTGCGGCACCACCCCAGCACCTGAACCCTACACCACACCTCACACAAGCCCCACCCGAGAAATTAGTCAGACCGTTTGCATATCAGCACATGTATTCATATATGCTTATGAACACCCTAAAGCCCCTGTTCCAGGTACTAAGCCAGTATGGCAATCTCATCGTGGAGCGGCCAAGAATACCTTGCAGGATCCTTCTTGGAGGGGCAGGGGACTTAGTAAGTAGGTTGTAAGTAGGGTTATAGTTGGGGTAACTCCATTTAGGGTACTTATAACCCTACTTATAACCTACTTACTAAGTCCCCTGGGCCTCCAAGTAAGCTGCAGTGGGGAGAAGAAGGGATCGTTGGGTTATAAGCCCGCCCCCTTGAAACCAGCTTAAGGATCCCATAAATACGCTACTAGAGCATCAGGGAACTTGGTAAGAAGGGTTCTGAGTAGCCTGCGAAACTTACAAGTACACATAACCCAAATACCTATAACCCTAAGCTAGAATTACACTGTACACCCTACATCCTTTGAAACTAGCTATGATGCGTCAAGTAGGGGTTTGAAAGCACCGGGGTGAATTTAGCCTTGAGGTGCTTAGAGGTGGTCCAGATCACAGGGTTCAGGGTTTGGGTGTGGGTTTTTAGGGTTAGGGTTTGGGGGTTGGGGTGTAGGGTTTAGGGATTAAGGGTTGTTATACTACAGTGCTGTATCCGGAGACCAGAACCCTGTCATCCTGAAAAGAAACTACAAACCGGAATAGAATTTCAGGGAGGTTCTTGACTAAGGCTGCCTAAAGGACTAACAAAGTCAGACAATACCCTGCATCGGCCCGAAACCCAAACCTACACCCCACTAGCTCTATGGACCTTCTAGCAATGGGATTTTGAGGCCTTGCCCAGAAAGCCCAATGCCCCTTAATTAAGGAATATAGCTTAAACCATAAGATCTGAAGCCCCTAATGATTTAACGTATATCCCTTAATTAAGGGGTTGGAGCCCCCTAAACCCTAAACCATATAGATCCTTAAAGGAACCCTAGGCCCTAGGTATTCCTTAATTAAGGGGGGTGTCAGTCCTGATGATGCTCGCCATAGCTCAACAAACCAAGATTGATGATCTCATCGCGGAATCAAAGACACGAAGCTGGAGAGGCTTCCCAAAGGGATGCCAGACAGACGACGAGCTGCGCAAGGGAGGCTGTTGAAAACCTTTCTCCCTCGACTTGTCTGCTCAACTTAAACTGCAACCCTAAACCCTGAAACCCGCACCTACCTCAGATATTGCTACCTTGTGTAAGTCAAGTTAAAACCCTAAACCCTAAACCCCGAAACCCTGGACATAAGAAAATGAAATTGTGTTAAAACCCCCCCCCCCCCCTTGGCAGCGAAAGGGCTGGGCCTGGGTGGGCCCTTCTCCGTGGCCCTTTGAGACGCACGGCTGCGGGCCAGATGTTGAGTTATAGGGGACTCTACTATATGATATCTCTCATGGTCTGATGTAGGAGTTTCCGAAAATACGGGACCCTAATATAGTACCCGAAATAGTAGGATCCTTATTATAAGGACAGCCAAAACAAGGTACCCCCAATTTTCGGAAACTCTAATTAAAACCCTTATAGAGCCCTTTAAAGGAGCCCTTATAGCACCCGAAATAGTAGGATCCTTATTATAAGGACCCCCAAAATGAGGTACCCCTAATTTGCGGAGACTCCCAGTTGCTTAGGGCTCGAGGCTTCGGGATCCGGGGTTAGGGACTAGGGTTTGGGGTTCGGGGGTTTAGGGTTTGGGGTGCAGGGGTTTAAGGATTTGGGGTTCAATGGGGTTTACCCACGTTTACAACTTGATTGAGGGAGAGAGGTAGTGTGCGGCTTTTGAACCCTTTGGGGGTTCCGGATACTATTTACACTAGGGTTACGATTGCCTACAGGTTCGAGTACGGATATCCCGATATAGCCATAATCGCTGTGTTATAGTGACCGCAACTGAGCACGACTTACAACTACCCATCAAGCTTGAAGTAGGTGACCTTGTTCCACCTCCCGCCACTTTGGCAGCGTTTTCAAAGCCGGTCATGTGTTTCTTGTTTAGGGGTCCTCGCAAACATGATTTTTTCCTACGACCTATCGGGTCCATGTTTACTTAAAGTCTCACCGATTGAAACCCCGAAGAACACCGTTTTAGACCCTGCTAGGTTTTTTAGCAGGGTTTAGGGTTTTGGATTTAGGGTTTAGAGTTTGGGGGTTTAGGGCTCAGCTCAGAGGACGATCACGGCTCAACCAACCACCAACTGGCTCTGGGCCGTAGCATCAAATCAGCCAAAGAGTTCCCAAAACAAACCCACAAAAGCCCACACAGAAATTGAATCGTATGGTTTCAGGTTTCAGGGTTCAGGCTTTGTGTAACTCCTCTCTCCCAGGAGGCTGCATGCTGCGACTCCTAGAGAGTTCAGCTTCAGGCGTTAGGGTTTTGGTATGATAGCCTTCCCGAGCCCCGTGCTTTCCAGCGCCAAGCGGATCTGCTTTTTCGCATCCGCGAGCTGGTACTCCTCAACACGAGACCAGTACAAAAGCCTCAACTTTAAAGCTCTGAATGCTAGATTCCCAAATCCAGGAATCCAGCCACGCCAAAACCATTATATAATTTTTTTGAGGGGCAACAAGAAACCTTAAAAAAAATCAGGGCAACACCCTAAAACGATCCAAACTGATTATCCTTAAGCAATACTTGTTCGATGATTCTGTCGGCACATGCTCTAAAGGACCCGTCGCGTGCCCCAAGATAAACGTGCAATGACCCCTCGAAACCGTCCACGAATTTCCACTTGGAGGTTCATGGGTAGTTATCAATGGGGTTCTAAGTCCCCAAATATGGGTTATAACTATAGTTACCCTACTTATCACCCTACTTATAGCTACACTACACCCTAATCCCTAAACCCCATAGGAGCCTTAAAAGGAACCCTAAACCCCTTGTAACCCTACTTATAACTATCCATGAACCTCCAAGCACAGGACGAAATCGACCCGAATCCTGAATCCTGAACCTCGAAACCCTGAAACCCTAATTGTAATAATAGTAATAGTAGTAAGACTAGTAAGACTAAGAATACTATGATATTAACGATATCCAAAATCCTCTGATAAACCGGGAACACCAACCCGATGGCTGTAAGGGTCTATGCACAGAGCTTGTATGTGCTTGGGCCCCAAAGTACCTATCAATAGGGACTACATCACGGCCAAAGTACATCATATACGAGTACATGAGCCTTAGGGTCCCTAAACCCTAAACCCTAAGCTCCGCTGTCGACTGTGCACCTGCTCTTGCACAGCACGGGCTTCGCCCTCCAACGCCTGAAAAAAGATTGGGCTCCGGTTTAAGGGTTTAGGGTTTAGGGTTGGCTCAGGATGGGCGATTTAAACCTTGCAACCGATACCCAAAGGGCTTCTGGTTGCAGTCTGTAGGGCTTGGATCCGCCGTGCTTTAATGTCAAGGGGGCCTGAAGCCCCACATCCTGAAATGATAACGTGGGAACCTGACTCAGAAATCCTGGCCCTACAACCCCAATATATTAGGATTCATCTCAGGAACCCTAACAATACAGACCCAAGGTTTCTTAATCAGTTTCCTATATTAGGGTTTAGGGTTCTTGAGGCTTTACGGCATGAGGGGGTTTAGGAGTCTTGAGGGTCTGGGTTCAGCACTTTCGGGTTTCGGGTATAGGGCTTTACGGCTTTACTTGGAAGCTCCAAATTCAGGCCCAGCGCTAAACCCTAAACCTAAGAGCAATACTCCAGAGCACACCGGCAGTTCGCAGCAGAAAGCAGGCCCTGCCAAGCCTTAAATCCCAAACTATGCGATCCTACAGCCTAAACCCTACCCTAGTCTGAAACCCTACCAATGGTGAAGACCAGGCTGGGAATTCTGGACATGATCCTTTCAGCACCTTCTCCGATCACCGATCCCTACTAAATCCACCATTAATTTACTACAACATAATAAACCCTGAAGCCTAAATCCTAAACCCGTAAACCCCTAAACCCTAAACCCTAAAAACCCTACCCTAAACCCTAAACCTCATTTTTTATGACGTGGGGAGGGGGCCTTCTCGAGGGTGAGCTTGGCGACGCCGGGCACCTGCCGGCTTACAGGGGTGTAGTGAACCCAAGGCTTAGGGCTATTAGGGTTTAGTCATTTTTTGTTGAACGCCTTTTTCCTCCAGCCCGATCTGTCCTAGCTAGGGTTTAGGGTTTGGGGTTTAGGGTTCACGGTTTTTAAGGGTTTAGGGCTATGGGGTAAACGGCTTAGGGTTTAGGGAACCCTACAATCCCATATCCCAAATCTGATACGCCACACCCCGAGCCGGAACGCACGAAACTGTATGGCAAAGTCTCATGATCCCCAAAAAAAACTGCATCTCGAAACCAAATGAACATGCTAACCCTCAAACCCCGAACCCGAACCTAAACCCTAAAACCAAAAACTCTAAACCCTAAAACCCTAAACCCCAAACCCCCAAACTCTAAACCCTCAACACCCAAACCCTAAATCCTAGAGCACTGCAGGTCTGGGAGGAAGCCCGGGTTCGAGATTGGTGTGCGCGTGGCTAGCGTTAAGAATTGTTGGGTTCAAGGGATTATACAGGGGTTTAGGAGTTTAGGGTGTAGGGTTTAGCGGTTTAGGAGTTTAGGAGTTTAGGGTTTAGGGGCTTAGGAGCTTAGGGTTTAGGATTTAGGGGTGTAGGGTTTAGGGTCTAGGCGTTGCCCCTTAACAGTCTTCTAGTATGGATTATACGTATAGTTTCCCTACTTATGGCCCTACATATAAAAAAACCCATGTAAGGACTAGAGCACCCAAGCTGGAACCACGGCATTTGTTCGACGCTTGATGCTTCGCGCACCTATGTGCAAAGGAGGTTTAGCTTAGGAGGGTACATGCTAGGCTCAGCAATCCAAGCTTAGACGAAGTCATGGCCACTGATTTGTTCACCCTAAACCCTAAGCCCTAAACCCTACACCCTAAACCCTAAACCCTACACCCCAGACCCTAAACTCTAAACTCTAAACCCTAAACCCTCAAGAACAGGAACCTTTCCCGTATTCTTGATCCGGACCAGCTGGCCCGTGGATGTGCCACTTCGCAGTGTCCACAGGCCCCCGATCTCGGGCCTGCTTCCGCCCAGAGAGCCCAATACCCCTTAATTAAGGAATATACCTTAAATTATAATAGGATCCTTAATATGATTTACGGAATATTCCTTAATTAAGGAACTTACCTTAAATCACATTCGGGATCCTACTATGATTTAAGGTTTATTCCTTAATTGAAGGGCATTGGGATCTCAAGGTTCCGTCGGAGAAAACTCGCTTTAGAAGCCCCTTACAGGTGGGTAGTTCTTCTTCCATAGTACTCCCATAAGACCCCCTTTACCTTATAGGAGTGGTATGGGAGGCTTATGGGAAACTACCCACCTAATAACTACCCACCTGTAAATGGCTTAGACGCTTTCAAGCTCCAATCAGCAGCTTACCCTCCATCGCTCCTTGAAAGCTCGCGACCCTAAGGCTCTCAGACCCTATAAGTCCTGTCCTACCCCTTTAAGCCCGGTATAAAAACCTGAACAAAACATCAACAACAGCCTTATTGTCTTATAAGCAACACCCCCCAAAAGCACATATGAGTACAACGCTTGCAGATGTCTGAAAGAATTTCACTATAAACAAACACCTACAACAAATAACATCCTAACAAAGCCCCTTGTAAAACCCGAAACTCTGCGAACCTCCATGTCAGCAAAGGCTTTGGCGCAGTCTCGGAGGAGCCTTAGGTGGGCCACATTGGATGTAACCCCAAACGGGTTCAAAAAACTCAATAATGAGACAGTTGGTTTTAGGATGGTCCTCCTCTAGCTCAGAAGTATGGTTCTTTGCCCTGATATTTTAATACTTGGGCTTTAGGGCAGTACTTTGGGCTTGCGTTGCTGATCGTGGTATAGCAGCCACTCCCCACCAAACCCTAAACCCTTGTGTGGCAGCATCAAGAACCATGACATAATTTACTCCCATGTTAAGGCAACTAGGGATAAGAGTTCGA